ACGCCCCCCCCCCCCCCCCCCCCCCCCCCCCCCCCCCCCCCCCCCCCCCCCCCCCCCCGAAAGGCGAAGCGGCATGCCTCGATTTTATGAACATTTTTTTTTTCAGCTTTTGCGCGAGAACGTGGCTTTTCGCCCCCACGTGTTGCTACGACTATGCAATCCATGTGCTTTACAGGCGCTCGTTGTAAAAAAATGGAGTTCGGAGAACGGAGTACGTACGTGCTATTGCGGAGCGCGATCACGAGTGCAAGTGCTCAATACGGCAGGCAAAAAAGAAACAAGGCCGTCTGAATCGGACGCTGCAAATGGCCTAGGGCATTCTGGCTATTTTCCATCAAGAGAGACTCGGGTAAAAAAAACAACAGGTTGAATTAGGCATCACTAGGAATCTCTCAAAGCCAGCAAGGACAACAAACAAACAAACAAAACAAACAAAACAAAACAAACAAACGGCTTGCTTCGGGCCACCACCGTCTCTGTTCCCTAGACGACGAGCTTTACGACTTGGTCGTTACCTGCTCAATCTCGGCCGTGGAACCTCCATCCTTTCTAATCGAAACAGACTCGAACCCGGCATCAATCCTTCCCACGGCAGTGGTGGCAAACTTGCGGGCGCTCACTCTCTGCTCGAACAAGGTATCCAACTCACCGTATGTCCTGCCCTTGGGCTCCGGGAGGCGGAAGAAGGTCCAGGTGGCACAGCATAACGCGGTGCCAGCCCAGAAGAAGCCCGTCTTTGCACCCCAGCCCCATGCGGTGGGGTTGAGCATCCGTGGTGTCAGGATGTTGGCAATGATGCTGGCGACGTTGTACATGTTCCGGGCCAACACCACAGACTTGGTTCGCAGACGGGTAGACGTGAGCTCGGCAACGAGGGAATAACAGATGGGACCTATAGTTCCTGTTACTATGATGGAGACAACATCACCGGGAACGCGGGAGACAAACCAACTGAACAGTCGTATACAAACGTAAAGATGAGGAGCAAGGAGCCGATGCCCCATTGCGCACCAGTATCGTGTGAGCCTGCGAAAGACGCGCAGCCAATGGTGAAGAGGATGATGCACGCGCACACTTGGCCGGTAAAGAACAATGTTCTTCTACCGAACCAAGTCATCAAGAACCAAGACATGATAGTGCCGACGATGCCAATGCCATATTGGCCGAGGGACATGCTAAAGGAGTTGCTGACGGCCAATCCTGCTTGTTGGTAAAAATATGTCGAGTATCCCATAAAGTTGGAGCCAGAGAGAGTCTGGCCCATCCAAACCATGCAAACGATTTCGGTGCGGCGAGCATTGACGCCCTTGAAGAGGTCCCAGTACGTCGTGCCCGAGGTCAACTCTCTCTCCATCTCGTTGGTGTGAATCATCAGCGATATGGTCTCGTCAATGCTAAAGTCGGCATCCTCAACGTTGCGGCTAGTGAGACGGGCCAACGAGTGCTTGGCCTCGTCTAGTTTTCCGCGGCGGACGAGCCACCAGGGAGACTCGGGAGCAAGGTAGATGCCGATTATCAAAGGGACTGGCCACATCCACTGCAGCGCAAATGGAATCCTATAGCCCCATTCGTCCGTCCTGGAGACCATGGCGCGGAGGACGCCAGACGCGATAAACTGGCCGATAACCCAGCAGAGGTTATTGTACGTCGTCAGATAGGCTCGAAGATGGGTCGGGCAGACCTCCGAGGCGTACGTGGTTGTCAGCGTCTGGAAGATTCCCCACGGGATTCCGGCAAGGATTTCTCCAGCGAGAAGCTGAGGCAGCGATTTGGCAAAGAAGATGATGAAGATGAAGCCCGTGATTGCAATCAGCGCACCGATTAATGTCTTGCGATACCCAAAGCGGTCGGCGAGGATACCGTTCATGAAGAGACCTATGATTGAGCCGCAGAGCACTCCGTTGGTGAGGCCAGACTGCCAAGCGGCCGTGAGTTGGTAAGACCCGTTGGGCTGCAGGTCTCCAAATTGGCGTTGAAAGGCTGGGTACGCAAAGAGCGACCGCAAAAGGGCCGTGTCGAAGCCGTCCATGATGATGCAAGTCGAGATGAAGATGGACCACAAACAAGCTTTCCGATACAGCTTGAAGGATTTGACAAGGCCCATGTTGTGCTCAGCATCAGTTGCCGCCGCAGCCTCCTGGACAGTCGAAATGTCCACCTTGGCGGGCACGGATGCCGAGACATGATGCGGCTCTATGTCTTCGTTCTCTGCCATGTTGGCAATACTATGAAGCAACAAGAAAACAAGAAGACGAAAAAGGGGGTATCAACCTTGAGGTAAAGTAGAGATTTTCAAGTCATCCACACCGCAGGCTCGAAGACTTGATAACTGAGGTTGAGGTTGGATGAGAAAAGAGGGGGAGGGAAACAAGACCCCAAAGCGGCACTCGATTGGAACTTATATACACGACTACCAGGCGCGGCGTGGTGAGCAAGTCCAGCCCAAGCAGGATTCTACACAATCTTGTAGTAATGGAGTTTGGTGAAAAGAAGAAGAGAAGAAAAAAAAAATCGTGGCTATTGACGGGATGACATGGAACTTCAAAAGCCACGGCGTGGGCGTTGAGCGGATAATATGGTTCGATTTAGCTCAGTTTAAACTAGTGCGCCACTGGCAGTTAGTTGGACGCATGTCCACGCTCACCTCCGCCAGTCTAAAAGCGATCCGAAGAGTTGTTGGCCATCTAGCTTCGTCCGGGGTAAACGTGGAGGGGATCATGGGAACCTGCAGGCTCTGTGGAGAGTCGATTGCGGTTCTTCGGCATTCAACTTGGTCCAGTCTAGACTGCTCTGTCGGTCCGAGACATGGACATTGAACCAATTTCCCTGGATGTCAGAAAGGCGACTATTCGGATTCAATCTTTCATTCTAGCAGCCCGCCACTGACATGCTCTCGTGTGTTCTTGTTATGGGTCTTGTTATTCATGCATTTGTGTCTGGAGGGCAGCCAACAACCCTCATGGGTGCTCTGCGTATTTCGAGGGGGCTTGGCTGTGAGAAAGATTCAAATAGGCAAGATACCAATCGGCAACCTTGCATGATTTCGTCTGGGATGGTCAAAACGAAGCCGGAGGGAGGGGGGTTGACCAGCAACACTCGCCAGCTACCCCATGGGGACCCCACGATGTACTGAGCATGGATGCCGGTTAGCAGCCGACAACAGAACTCGAACCACTGTCTGCACATTGGCAAGCGTCGGTCCGACATATCAACCTGTCCTCGGGCAGGTGATTCGATTTTGAGCGCCAAGATGAAACTATTTTTTCAGCTGATTCAACCATTAGCTCGGAAATTGGTCGTCCCGGAAAGACTTCATGGCAAGACAGTTTCGCAGTCCAGGTAGACCTGGTACGATGCCAACCTCGCGCGGACACCAAGCTGCTTAGTCCGAGATAGGTGCTTCAACATCGGGCTCCACTCATTCAGACTCTATGAGCACAGGTTTGAGGGGGCAAATTCTTGTAGGTTGTAGTCGGAGTGGCTACAACCTCGCTTCAACGGCACGCGGAGCGAATTATCTCTGCCTACCATCCCATAAGACGCCGCTAGTGTGGTTGAAAATGGGGAATAACGAAGCCAAGGACCCATTGCAAACCGCCGGAGCCAACAGTCAAGAGGTCAAGTGTCAGAGCGGCCGTGGAACTTGACACCAAAAGGGCATAGCATCGGGCCGACAATGGTCCAATGGGCATCTCTTTTCTTTCGTCGGTCCGACATTCAGCAAATCATGGCTCTTAATCCCCAGTTTGCGCCGTTAGCCTGTCCACCGAGACACTTCCCCCCGCCTTTCTTTGGGAAGTATCTACGCCAGGCAAGCGATACGAAGATGGTCTCGGCCAACTATCGACAATCGACACAACAGATACTACTACAAAATCATCAGCATGAGTCTCGGCAAACATCCGCTCCTCCTATCAACGGACGCTTCGAAGAACCCGCATCCCGGTCATGCTCATTCCCCGTTGATGGTGGAGTTCCAAGCATCGTGCTGCCTTAAACTTGTTGAGCGAGCTTTCCGTTATCGCTGGACAATGAAGGCTCACACGGGGGGATTTAAGAGCCCGGTTCGGGATTTTTTCAAAGCTTTCTTGGGCTTCTTGAATGACTACACCCCCTTTCCTCACCGAAAACAAAGTAACCTGCCCAGTTCCTCTTTGCCTCTTCCTCTTGCAACTGGACAACTTTCGCTTTGTAGTCGCTTTTTGACGACTGTGGACATATCCAAATTCATTTCTCATTTACTTTGTCAAGAAATTTCTCTCTCTTTTTTTTTTTTACCACGTCTACTGGAAAACATGACTGTGCCCGGACGTCTCAAGCTGTGGTGGAAACATGCCGTAATCTACCAAATCTACCCGGCATCATTCTGTGATTCTAATGGAGATGGAATCGGTGACCTTCCGGGCATCACCTCTAAGCTAGATTACATCGCCAGTCTTGGTGTCGATGTTGTCTGGATCTGTCCCATGTACGATAGTCCTCAGGTGGACATGGGGTACGACATCTCCAATTATGAAGACATCTACCCGCCTTACGGCACTCTACAAGACATGGAGACTCTGATCCGCGAGGCCCATGCTCGAGGCATGAAGGTCATGCTGGACCTTGTTATCAACCATACATCCGACCTGCATCCTTGGTTCAAGGAGTCCCGTTCAAGCAAGGACAACTCAAAGCGTGACTGGTACATTTGGAGGCCAGCCAAGTATTCCCCCACTGGCCAGCGTCTTCCTCCAAACAACTGGCGCTGCAAGTTTGGCGGCGACAGCGTGTGGGAGTGGGATGAGCAATCAGGCGAGTACTATCTTCACTTGTTTGCCAAAGAGCAGCCGGACCTGAACTGGGAGAACCCCGCCACCCGCAAAGCCCTGTATGCTTCAGCAATGGAGTTTTGGCTTGGACGCGGTGTCGATGGCTTCCGCATCGACACCGTCAACATGTACAGCAAGCCACCTGGGTTGCCTGACGCACCAGAGTTGGACCCTGGAGCGCCATACCAAGTGGCCGACATGCTGTACTGCAATGGCCCCAGAATGCACGAGTTCCTCGGCGAGATGAATCAGATTCTGGCCAAATATGGCGCCATCACGGTTGGTGAGCTTCCCTCGACGCCAGATATGGCTCGCGTGCTACAGTATGTGAGTGCGGAAGCCAAGCAGCTCGACATGGTTTTCCAGTTTGACGTTGTGAATGTTGGCTTCAACCGTCCACTGAGGTACGACGCAAAGCCCAAGGACTGGCAGCTGCCCGAGTTCAAGGAAGCCATTGCTCGGACCCAAAACCTTATCAGGGGTACCGATGCTTGGACAACAGTCTTTCTAGAGAACCACGACCAGGCGCGATCAATTACACGTTTCGCAGATGACAGCCCCCAGCATCGAGTTGCGAGTGGAAAGATGCTGGCTCTTCTGCAGGCCTGTCTAAGTGGCACCCAGTACATATATCAGGGCCAGGAGATTGGATCCATCAACGTCCCAGAGGAGGGCTATCCGCTCGAGAATTACATTGATGTCAGCAGTTGCCTCTACCTTGACTTTATTCGGCAACACCGCAATGGCCAAGGCCTGGACAAGGCCCTCACTTCTCTAGCACATTTTGCGCGAGATCACCCTCGTGTTCCAATGGTATGGAACGGGAAAGCAAAATACGGCGGCTTCTCTGAAGAAGCAGAGAAGTCTGGAAAGGAGGTCAAAGAGCCCTGGATGAAGCCTCACCCCCTAGCTGGTCAAATTGATGTCGCTTCGCAGCTCGACGACCCGCACAGCGTCTTGGCCTACTGGCGAAAGGCGGTGCGCTTCCGAAAGGAGTATGCCGATCTGCTCGTATATGGCGACTATCGGACGCTACGGGAGGAGGACAAGAGCATCTACACCTTTGTGAAGGAGCCGCCGTCCAATGGATCGGCCAAGGCCGTAGTTGCGCTCAACTTTACTGGCGAGGAGAGCAACTGGGAAAAGCCCACGATTGAAGAGCTAGGAATTGAAGAGGGCGCCAGCGTCAAGTTTGTACCAATCATGTCTTCGTATGACGGCAAGGTTGATGAAGGAGCTTTGCGTCCTTACGAGGGGAGGGTCTACATGGCCTCCTGGTGAGTTGTTTCATATTACAGAATAGATGCAAAGACAACACTGTGCTTGTTGAACAAAGCAAAATCAACCAATCCTCCTTGCCTGTGGAAGAATGTGGAGAATCTGACATGTCTTGCAACTTGAAAGAGCTGAAGCCGATAATCCGGAATGGAATATTGATTTCCCGTCGATCTGAAAGGTTGTGGGTTTGTGCGAAATTTTCAACTCCAACATTCCGTCATAGGCTAAGATATGCCTCCGCCTTGTCAATCAAATAGGCCGTGTGGCTCAATGGCAGAGCGTCTGACTACGATACAGTATATCAGGAGGTTGCAGGTTCGACCCCTGTCTCGGTCAATTTTTTTCTCTCAGGTCTCTGGAGCGTTTTCTTTTTGGCGGCAACATTATTAGCATTTCCTTGTGAGGTTGCGATTGATGTCTTATGAAGCAGGTGATGTCTGTTTGTGGGAAAATGCCCGAGGCTGTCTGACCCTTGACGAGTTGCCGGTGTCTAAGCCTTGGCGATGGGACTTGACCGCTTGGAGTTTACAGAGCACGACTCAGACAGCCGCAACTTATATGCAGCACGGATCCCGGGCCAGTGGGACTATCTACATGTACGAGTACTTGAAGGGGGCATATTGCTCGTGTTCCGGCCCATCGGCAGTGCCAAATCAGGGGATACCAGCATCTCACACGGGGGTGGCACTGCAATTCCCCGTTTTGCGAGCCAAATAGCAGATCTATCTAATCAGATTCCGCTGCGTGGCATTCCCGCCGACTTCCTGCATATACGAGCTTTCTGGAATCGGAACAAGCATGCCAGTCTTGTGAAGATTCCTACTGACTGTCCAGACGTGTCAGTAAAGATTACCAAAAACACGGGGGATTGATACAGGTAAATCCACGAATCACGGCCTACTCTGTTGATGCCGGTGTAGGTATGTAGATGCGGCTCGGCTCATCGGCAGAAGGATGAGTCGGGCATGTCTCTGCATTAGACTTGCTGTCAACCTTGTTTTCGGTTTGACGAATGGAGGAAGCATAAAAATAGAAAGCAGCACAAAAGGTTTACTCATCAGGCACTGCAGATGGATCCCAACATCACGAGAACAGCAGAGGCCCATTGCATTGACCGCTTCTTGATTGCTTTCTTTTTCCTTCTTTTTTTTTTCTCGTATTTCGAACTCGCATCAAGGGGCAAATGACGTCGGGACCCTGAATGGCACAGAGTGAGATGCGGAACGATCGTCAGTTTGCTTACCGGACTAGGCTGGAAGAGGAGGGTGCAGCAAGAATATATAAACGAGTGATGCCACCAGTGTTTGGAAGAAGGATCCGAAGCCTACAGCAGAAAACAAGCAAACAAGCCTTTGAAACCAAACACTCGATTCTTTCGATCATCATCATCACCATCATCATCATCATCATCATCATCATACCAACGACTTTTCATCACTCAACATGAAGTTCTTCGCCTCACTCGTTGCCGTTGGCCTCTTTGCCGGCTTGTCCCTGGCCCAGGACAGTGTGCAGACTGCTCACGTCACTCTTCGTTCCGAGGGCGATGACCACTCTTACCCTCTGACCGTTCCGGCAGATGGCAAGCCCGTCTTGACATACAGCACCCTCCCCATCGTGGTGATTGACGCCCCCGACTTCAACGTTCTCCAGGCCTGTGTGATTGAGACTCCCGGCCCGAAGAACTTGAGCAGCACCATTGCCTCTGATGGCGTGACACAGCAGGTCGTGATTGATCCCCCGCAGGCAGTCACCAGCATTTCTTGCCAGGGAACTTGTGTTGCCACTTATGGTAAGCTTTGTGGATGAGGGATAGTCGTGTGGTTGTGTTATTTGTATATGCTAATTCATGATGAATAGATTCCTGCTTTGCTCCGGACGGCTCATACGTTGGAGCTTGCTGCAACGGCCTGTGCGTTGCGTCCAAGTGCAAGCCTTGGAACATTGGCTCGCAAGCATAAGGGGGTTAAGTTGTGAAAAAAAAAATCAAGGGGACTTGAATCGCGATTATCCGAAGAGACTGGTATCTGCAATGGTGTATGCGAACGGACATGGTTTATAACGGTGTTGACTGGGGTGTTTTTGTTTGATATGGCTTTTGCTTGTATACGATTATAACACTACCTAACTACCTATCAATGAGAGACTTTTGGAGTTGTTCATATACACAGAGACCGAAAGCGACAGGAGTGCAAAAGGACAAAAAATGACACCTGAGGGATTCGAACCCTCGCCTATTACTAGACCGCGAAGCAAGATGAAATCCTGAACACGGCGCCTTAGACCGCTCGGCCAAGGTGCCTTTGATGGATGATGGGCGAGAGAGCGGTTGTTGAGACTCAAAGACGAAGAGTGGCGGGAAGAGAGAGAGAGAGTCGCGATGTTGTTGTGGAAGCGGGCAGATGGTGTTTTCACATGCGAGGGGGGGTTAAAGACTTCAATGGTAAGAATAATTGGTACGAGCTAATACTCTATATTATGCCTGTGTATATACCGAAAGTGGAAAGTGGGCTTGGCTTAGGTAGAGGATGATGAGAGAATTCGTCAAAAGCCATCGTCAGGAAAGGAGATGTTCATGCCGCTGCAGGCATGTCCTGTGAGAAGAGGTAGACATCCGTGGAACTAGGCCGTCTATCTTGATATCGTACAAAGGAGAAGAGCAGCATTAAACAAGACTAGTGGTAGCAGCAACGCTCCGTTAACGCCATAATTTCTGTCAATTCGTGTCGTCGTGAAGTAAGAGGGTCGTCCGTTGTATACAATCCATCCCTTATCTAAACGGGAGAAGAAAAAAAGGAGGTAGAACCAATTTGCAAATGTCATCAGATAAGAAAGCAAGCAAGCCGCCGTCGCCGTCATCATCGTTACTGTATCATAACCGAACAAACAAGAGAGGAAAGAAGGAAGAGAGAAGGAACCCGCCAGTCGTCCCCAGACACATATTCATAATCAACGCCTCTTGCCGCCGCCGGCCAGTCCATCAGCCAGGGCGGCCGTCAGAGCAGCCGTGGCGACCTTGGCCCCCTTTGCGCCCAGCCAAGGACCGGCTTCTTTGCGGTTCTGCATAATGGCCTGGGCACCAGCAGCCAGGGCGGTGCGGGCGCCGGCCTGGACAACTGGGTTCTTCCACCAGGAAGTGGTGCCGCCTTTGAGCTTGAGGCCCGAGCTGGGCACTGCGGGCATGGTGCTGCGACGCTTGAGTGAGGAGCGGCCGGCACTGGGGGCTCCACGGTCACGATCACGGCCGCCGCGGTCATGGCCTCGATCCCGGTCTCGGTCCCGGTCTCGGTCCCGGTCCCGAGTTCGATCTAGGTCCCGGCTGCGGCTTGAGCCGTGGCCGGCATCCGTGTCGCGAGGCTGTGAGCGATGTCGTCGCTCCCGGTCATCTCTTCTGTCGTCATCGCCGCGAGAGCGTGACGACTTCTGCGGTGGTGGTGATGACGATGCTGCTCCTCCATGGGACCGGCGAGAAGAACGAGGGTCCCTGCTGGCTCGGTCATCGGACGAGGGTGCGGGTGCGGGTGCGGGTGCGGGTGCGGGTGCGGGTGCGGGTGCTGGGTAGCCGCGTGAAGAACGGCTTTTGTGGTCTGGGGAGTCATATCGAGACCGCCGTGGGGGTTCTGGGGATGGCTCACGGCGCGAGGACCTGTGACGCCGCTCACGTGGATCCGACGGGGGAGGAGGGGGGTAGTCTCGTGAGCGCCGGTCAGCATCTCGGTGGCGCGAATCTCGCTGTGAATCTCGCTGCGAGTCTCTCGGTGAGTCCCTCGGCGAATAAGTGTCGCGGTCGCGGTCGCGGTCACGGTCACGGCGGGATGAGCGAGGGTCTCGCTGAGGCGGAGGAGAGGGCGCAGAGAAGGCCGGCGGGCTTGGATGTCGACGGCTACGAGATGGCTTCGCATCTGCACCTCCGTAGCCCGGGGACTGGTCGCGACGGCTGCCGCGCCGGGATTTGCGGTCGTCGTCGGGCGAATAGGCGGGAGACGGGGGTCGGCGGCCCTTTTCGGATCGGCGGCGAGAGGACGAAGGGTCTTGATATGGATCGACAGGCTCGTCTGGGTTGTAGTATGAGTGGTTGAGGCCTTGCGCGGGCTCTGGCTCGGAGCGCCGCGACGAGGGGTAGAGGGGCATGGTATGTATGGATGGAAGAGAGTGGGCGAATGGTTGCGTTACAGGGCGAAAGGAAGCTCTCGAGGAAAGCAAAAGACGGACATTGTCAAGCCGAGAGCGGCATCAGGCAGGGGAATCGCGCTGCTTATATGTACGAGTATAAGCCGGGATGGACGATGCCGTCAACAGGCATCCGATGTCTGAGGTTGGACGGCAATGATGATGAGCCCCGCTGACTTGTGCAGGTCAGAAGGGCCTTTTACACTTACAGGGAACGATGGGCGATTTGCAGCGCATCAGGCCTCCAAGCTTCCAATAGACGCGCCCGGCTCCGGTGTCCTACAGCGATGGCTGCAGCGGGTTTCCAGCGATCCGGAGGCGCTGAAGAGGGTTCCAAGGCTCAATCAATGTTTGCATGGGGTTTGCAAGGTTTGGGGGCCTCCTGACGTCACGCGGGCCAATGGGCGACTCGGGCGGTGCGCCTGATGGGAGGGCAAAAGTCGCCTGACGTCAAAGCAACGCTTTTCCATGTGGCGGAGCGAGCGAGAAACAAAGAGACGTTTTGGACGTTGGCACAAGGAGGAAAATTCTGTAAAGAGTTTTATTTTTTTCAAAGGACCTTGATGGGTGCTACAAGGATGGCAGGATTTGGGCGAGGATCATTGTGGATTTGGGGGAAACGATTGGCAGCAGATCAGCGATGTCGGGTTTGATGTGAGGTTTCGTGTAACATACATTCTACATCCACGCCTCTCGGATCGGTGGAGATATCACGAGTAAAGGCCATCTTTCAACACAAAAGATGCTGCTGCTGCCTACTAAGGTACAACAAACTTCCCTTGTTCAGATCCATGTTGTATATACATGTACCTATGATTGTTTGCAGACATGTGCGCCTCTCTCTAGGTTAGCACTTGCACCTTGTAGGCAGCCACGCGAGAAGCCTCACGTGCAGCCGCGAAGACATCATTGACCATTGACTTTCAACCGACATCTCTCCCCATCAGCAAGCATTCAACATGCCTATCCATGAATCCCCACGCACGAGTACGAGTACAGGCACAGGCACAGCCTTTGGGGATGCTCGGTGAGTTTTCGCCGGCCAAGCCTTTTCCGCGAGTCTAAACGCTCGATCCGCGCCGCCACCCGCCATCAGGCCGCGCCTCCGACTCCCGAAAATCCCCCTGGGCTAACGCTTTGGTGACACAACACAGTACAAGCAGGTCCTGATCCCTTGGCGGACCCGAAGCGCCCTGAATCTTTGAATAAATCAGGTCACTCTTTTGCCTGCGCCTTGATCCAGCGTGCAACGACTGTGCGACCCTTCAATCGAATGTCGGAGCGCCCGCCGTTTTCCTCCGGCTCTGTTTCGTTTGCCTTTTGCCAGCTCCGGTTCAATCCGGCCTCTTTTGTCCATGACATGGTTACAACATCATTCCTTGCTGGCTTGTCTTTCAACTCGCTCGAGTGTCTGACATTTGGCAAGCTCAGATTCGGCACGTTGACGTGTGGCCAAGAGCCGAGGTGGATAGCCTGGCAGCTACCCGGTATTATCCTGATATTCGACGCCCTGTCTCACAGCGCCCCCTTTTCCAAGTGGCTTGACTGAGGCTTGAGACATCTTGCGAGCTGACGTTGAGCATGTCTCAGTTGATGGTACATGCGTCATGCTGCCGTTAAACGAGCTGACTGTCTGGGGGGCCATCGTGGGGAATGGCGTCTGTGCATGCGTGCATGCGTCAATCATTTACGATACGATATATCGGCAATCCAGAGTACAGGTATGGATGTCAAGTCTGCGTCGTGCATTACGCATATGCATCGGCAAACTTGAGGCTGAACCGTACGAGTACTCGTAGCACCAAAGGAGATCCCTCACCGCGGCCGAGCGAAACCGTTATATCGGCCTATGCGGCCTTGTCAAACGTCGGCTGGACGATCCTCTATGGATACACTTAGCTGCGCAAGCATGGCTCGAGCCCTGCTGTTCAAGGTAGATCCCTGTCGTCGCCCATTGCTCGATGTGGACCTGACAACCGCCTTTAGATCCGAATGACTCCGTCTTGAGTCCGCGCTTTAATTTCAATACGAGCTGGCAGCTTGCAGATCACTTCTTCACAGTCTTCAGCCGCTGGCAAATTGACCCAATCTTGGACCTCGGCGAGGGCTTCGATATGGATATGCTTCGGGCACAGATTGACGGGCGATCCGCTGCCGTTTTCTACTGGCTACCGTGAAGCCCTACCCTCAGCAGGGGAAGACGGAACAGCACGCGGCTGCTCCGCTGCAACTGACTCGCAGTATATTCAGCTGACTCTGGCTGCGGCAGTTGCGTAATGACTGGAAACCCGGTCGGCGGTATCGTCGTCAATTTCCATGTACGAGTACGGTATTATCATCATTGTGACTTGAAATTGCTCAGAGACAACGCCAACAGCCAACCCCAGATACAGCATCATCTTCATGGTATACAACCATTACTACACCATCAAAAAATGTGTCATGTGCTGCATAATCATGCATGTACCTGCGGCTCCATGCAACCTTTAACCATTACGTGCCATCAAAGCTTCTCATCATACGCCGGGTAATCGGTAAAGCCAATGGTCGGGTCCTCAAACGGACCATAGAAGCGAGACCTATCGTACGGGGCAAGAGGCCAGCCGTTGCGAAGTCTCTCCACCAGATCCGGATTGCTGATGAAAAATCTGCCGTACAGCAGGGCATCGTATCTGCCGCTTTCCAAGACCCCCCACGAGTTGAGCTGGTCGAAGCCGCCGGCAGAGAAAAAGGGCGTGTCTCCCCAGATCTTGCGGAACATGGAGAGGTCGACGTTGGGAAGCCCCCATGAGGCAAGGAACTGTTGCTTCTCCGCCTCGGAAAAGATTTGCTCGTATCGTGGCTCGATGAAGCTCACGTACGACAGATTGGGATGGCGCTTCTTCAGCTCGCGGCACAGATGGCCCCAAGTCTCCAGACGCTGCTCACTGCGAGCCTGGTTGAAGAGACCAAAGGGAGTCAGGCGGATGGCCAGGTTGTCTTCTCCCACCGTCTTGGCCAGCTCGGCCATCAGGTCAAAGACGAACCTGCAGCGCTTCTCTGGCGAGCCACCGTACTCGTCTGTTCTCTTGTTGATGTTGGAGCTTAGGAATTGCTCCGGCAGATAACCGTTGCCCCCGTGAAGCTCCACACCGTCAAACCCAAGCTCCATGGCCGTCTTTGCGGCCGAGCAGTAATCGCGAATGGTTTTCTGGATGTGGTCGGCCGTCAGCTCGAGTGGTAGCTGCTCGCTATACCTGACAGGCGTCGTCGAGTGGGGTGCGGGATACATGAAGCATTCGTTGGGATCATCCCAGGGGATGCTCGACGGGGCCACGATGGGCGTTCCGGTAAGCTGCGGGATGTTGGCACGCCCAGAGTGCCAGAGCTGCGCATAGATGTAGGCACCTTTGGCATGGACGGCGTCAACAACCTTCTTCCATCCTTTGGCTTGCTCTTCTAGGAAGATTCCGGGGACTCCGGGCATGGCATTTCCCTAAACGACTCGAGGTCAACTTGCCCGCGTCTTATAACTCTACGGTGACTGGAACGGTGACATACTTCTAGCGAAGGCGGAATGCCCTCGCTGATGAGCAGGCCGCCGTCTGTTGCCCGCTGCGCATAATACTCTGCAATGACATTGTTGGGGATCCAGACGCGATTCGGATTCTCAGCTGTTGAGTTCTCACGATGCGGCGTGCCACGATTGCGCGTCAAGGGAGCGAGCACGACTCGATGCTTGAGGGTGATTTTGCCATTGGCAATTGTAAGCGGCTCGAACAGCTTAGAGTCCTTTCCGACGTTGACTTGGGAACCCATCTTGTCCCGTGATATATGTCTTTGTTTCTTCCTTGTTGCAATACACTTCCAGAACCAAACAGTGAGACAGATATGCAGTGCGTGCTGCTCAGCCAAAAAACCCGAGCTGCCCAGAGCTATCCGTTGGCAGAATGGCTTGGGAAACTAAGATTCCAGAGGAGAGAAGAAGGGAGGGCGCTCATTTCCAGAAGAAGGGAAATGCGACCCTGGTATCTACTGCAACACTAACACGCTCGTCCATTGAACCATGCGTGTACGTACATACATGCGGTATCATATGCGGCAACGAGACTTGATTGCATCAATCGGCCTCCCCTGACAGAAACCGTCGGCTGAATACCTACTGTCGAGAAGCGCATGGCCGAGCCTCGACATGGATCTGAGAGAAATTTGTTGCAGGGCACTCCACTCAACTCCGTCCAGATGCATCGAAACGACTCCACTGCGGTAACATCGTGGGTCAGAGACTTCTTTTGCCGAAAGCACACGATCTTTTCTAAATGAGCCAACGATCTTCATGACGGTTGTTTTAGACCATGTCCATCCCCCATGGTAGCGTTTGGCGGTGCAGCCAGCCCGCTCCAGCTCACCCCTAGCCCAAGCCGCATGTATCAAGTCCTTTGGTTCTGACATTGGGCTTGATGATTTGTGTTAATGGGTTATGGGGGGGGTGTATACCATGACTAGCATCATGTTGTTGGTTGGCTCGGCGTACTTTGATATGCGGTTGGCTTGTCGTGTTTCGCCCCCCCCGGCAGGCTAGATTCGGTTTCCGATTCGCACGAGGGGGGACCATCTCACCGTCATGACCCCTGCTTGGTTTCTTCAGCGGTGCCGTGGCTACTTATCCCAATTCATCTTCCGCTGGCAGCCGGATCCACAACGGCTCGGATCCCTGGTCCCGGTCCACTTTGGCAGCTGGACTGACGCTGCAGCTCTGAATGAGCACGATCAAGGCTTTCAAGAGGGTCCAATACCGCCGATACAACATACTCGTACTCGTAGTAATAGGCATGGTGATTTCTGAGGCTGACCACATCGGTAGAGTGGCGGATGGTACTCCGTATGATGTGATTGGTAGCCGAGTGTGGTAGGGGCTTCTCTAACTTTAATCCATCTTTCTCTTAACCCCTTCCTTTCCCATCCTCTTCTTTGAGTCTTTTCGGGTCCCAAACGGATCCTATTACACCTGCATTAGCCCTTTATCTTGTGAATGATCCCTCCTTTCACGAGTTGCTGTCAACTCCAACTCCCGGCAGCCGTTTCTCTGACGCTCGGCATCTTTCAACCTTATTCCTTACGTTGCAGAATCATGAAGTTTTGCCCGTCATGAGTTATCCCGGTGCAGCTCCGCCTCCTGAAGGCGTTATCCCTGACCTTGCTCACCCGCAAGATGTCCTGAGGACTGTGAATTATGTCACACAAGGCTTGACAATCTTCTTTGTCTCCATCTTTGTTGCCATACGATTCTATGCGAAAACCAGAGTGCTGGGAGGCAGTTTTACACCAGACGACTGTGAGTGAAGTGGTTTCCCAAGGAACAAGTAAACCGACAGAAACTGACTTGAAACAAAAATAGATGCGACCTACGCGGCTTATGTATGGATGACATTTTGGCGACGGAATTCGAGACGAGATCCAAGACTGACAGGTGCATTAGGTGCTTATGTTGGGATACTGTATCACTGCATGCTTTGGTAAGTGCGGTTTCTTTCTACCCCTTTACAGTTATTGTGAGCCGTCCCACTGACAACTGCGGTAGCCGGGGCACATGGCGGAGGCCTGAATATATGGGAAGTGCCAAAGGAAGAGGTTGAGAAATACTTTCAGGTAACAACCGCATCCTTCAGCATCTTGCGTGGAAAGCTAACGTCTGGTTCAAAGTCTTGCTATGCCGCCACCATCTTCTATGCCCCGATGGCCATGACCGTCAAGCTGGCCCTGCTCGTCATCATCATCCGTGTCTTTGGATCCGTCCACCGGCGAACCCTGATCGGAATCTACATCTTCATTGGCATGATTGTCGCATACTATGTCTCCGGCTTCTTCATCAAAATCTTCATCTGCTGGCCCATTAGTACGTACAGGTGGAATGTGAAAAGGTGCGAGGTCATCTTGCAGCTACGTAGCTAACTGACTGTGGGATAGGCGCGTATTGGACAGGAGATGCCAGCAAATGCATGAACCAGAGCGCCATTGTCACGGCCGACTCCATCATCAGCGTCATCAGCGACTTGGCCATCCTGCTGCTTCCGACACCCCTTACCTGGTCGCTCCAACTGCCTCGACGAAAGCGCCTTCGCGTTACTGGACTGTTGTGTGCTGGAGGAGTTGCTACGGGATTTAGCATTTACAGATTGGCCATGATTGTTGACCAACGAAACTCTACCAATATGACCATGGTTTTCATCAAGGTTATTCTGTCAGGGTAAGGACGCATCTTGCGTTTACTATGCAACTGGGGGATCGGAACGACTTAGGCTAACGTGATTGTCGAAACCAGAAACGCCGAAGCGGGCATTGGCTTGATATGCGCCTGTCTCCCGGCCGTCAGCGCCCTCTACGTCCAACGCACCCGCGGTTCTTCATACTTTAAAAACCCTGGCCACTCCAGCGTCACCGGCCGCGGCGAAATCATGCTGACGCGATCATATCACGTCGACCGATCGGCCGTGGACAAGGACGTGGACGAGAGCGCCCTCGAGCTGGGCCACGACGAGACAGGACTCGTGTCTAACATGGAGGCCCAGGTCAAAGCCAATGCTGCGGAGAGCCACCACTCCAACCGATCCGAGGAGACGCTATGATTCCCTTTGTACTTTGTCTTGCTTCTTCTTTCACACCATCAAAAGTTGGACCGGCGCTATTTTATACACTTAATTCGAAGATTTTTCACGTTGATACGAGCCCACAGATATGGGCAGGGGATGTAAAATGAAACAGGGCATATAAATCCGTTTACGGGAGGGAATTCTTGATATATACCAGCCTTTTCGTAAGGCAAGCACTTTTCATTTAATACTATTCTATGAACTACATCTATCGAGCCGAAGCAGGCTTCATGATATGACCCAAAGAACAGTCGACGATCCATCTTGGGGAAAAGCAGAAGAAAATCGGAGCTTGAACAAGACCCCGTTTTTCGAACGTTGTACTCGTAAGGCACCATCTGAGGGGAAACAAGAAAGACGGAGATGGACGCTCGAGCAAGGCTCATCTTTGGACAATCAAGTGGATGGAAAAAACTCGGCTGGTTCTGTGCCCGCCCCGCCCCCCCCCCCCCCCCCGTTATGCAAATGCGACATGAACATATGCCTGTGATGCTGACTTGCTCCCCTGAGAGATCATTTCTCGCTTCGAGATTTGGCCCCCTCTTCGCGATCGGCACCCCGGTTTCGCAAAAGCTTAGGCTACTACATAGAGAAAAGAAGTGCATGCGCCCACAAGGGGAAGGTCGTGGAGGTCGGGGCCCCCTGTGGCTACAGTACGAGTAGTACTCGTACATGTAAGAATGCTTGGTAGGCTTGGAAGGATTTCGAGCAGCCTGCAGCGCGTCAGCACAATGCTTGGCGGCGGCGTTTGTCGGCGGACTCTTGGATCGGACTGTTGGAAGAGTCGGACGAGGGAATCCATGTACGTTTGCATGGACGAGTAGGCAATGTGGTAGTATTATCGTTTACAGGGACATGCTTTGTAATGAGATTTATTTTTGAAAAGTGATGATACTGCACATTACGGAGTACAGTAGTTTGTTATCGTACGACTCGAGGAGTTTCGGGTTCGGTTGTGCCATGTCTGCAAGTCTCAAATGACTGAGGCCATTTTTTATTTTCAATTAGTCAAGGAACAACATTTTTGCTTAGATGTGGGTTGATCGGTGAGATTGAGATTTAGGCCGAGCATATGGAGTATACTGTAATATTCCACTTCAATCTGTCATCAAATTCTCTTCGATCGCGTGGGTACGGCAAGGACGGGAAGGCTAGGTAGGAGGCTTGTTCCGTGTTTTTTTTTTTTTTTTTTTTTTTTTTTTTTTTTTTTTTTTTTTTTTTTTTTTTGGCGATGAGCGGCATGATTTCTTTGGCTTCTGACTTGTTTAAAGCGTTGCTTTGGTGGTTTGATGGGGACGAGATTTGATGGCTGCTTATGTTTGAAGCTAAATGGTTGGATATCCAGGTACATGGGTTGAGATCTGCCGGTATGGCTTGACAGGCTAAAGACGTTGCTTACGAGTACGACTGGCAGAGTTGTTTATGATGGAGGCAGCAGCACTCCGTAATACCTATCCAGACATTATCAACATTACGGACATGTATGAACAATCCTTGGGTTTACTGTCCATGAGTATAAATGTCATGTATGCACCCCTTTCATACAAGTCATACAGCACCAGTAGAGGAGGCACGTGAGAATTCGATAATGCGCGTCTGCACCATGCAGTGGTACCATACTTGGTGAGCAGGATTGTAATAGTTGGGCATCGAGGATGGCTGTTTCATGAAATGCCAGGATGGACTATGTTGAAGAGAGCTGGGCTGGCAGGAGTCAGTTGTCTACGTGTGGCTGACAAAAGTCTGGGAATCGTGAGAATTTAGCTGCCCAAGAGTTGAATCGGCGTTTGGAAGCGCAACTGTTGACAGGGTTGGATCAAGTATAAGAGGTGAGGGCGGCGCCACGTCGAATACACACGGCTCTTTTAGATGGATCAGGTAATGATGCCGTGTGAGCACATGTTTCAAAAGTCTTTGTATAAAAGTATGTGCGCATATGCGTGTAGAGATTGGATCACGGGTTCGTTTGACGAGTTACCCAGACCGTAGTTTTAAAGCACAGCAGCCCAAACGTGTGTCCTGCAGATGAAGCCATCTGATAGGTCGTCGGCTCATCGTTTCTGGTTAGAGTAGGCAGGACTTGTATGTGTATGTATATGCACCATCCTTGAGGGATTTGCTGGCAGAGCTTCTGTGAGCAGCATCAAGCACTCGTACACACTGAGGGAAGATCCGGCGTGTCGCCTGGCGGGAGTCGCCGGCCTCCATCTCGCAGGCTCCCGAGAATCTGGGGGACGGGCGATGGTTTATACTGCGGAGGGCGATGCCTTGATAGCGATGCAGGTACGGCGATTCGATAAGGTATCTCGATAATGCGGAGAAGATGACGAGACACGACATGGATGCTGATAACGAGCCGAGCATCTCTGCTTCTCTTTGCAGCGTGCGGATTCACAAACTCGTACGAGTACATACAGAGACGCCAAAAAAGCGGCGACCCCGGACCGGAGCGGAATCAAGCCCGGGTTTTGGGGGGGCTTGCTTATCGATGCGATGCGATTGGCTGGCTGCTCTTCTTCTTCTTCTTCTTCTTCTTCTCTTCATGCCGCCTTTGTTAGCCTCTTTTTCATGATGGAATTCTCGAACAGCGACTAGCTGGATGGGGCAATTCGAGACGGCGTTTGTGCCTGTTTTGAGGCTTGACGAAGGGCGAAGGAGAAAAATATTTTATTGGAGGGGCTGCAGAGATAAGGAAGACAAGACAGCCGACAAGCCGAGAATTCTTCCAGACGCTCGGGCTTTTTTTTATGGTTCCCTTTATGGTTCCATGGCCACGAGTTTTGGATTCCAGAAGAATGTTTTGGGGAGATGGAAATAGAAACGGGAGCACCTTGATGGGTTAATTACAAGGACTGAGATGGCATGAGTTGCATACATCGCTCGGGGCAGAGAAGCATCTGACCACCACCAGCAATCGGGGTTTGTTTCTTTTCTTCTGTTTCAACGGCGATCTGGCTGTTGGGCATGTGCGTGTGCGTGTGTGTACGCTAGCAGACGGACCGAGGGAGAATGGCTTTCTTTCCATGAGGGGGCTAAACAAGTTTGATTAGAGTGTGGACTTTTAGTGCCCGGGTTTGCCACGGGCTAATTTCTGCGGTTATTCGAATTGGATGGATGTTGCCAGTTGCGGTTACAGTACAGTATCAGGCATCTACGAATGATGATATGCTCGTACGGGTACACAGAAGCCCGCTATTATAATTCCCTACCTACGTACTAATGGAGGTGATGGATATCCATGATCCGTTATCCACTGATGGAGCATCTCGTTATCAGCTCAGCTCAGTTCGGGTAGGTACCCGTATGTACTCGTACTTGTGCCGCGCAGTCACATCGCGGCCAGACATCATGTACATGTACCGCACACGAGATACTGCATGGTGGCTCCTTCTCCAGCTTCGCGGGCCCACCGCCTGCCCTCCCACGCGCAACTGATTAAGTGATTGCTCGATTAATGGAATCGCGATTGTCTTGTCATGGCTCAGCTCTTTGGTCTTGCGCAAATCACCGACCGCCCAGCTATCAACTCGACTGGGCTGGACGCTGCCGAGTAGCTGCATTGGTCAAATCCCAGCACTCCGAATATCAAATCATGGCTGCCCGCTATAAATAATACGGCATCGAATCGTTCTTTTCCGACCCGAATCGAAATCGAATCGGTTCCTCCTCCTCCTCCCTGCTTCTCTCTTCCCCCCCCCGCCCAACGCACTGCAGATCGCGGATCTAGTATCGTTGCATCCATCGAACTGGTACGACACAGTGTTGGGCCTCTCCCCCCGCGGGAACCAAAGTCGGGTCTCCCCTCATCCTCGTCCTCGTCGTCACCACCAACGGCAACACCAGCACCAACATCGACACGCCTCAGAAACCGCCCATCCGAGCAAATAGAGGCAGCGAAAGCAAAAGAGAAGACGCCAATCACCGCTCAAACCAGCATTCCAGTCCAGTCGAAACCACACACCCCGCAGCGTTGCCTTCGCCCCTGGTCCCTTTTTTTCCCTCTCTTTCGTTCGCCGCCACCGCTATCGCTAGCTAGCCGCCCCCACCACGAACCACGCGAGAAAAAATACAAAAGAGCTTTTTCCATCGCGCAAATCCCGTCCTTCCCTCTTTTTCTCTTCTAGAGGACGTATAGTCCTTTGGTCATTCCCGACCCCTTCGTCGCCAAAGCAAAAGAGACAACTTCGCAGCCATGGGGTGGATGGACAACATCAACAGGAGGGTCGCCGTCAGTCCGGTGGGCAGATGGTTCCGGCTCGAGGGCTGTGGCCATGTAAGTCGCCTCTCTCTCTTTTTCCTTTTTGCTTTCCTTTGGTCTCGGCCACGTCACGAGACACCTCGTGGCTTGGTCGACACCAGTGACGGCAGCTTCCGAGACAATAGTGGAAGAAGCTGTCTCATCTCATACCACTCGTGCATGGCATTTTGCTCACAATCTCTCGTTTTGCGTCTTTTAGCCCAAGGAGCGCAAGGGTTCTCAATTCTTCACCGAGATCCGCGGCGGCCTGGCCACCTTCTTCGCCATGGCCTACATCATCGCCGTCAACTCCTCCATTGTCTCGGATTCCGGCGGTACCTGCGTCTGCAATGGCGGCTCCGCCGACCCCATCTGCAACACCAACGAAGAGTACGCCCTGTGTGTCCAGGCCATCAAGCGCGATGCCGTCACTGCCACCGCCGCCATCTCGGCCTTTGCCAGCTTCTTCATGGGCCTTTTGGCTAACCTGTAAGTCAAGCCGTGTCTGATCCACAGACATCTGGGACCTTTCATCTGACTCTTGCATCAACAGCCCCGTCGGCCTTGCTCCTGGAATGGGTCTGAATGCCTACTTTGCGTACACTGTTGGTAAGTCGAGACTCGTCTTTCAACCCTCTCCGTAGGTGTTCCCCAGAGACTTTTTTTTGCATTCTGACTCCGACATGCAGTTGGTTTCCACGGATCTGGTCCCGTCCCTTATCGAGTCGCCCTGACCGCCATCTTCGTTGAGGGTTTCATTTTCCTGGGTCTCGCCATCTTCGGTATGCGACAGTGGCTTGCCCGTGCCATTCCTCACTCGATCAAGCTGGCCACCGGCGTGGGTATCGGTCTCTTCCTGACGCTCATCGGCCTGACTTACAGCGAGGGTCTTGGCATCATCACCGGAGCCACCGACACTCCTCTTGCGCTTGCCGGCTGCTCGCCCGCCAACATACTCGAAGACGGCACTTGCCCCAGCTTTGACAAGATGCGCCACCCCGCCATGTGGATCGGTATCTTCTGCGGAGGTTTCTTTACCGTGCTTCTCATGATGTACCGTGTCAAGGGCGCCGTCATTGCCGGCATCATTCTCGTCAGCATCATCTCCTGGCCCCGAACCACGCCCATCACCTACTTCCCTCACACTCCCGTCGGAGACGACTCGTTCAACTTCTTCAAAAAGGTTGTAGACTTCCACCGCATCGAGAACACGCTCAACGTGCAGGAATGGGACGTGAGCGCCTATGGTGGCCAGTTTGGTCTTGCCCTCATCACCTTCCTCTACGTCGACATCCTCGACTGCACGGGTACCCTGTACGGTATGGCTCGTTTTGCCAACCTCATCGACCCCGTCACCCAGGACTTTGAGGGTTCCGCCGTTGCCTACATGGTCGACGCCATCAGCATCTCCATCGGTGCTCTCTTTGGCATTCCGCCCGTCACCGCCTTTGTCGAGTCTGGTGCTGGTATTTCCGAAGGTGGAAAGACTGGCCTCACGTCCGTCGTGACCGGAATTTGCTTCTTCATCAGCATCTTCTTTGCTCCCATCTTCGCCTCCATCCCGCCGTGGGCTACTGGCAGTGTCCTCATCCTTGTCGGATCCATGATGGCCACTTCCGTCACCGAGATCAACTGGAAGTACATGGGCGATGCCGTCCCTGCTTTCCTTGCCATTGCCATCATGCCCTTCACGTACTCGATTGCCAACGGCCTCATTGCCGGTGTCATGTCGTACATCATCATCAACTCCATTGTAGGACTCCTGAGATTCGTCTCTCGCGGCCGCATCGTGCCTCCCAACCACGACGAAAAGGAGCCCTGGACGTGGCGCATTCCCGGCGGGTTCTTCCCTCCCTGGCTTGTTCGCCTGTTCCAGGGCAAGAAGGACTTTTGGCGGGAGCCTGATTCCGTCGTTGTGGCCAATGCCGCGGAAAAGGAACAAGACGCCAGTTCAGATGCCGGCAACGACGTGAGCCGTACCGCCGAAACAGCCGAGGTCAAGATGTAAAGCCGTGCTTGTATAAAAAAAAAGCAAACTTGAACAAGATGCGTTATGAGCATAAAGATGACAAAGAAAGAGTTGGGGCTTGTCAAAGTAATTTTTCTTTTCTTTTCTTTTCTTTTCCTTTTGGCGGTTCGATGATAGATGAGTGTTTTGATATGATGTAAGATGGTATAAAATCTAGAGGGATACCTGGAGAGAGAGATGGGAATTAGTTAAATTCATGATACCTATGTTTTTGTTTTGCTGTTGAAGAAAGAAAATAAAACTTTTTGTCATTTTTGGATACAAACTCACATCTGCTGTCATGAGCGTGATAAAACATCATCACTAAGTGACTAGTAGGATCAAAGGGGCTTAAATCATCTTGTTAATGTTATCCATCCACCCCATGGCTGCGAAGTTGTCTCTTTTGCTTTGTGTTTGTTTATATTCATATCTTCATGTCATGTGCCACAAAAACTTTGGGCATGTCCAAAATGCCTGCCGCAGCAATAAACGCTCCAGACTCGCTTTTTATGCCATCAAAGCAATGTGTTTCAGCTCACTGTCGTATTTGTCAGCTCAATTCATTGCTCTCACCAGTTGATATTGGGAGAAGTATGACTGGTTGATATTGGGAAAGGAGACAAGTTGATATTGGAAAGGGAGACAAGTTGATATTGGGAAAGGAGACAAGTTGATATTGGGAAGGGAGACAAGTTGATATTGGAAAAGGGGGGACAAGTTGATATTGGAAAAGGGGGGACAAGTTGATGTTGGAAAAGGGGGGACAAGTTGATATTGGAAAAGGGGGGACAAGTTGATGTTGAGAGAGAGAGAGAGAGAGAGAGAGAGAGAGAGAGAGAGAGAGAGAGGGGAATGATGATTAAAAATACTCACTCTTGCACCTGGAATCCGACCTTTGTTGCAGGATACTGCGCCTCCTCGCCCTCGTCTCGCCCCAGCTTGGCCTGCTCCTCGCGGACCGTCTTGGCCTGCTCCTCGCGGATCTTCTTGGCCTTTTCGGCCAGCGCCGGGACGGGCGCCAGGTCAAAGTCGGAGTTGAGATGCCAGAAGAGGGTGCTCGAGATGCGGACGAGGGGCCGGTCGGGGAACTCGGTCTTGCGCCTCTCGATGACGTCCAGGGTGCGCTCGTTGACGACGACCTCGTGGTAGCCGGCCTTGATGAGGCCGCCGGTGATGTACTCGATCTGCTTGCCGGCCTGGACGAGGAGGTAGTTGCCGGGGGGGATCTTGACGGCGATGCGGGAGCCCGTGTTGCGGGCCCAGATGTTGAGGCCGGGGTAGCGGGAGCGGCCGTGGATGGTGAGGAAGTTGAGGTCGGTGTGGAAGCCGGCGAGGATGGTGTCTTGGGCGCCGTACTTGGTGAGGTCGGAGGCGGTCGGGGCGAGGAGATGGGGGCTTTGTGGGAGGGTTTGTATGTTAGTTTTGAGAATGTCAAGGAAGAGGGACGAGAGAAGAGGACGAGAGGGAATTGTACCCGTAGCGGCCGGCGGAGCTGAAGTGGTCGGCTTCGAGACCGAGACCGAGGGCTGTCATTTCAGACAACTTGGAGACGCTGCCCATCTTGGGTGTTAGTTTTCTTGTCGAAAAAGTCATGTTGGAGAGGATGGACCAACGCATTCTTCATGGAGCTCCCCCACTGGTTCATTGTCGGTGCCCATCTCTCCTTGATATGCGCGGCGTCGGGCACAATGTTGTCGGCGTTGAGCCCCGGGAACTGCGTCTCGTACGGCGGCAGCTCGACCATGCGCCAGAAGAAGCGGCACTTTGGGTCGGGCGAGTGCGCCGAGATGTCGAGCGGCCGCTGGCTGGGGTCCAGACGCCGGATGACGTCGAGGCAGGGCTCGTCGACGGCGCACTTTGGCTTCTCGGTGTTTTCGAGCGTGACGCCGATCTGGTAGCTCAGCTCGGGGCGCTCGTCGCGCTTGAGGTCCTGCTCGGGCTGGGCGAAGTAGTCCTCCAGCAGGTCGAGGAGGGCGTTGTTGTCGGCTTCGGAGACGCGCGAGTCGTGCAGCAGCAGGGCGCCGTACGTGATGAGGGCGGAGGCGGCGCGGGAGCATTCGGCTTGGACGGCGGGAGAGGAGGGCGGGTTGTTGAGGTACATGTCGAGGTCGATGATGGGGAGGTCCATGGGGAGATCTTGAGGCTGCGATTCGGTCGCCATGATGGAAGGGTTTCTTCTTTGTTCTTTTGTGATTGTTCACGCAGGGAAGAGGGTATTCTGACGAGATGGAGGGAATAGAAAAAGAGATGTTTGAGACAAGTTTTCACGAGTGAATAATTACAGAACTGATAAAGTTTTTGTTTTGCAGGGGAGAGAATACTAGCGAGGCTCAAAGCTCGGCTATCGTCTGCTTTGCATCTAGAACCATCCTTGAAGGCCCAGACGAGGCCAGAAATGGCATGAGGGGGAGGGGCAGCAAGGCTAAGAAAAGAGGTCGGCGAGAGAAAGAAGCTTTTGGTGGAGATGAGGGCCGGGGATGGACGTCGGAGCCGGCCGACGAGTCCCGGAGAGCGCCTTGACAAAGCTCGTGATGGCGGCAGAAACGGGCAATTGGGGATGAATTCGAGACGTAACGAGATCCACTGCCGGACGAGTAGTGGAGATGTCGAATTTTCTTCTTTGATTCTAAAAGGGATCCTTTGTGTTGTGTGTAATACTTGTAGTAATACCGAGTAGAAGGATTTGTGTGGATTTGGGACTTTGAATTAGAGTGAGGAGCATGGCAGCAAGGATTGGGCCTTCTGTATGCGACGTGTAATATGCAACCCTTTCCAGCCCTTGGCCAGTCGATCCCCAGTCTAGAAACACCTGCAGGTACATAGCTTCTCTCGTTTGCCACAAAATCATGTGCAAGGCATTCAGCCTCACCGTGAGAATCCCTGTTGAAAAGTTTTTTTTCTCTCCGGAATCACGGGCCGGTATTCCGGAGGACTCTCCAACCGGATGTCGTTCCTGTGCATTGCATGAAGCAGAATATCCCCTGCTTGTGTAACGCGAGAAGTGATCCCCTGAGGGGTTTCGTGATTGAGATTGGTAGAAGCCCTGTTGATTTTATGGTCCTTGGCTAGGCGAGCATCTCTTTTCTTGACGGGGAAGAGAGGTGATGCATCCGGAGGCTGTGATGGACACGTGGAATTCAAGGGTTTGACGGGACGTGTTTGTGGTGTAATGTGTACTTGGCAGCTGGGAAAGGAATGTGTGAGTTGTCAAGTATTGAGAACCTTGTGTATAAGTAGCTGCGAGAGGGGGGGAGAGACGGGGGTCGAAGTCGTGTGTCAAGTACAGACACGCTGGACGCTGTCACGAGAGTGAAGCTCTTGTTAGTTAGTACTAATAGGCACTTGGTGGTGATGAAGGGTGTTGGCGTTTTAGCAGCGTAGCTGCCACTCATCAGAATGGATGTAGCGATTCTTGTAAACTTTCATGTATTGCAGTATTTGAGCATCATTCGAATCAGGTTCTCCATTTACATGCTTACTTCAATCACCAATCAATTGAATCTTCTCGAGGTAGGAAAGGAAAGTTGAGAACCAAAAATTCAAGGTAGTCGGCCCACTGCCGCCCGATATGGGCTTAGCACCGTTTCTTATCCGTTATCCGCCCAGCAGATCATCGCGAGCTACTGTAAAGCATCCCGCGCCGAATTTTCAACATCTTCCTTTGCAGTCAAAACTCGGATCAACGACACTCTTCAATCGGCGCAATGGAGCAGTTCCTCCTCTCGGCCCAGCATTCGGGGGCAATCAACCACGCCCACACCTTCTTTCTCCCGCAATCGGCCGCGGAACTGGCGCGAGAGCTTCGCATCACCGTCGCCATCGTTGCGTGTGCCTGGGTCGCGGTTACGGTCATCAAGCAGTTTAGCTGGAGGAATCGCGGGCCAAGAGGATGATGGAGGGGCTCTGGAAGATGTGGCGATGAATGTATGAACGACCTTGTCTGGGTCATCTGTTGGCATTTGGATCTTGTGAAGTGTGAGCTAACTGAAGCTTGGTTCTAGTGATACGTTATAATACCCATGATAGATTTCCGAATAGACCTTTCCACTCCGATCGGTTCGAGCATTTTGAGTTGCGTCCAATGACTTGCCTAAGAACAAAAAGAGTATCCAACTACTCAATGGGGATATTATTGCTTCCTTTGAGCTGTGTTGAAGATCCTGCTTACGAGAGGTTCTGGCTCCGAGTAAGTCTCGCTTTCAGCAGGGCGATCAAACTTTGTTTGCTATTTATCGATAGCAGACGACGCGTTCCGAGACCTCCTGCGGCGTACGATCTAGCTAGCTTCGGAGACGGAGCTCATCTCACATCGGAACCCTCTGCTGATCCAACACTTACAAACAATCAGTACCTAAGATCTCACTTCTCCCGGGAATATTACCGGGTCAACGTACTACGAAAGAGGAATACAGCCCTAGGCAGTATCTATATAAAGTGCTGATATCTCATTTGCTCATCTTCTCACATCAGCCGCCTCTAAGCACCAGGACCTCCATTTCAAGCGGCATCTGCGGCCGAGAGGGACCTTATCGCGGCATCCGGGCAATGGAGGGGAGCGCCGAGAACAGCAGGGAGCTTATACTCAACGTGGACAGATGCCGACTCTTTGGGAAGGGAAATATGGTAAGTGCGCCGTTTCCCATCCTAGACTTGCTTTCTTGGGCTTATCAATCCATCAGTCCATGGTGATCCATCAGGTTTGCAATTAGTTGATGTGCCCAAGAGATTGCCCAGGTCTTGGGCAAGCTATCTGAAAGACAAATCCGCTACGAGACGGTCAGTGGAGGCGAGTCAATCAAGTCATTACCGGGCCAAAGTATCCCCTACCTTGAACAGCACTCTTGATGCGGCCGTCAAAATGCACTATAACGGTCTTTTGGGCCGTACAAATGATACAACCGAGAAAAATCCCGAGTACCTTCTCGCAGAATGCCGCCGAATTTGGGGAAAAGAGTCGAGCTTCGGCCATATCATCAGACCGTCAATTTGCCCCAAAGAGCTTTTGCCTTTCTCTTTGCGGAGTGCGCACGCAGCAATAGCTGTGTGCAGACTACATTACCTCAGTCACGGCATACTTTTCCGATTACTTATCAAATTGATTTAATTCCAAGCGCAAGTTGGCAGCATCAGCCGCCATCTTAGATCTCAGACGCCATGATGCTTACAGACATGACAACTCTTTCCCAAGAGGGGTCATGGTTCCCATTGAACCGAGGTAATGCATCTATTAGAGTGCTGATTCATCTTTCCAACCCACTTCGCTCAGTTCTTTCATACCTACGCTGGAATCACTCTCACCTCTGCTTATCTCTCAATCCAACATAACCGCCAAAACTCTCATGTTATACCGTACGGATATACTATCGAGATTAGCTTCGATGGCCAGCAACTTATGTCAGCGCTACATAATGTGACAGCTACCGCACACTTGAGGAGGCTTCAATTACTCCTCACAGGCGTTGCATTCTCCACAACGGAGGAGTTTGCCGAGGCACATACATGGAGCACAACAGCGGCTGACCTGCAACCTGCTGACCTGCAACTGGATCACGATAGGGGCTAAAGTCGGTGAAGCGACGGCCAGCGTAGGTAGAAAACATACCAACCGCTTATGATAAAGAGTTGTTTAAATAGCTCCCAAGGCTACGGTGATCGAATGTTGAGATATCAGCCTGCTTGCTTCTTCTCCAACCTGAAACTTGTCAATCGTAGCATATTGCAATGGCAACACAAACGGCTTTGGCACCCCCGCGACCTGCGGGGTCGGCTCAACCCATAATGGACCCAGTACGCATCAAAGAGATTGTCTCTGAGTGGATTGCTGGCGTCTCAGAGCTTCTCAAGACTACAGACCAGCAGAATATTTCAGGAAAGGACCTACAGCCAGAGATTAGAAAGTTGTTCCTCGACAACAGCTACTGGAGAGATCTTGTATGCCTTTCTTGGGATTTCCGCACTTTGACTAGCCCCGAAAGTATTGCAAACTATCTAGCAGAAGAAAATCGGCTGCAACATCTCAAAGCAGTGCGTCTCGATGACAATCCGGCTCATCAGCCCCGGGATTTTCCCATTCATGCGGCCTTGCCTCCCGATGGACCCATCTTTGGTATTATCGTGTTCCTGGAACTGGAGCTCAGCTCGGATCGGATAGGCACCGGCATGCTACAGCTTGGGCGTGATGAAGACGGCTCGTGGAAAGCTTATTCCTTCAGCACGCTTCTTGAAGAGATTAAAGGATACGAAGCAAAGTGTGGCCCTCGCAGACCCGAGAATTTGCGCTATGGCTACGAGCCGGGGAGGCGGAACTTTTCAGAAGTTAGAGCTGCGGACCGTGAGATGCAAGAGAAACAACCCGCTGTTGTTATTGTTGGTGAGTCTGATACAAACAAACAAGCCCATACTGCTAAGCTTGCGAGCTGAACCGAAACTCATCCATCTGTCAGGAGCTGGCCATACTGGACTAATGGTTGCGGCCCACCTGACTCACATGGGCATCTACACTCTCGTCATAGACAAGAACCCTCGAGTAGGAGATAATTGGCGCCAGAGGTACGGCAAATTGGTGCTTCATGATCCCGTATATGCAGAAAGTTTGCCTTTCATGAAGTACCCGGAGACTTGGCCTGTAGGAATCCCTGCTCGTCCTATTCTTCGCTCATACTAACTACAACGACAGCTATTTGCCCCAAAGGAAAAAATGGGAGACTTTCTCGAGAGCTATGCCAAGTTGCTTGACTTGAATGTCTGGACAGACAGCACCCTCAAGTCGTCTGATTACGATCCATCGAGCAAGCAATGGACGGTGACAATTGAACGAGGCAAGACCGGTGGCAACGCCGAGATGCGTAAGTTTGCATTGCGTTTATTTCAACCTAAAGCATACCGTTACTCACTCTTCTCTTGAAAAGGCACATTTCGCACAAATCACATCGTAGTAGCTAGTGGCCTGGATGGCCAACCAAGGCTTCCCACCACTATACCCGGCCTAGCCAGCTTCAAAAGCAAGAATGGGTCTGGCGTCATCCACTCCGCCCTGGCTGGAGAGGCTGCCGTAGCAGGGCCTGGCGAGAAGATTGTTGTCGTCGGCATGGGCAACTCCGCCATAGATATCGCGCAGGGAAGCTGGGAGAACGGGGCAGAGGTCACCATGATTCAGCGTGGGCCTTCCTACTTCTTCCGCCGTGACTCGCTCGTGAAACACGGGTTTATGACGGCTTACTGGCATCAAACTCTGTTGCCCGAGCATGAGATGGACATGATCATGTGGGCATACCCGATGCCCATCCGGATGACGAGGGGCACTTCGCTCACGCAGGCGATGTTGAAGGAAGACGAGGAGCTACTGCAGAAGCTGACAGCCCTTGGCTTCCAATTCACGTCTGGGCCCAACGGTACTGGCGTGATTGGTATTGTCGCGGAGAGGAAACATCCGTACATCAATGACACTGGCTGCATGACGCTTGTGGCAGAGAAGAAGATTGCGCTTCAAACCGGGCCTATCGATCATATCACGGAAAACTCGATTGTCATGGGCAATGGAACTACATTGCCCGCAGATCACATCATCATGGCGACTGGCTACCACGGTGCGGCTGCATCTGTCAAGGATATTATGGGGGAGAAAGTTTTTAGCACACTTGGGGAGCCTTTTGGGTATGATGAGGAAGGGGAGTGGATTGGCAATTGGAGGCCATCGGGCCATGAACATTTCTGGATGTGCGCTGGCCCGCTCGTCTTTTCACGACTTCCGGCGAAGCTGCTGGCATTGCAGATTTTGGGTGTTGAATTGGGTTTGCATTGAAGGGGATACGGCCTGTGCTACTTTTGAAGATAGTGAGCGGCGTTCTATGTGAGCATCTGGACAGATGAACAATTACAGTATTCATCAAAGATTTTATAATTATGCTATCCGGTGAGATGCTTCTGGAAGTTATTGACACTTACTTTTGACGAATGCGTAGAAACACCAAAGGATGGGGCGTGATGGTTGAACGCGGGCGTCAACAGCTGTGCAAAGTGGAAGAGTGGGCGGCGGCCAAAACACCAAGAATGTGGCGGGACCAGATAAAAAGTTGGGAGCAGCTGGCATCAAAGTGCCGGGCGTAAACACCAAGAAATGGGATGATGCGGTCGAAAATGGGCGTCAACAGGTGCACAAAGTCGAGCCAGGTGGCAGAGTGGGTGGCCAAAACACCAAGCATTTGGCGGGCCGGGCAAAAGGCTGCGCACGGCTGGCATCAAATTGAAGATGCAAACACCATGGATTTGGGTGCCATGCTCAGAATTACAATGGGCAAAGGGAAAAAAAAAACATCATGATCAAGGTCGACCAAGGAGATGAGAACACCAAAAATGAGATTGATTTGGCCAAAGTTGGGATTCATTGGGAGCAAAGGGGATCACCATCAAGACCAATCGCCTCAATGAAAACACCAAGACCGAGCTCGCGATCGGGAAAGCTTGGCCCAATGGTGAGAACTTTTGGATGAAAACACCAAAGAAGCAGCTGGGCAGACCAGAGTTGGTGATAGTTTGGTGAGATTTGGCTGCACCAAGATTCGGGATGGAGTCAAATCGTCTTGATGAAAACACCAAGATCGAGCTCACGGTCGGGAAAAGTTGGTTCAACGGTGAAACTTTTTGGATGAAAACACCAAAGACGCAGCTGGGAAGGCTGGAGTTGGTGATAGTTTGGTGAAATTTGGCTGCACCAGGAGTCGAGATGGAGCCAAATCGCCTTGATCAAGACTCCAAAATCGAGTTGACAGCCCGAAGATTTGGCCTCAACGGCAGGAAAAGAGAGTTGAAAACACCAAGAGAATCCGGTTGGCGATAATTTTGGTAGTTGATAACTCGAAAATCCAGACTCAATGGCAAAAGCAAGCGAGTTGAAAACACCAAAGAAGTGCTGATGACCTCCAGTTGGCGATAATTTTGGTGGTTGGCAACCCGAAATCTTGGACTCAATCGCACGAAAGAGGTGTTGAAAACACCAAGAAGGAGCTCAATAACCTTAGTTGGCGATAATTTTGGTCCAGAACGGCGTCGAAAATATCCAGGATGAGGGCAAATCGCCTCGATGAAGACACCAAACTCGAGCTGATCAGGTCCAAACCGACCATGCTTGGTTCAGATCGTGTCTCGCATTGAGGATTTTGAGGGATGAAAACACCAAGGAAGAGCCCGACAACCTCCAGTTGGTGATAGTCTTGGTCCTGAGCAGCGCCGAAAATATCCAAGATGAGAGCAAATCGCCTTGATGGAGGCACCAAACTTGAACTGACGAGGCCCAAACTGACCAAGTTTGGTTCGGATCGTGTCTCGAGCTGGAGATTTTGAGGGATGAAAACACCAAAAACTTGGATCAAAACACCAACTCAGGGTTAGGCATCCGAATTGGCGATGGTTGAGCTCAACAGACACCATGATCAAGTGAAATAACCCTGATGAGGTGGTCAAAAGCGAACTGGCAGTGCCCAACTCTGCCGTGATAAACCCAAATCCCATCCAGAATGTGGCAGCATCAGAGGGTTGCAACACCAGATTCGTGATCCAAGCTGCAAAACCTGGTGACACTGGTGATAATTTTCTCACATCTCGAAGTCGCAATGGTTGACTTTCGGCTTGATGAGACTGCAATTCTCCCAGCTCTGGCTCTGGGTTTGGTTCAAGTTTGGGGGCCTGCAACTCATTACAGGAATCGAGCACCGCGCTATAAGAAACCGTGTCCCCGGTAGTAGAAGCGCTTATCACGTATAACTGCATAGAATTCTTCGGTACAAGGATCGTGCACCCCCTTTGAAGAATCTCGATTTGGGCTTTCGAGGTCCCAAGCTGGATGGATTCAGGAGGAGAAGAGCCGCTGCAGGCCTCGTAGATGTGCTGCTCGTGATGTCTCTGTAGGTGAGATGCAAGAGATCCCATGCAGTGGAATCTGATGCGGTGAATTGCATCCATCGTAATCTTTTCTCGTGTATCATATGGAAAAGGCGGCTGAGGCTTGTGCTGTAAGTTGGAGATGTAGGATGTAGGTTGTCGTCAAGAATCGCAGTCGGGGATATGCATTGCACCTATATAGTGGCAACATGGATAAAGGTGAAATGGAGGAAACAAGAGTCAAAGGAGCTGATTATAAAAATTCTATTGATGCTATTCAAAGGGCATATTGTAGCTGCGGATAATACGAATCCTTCGAGCTCTCTGCGGGGTTGGTGAGATTCAATGAACCGGAACAATAAAACGGCGCCCGCCAGCCCTACTCAAGAGGAACCGGCACATTGTTCTGCTCACATTCTCATCCAATCAACAATAGAAAGGCCCGATAATTGTATCTCCCACAACCAAGCCATGATATCATCCTTGAACCAGGTGTGCGGGCATTGCCGAGGACTCTTTGAGCATGCAGCCCTTCTCCTCACTTCCGAGTCAGAAGATGGCAACATATCAGATGATGTTGCGATAGAGTTCACCGAGGAACACCACTCACTACTCATTGCAAACAATAATGCAAAATCGTGCCACATGTGTTCACTAATAGCCCACGTCTTCCCTCACATCTTGGATGCTTATGATCCCCATAGCCCTATCCAATGGGTGATGTGGGGAGACAAAGACAATCAGCTGCTTGATCTTGGCTTTCAAATACGCAAGTATGACTTTATCCAAGATCTACGGATTCAGATCAGTATGGGATCACTCTCTCCAAGACCAAAATAGGGGTAGAGACTTACTTGCTCCAGGTGCCAAAGCAGCCGTGAGCTTGCATCATACTCCAAATACTTGGTCTTTTGAAGCTCTACAAACAGTTCAAGCTTGGATGCAGAAATGCATCTCGACCACAACTACCCACAGACAATGTGCAAGACCTCCGATAAAGAGACAGCTGCCGCTAAGACTGGTAGATGTGATGCCAGATCAGCCACCTCACATTGACTCTGGCAGCACGCTCACACGCAAGGAATTCCAATCATTGGTTATCGATGAAGCACCACCTGTACGAATAATTTCCACCAAATCTCTTCCACTCGATACACGATACATGACACTGAGTCACCGATGGGGCAACTCACCAAGCATTATACTCAACGCAAAGACGGCGCCGACTCTTTTGAACAGCAACATCTCCCCAGAGCTACTCGAATCTTCCAACGCAAAGCTCTTCAGGCATGCAATGTACGTCACCAGGTGTCTGGGAATTCGACATCTCTGGATAGACTCGATGTGCATCATGCAAGATGACGACTCCGAGAAGGCAAAAGAGATTGCTCTAATGGGGGAAATTTATTACAACTCCTCGCTCAACATATCGGCTACTGATTCCACGAGCGGAGCTGACGGGCTAATATTCAGCAGAGACGTCTTGAAGACTTCTTCATGTCAGTTTAGTGTGCATCTTCCTGAAGCCAATCAAAGGCTTGATCTAGTTGCTTTCCACAATAAAGTGCTGGTCGAATCAGACCAAGGTGAATTGAACAGGCGAGGATGGGTCTTGCAAGAGCGAATATTGTCACCCAGAGTGCTTCATTTCACTAGACATCAGGTATTCTGGGAATGCAATTCTCTCTTGGCATCGGATATCCGACCCGAGGGGGAGCCTATAGATCCGGCCTCCGCTGGCGATATGAGAGGCATATTGAGTGCCTCTTCTTCAGCTGCTTTACCAGATGATACGATGAAGGCTCTTTGGTACGATGTCGTGCGCCAATATTCTGCGACATCTTTGAGCTTCGTCGGAGATCGGCTACTTGCAATATCCGCCCTTGCTGAAAGGTATTCCATCGTCAGTTTGCAGTCGCCAGATGAATACGTCGCAGGCATATGGATGTCGCATCTCCCGCTGGCTCTAGTCTGGCGCAGGATCCCCCAGATAGAAACCCCATCGATGGCGTTGCAAAATACGGAACAGGAACAAATCGCACCAACATGGTCATGGGCTGCCTTGACGTGTGCCGTTGAGTCAGCCGACATGAACAACCTACACCCGAACATAGCAGTGGTGGAGGTGGGCGGTATTCAGCGAAGATCTGCTAGTCAATTCGATGGAGTCACAAGTTGTTGGCTACGTGTTCGAGGCCAGATGTGCAAAGTTGAGCAGGGCGTTGAAGCTGCCAGCATCGAAATGGCTTGGGATAAGCCCGCGGCAGACGACGGGGGCGGTGCTCCCAGATTATTCTTGCTGTACGTTGCCTATCGCTCCTTTAAAAGTCGAAGGGACATGAGAGGCTTGGTACTTCAAAGAACGAAGAAGAGAGGCCGGTATATTCGAGTGGGCGCGTTCTCAACGAGCAACTTTGACATTCAAGGGACGTATATAGGAGAGGCATTCACGGGAAACACACATAATCTCGAAGAGGATGATTTCTTGGAGTTTACAAAGAGTCAAGGATACACTATCGAGATGATATAGACCGCCTGAGCCACTACTACTAGCAGCTCTCTAGTCTAAAGCAGTTTGGGAAATTCTGATTCACCACCACTTTTCCCTCATGAAGGAGTGGATACAGTGGATCGCCGGCCGCGGAGATGAAGGCTTCGCTCGAGAATATACACACACGTTGACGCATGTAATGCCGGATAGGGCAAAAGGTGACCTAGTCAACGTAAGCAGCAGGGGATAGCTCACCACATCATGAGCCGACGCGGTCCTCGTTAAACCCGCTTGCTCGCTTAGAAGCAACTATCTTGGTGTTACGGGGACTTTGCTCACATCGTACTCCATATTCCACATTGGATCAAAGATGATGAGTCTATTGGCCTCGGCAAGGCGTGTCAGTTACAGGTCGCGTATAGCTCTGTTGTAGGTCGGAGAAGAACAAGCTCTTGTCGAGATTCATTCAGAAAACACTCTTGCAAACCTGCGACTAGTAGTTCTCATTCATGGAGTTGTTTCTGTTTCATTTCCCGCGGATCAATAGTTACAAATCCTGAGTAATAGATGAATAAGTGCAAAGAAATAAGCACTTGTGTAGCGGAGGAGCCCGTTGTTCCACGAAACCCCTGAAGACTTCGTCTACTATCACAACAATGGGGACAACTCACTAGTAGGTACTCGTATCACAACTTCTGGAGTCTGCTCATGAATCGATAGCTTGGAACTTTTCATGCTGATCGGCAATAGGTGCTAGATTTGCGGAGAATTGCGGACTATTGGGCGGTGTTGTGGGCTGTTGTCCCGTAGTTGTTGATGCTCGGTATTGTAGACAACTTCACGATGGCCACCAGCTACAATCATAGCTTTGCGGCAATCCAAGGTACAAACCAACGTTCATCTTGTAAAGCAGTCAATGTTTCCAACATTCAAATGTACTTGCACGACTTCTAGGAGGTCACTGAACTGTTACCTGAAACCAATGGCGCAATTGACGAACTCTGCACCACCGTTCTCAACTTCCTTTCACGGATCGCCTTGGACCAGTTCAGTTCGTATACATGACAAATCTGGATGCAAGCGGACCGGATACTCGGTACGCCTGCAGCACTATGCAGTAGTCATTCACGAACTCACAGGCCGTCCCGAAGGAAAGCAAAAAGCTCCGACGCAATACTAGGGGCTAAAAATCATCTTGCATTAAGGTAGAAACGAATACAAATAAGGGCGTTTAGCTCTTCTGGTATCTCAAACTACATACACTTCTATCCTCGACATGTCCATCTCTAAATCTTGGCCGCTGCAACAATCGGCCCTCCAAGGCCACCGTCCGTGATGATGATGGCCGCGCCCTGATCAGGTGCCAAGGCGCTTCGCGGCGTGGGCAGATACCAAGTTGCGTTTCCGCCAACCCAGTCGCCAATCTTTGTGATTGAGGTCACGATATTGCGGTGGTTAATCTTCTTGCCCTTGTTGACTCCCTTGCCGACCTTGACGGTCTGGTCGGTGTTGGCGTAGACGACGAGGGAGACTTCGTGTGGGTTTGCCTCCTGCTTGTCGGTGTCGACGCGGACTTCGGTATCGTTTGCGTCTATGTAGATGTGCCAGTCGCGGGCCTTCTGGATGTCTCTGCCCTGCTGGATGATTTGCTGAATCTCTTCCTTGGTCCGGCCACTGCCGTCGGCAACGCCGTTGACTATGACCTGAGGGGTGAACAAGCTCGTGCGAGCCCAGCGTTTGGCGTATGCACGCTGGCGGGCGTCGTTGGTGAGGCTTGAGAAGGTATCCTTCCACCCCGTGTGGTCAAAGAGGGTGACGGGATAGCTCAGGAGGAGCACGTTAGGGTCTGCAGTAGCGGCATGGATACCAGGAAGAGCTGGAGGACATGACTGGCATGACTGCGACTGGAATAGCTCCGCAATGGCAAGAGGCTCAAAGTTGATAAAGCAAGCATCCGTGTGCACATGGTCGGGATGCTCGCCAACAGGGTTTCCATCGGCATCTAGATTCACGGCACAGACCAGCGGGGGCTGCTTCTTGCGCCGGAAGAGCTTGCGGATAATGGAAGCCATTGTTGTCGAGTTGGAAAGAGTCGTTATGTTGTATGAAGGGAGTCAAAAGACCAAAGAGAGTTGTGAAGTTGTGAACAGATGGGTTGTCATTCGAGTTAGGTTTGCAAGACCGAATCAATGGAGCAAGCACAATGAAGCAAAAGTTTTTCCGTTCAGGAGGGATCAGTTCCACCTATTTATGCCTGTCGGCGTTCATGTTTGGTGCGACTCATAGGGAACCTTCTGGTGCAGTTCAAAACACATGCCAAATAATTCAACTCCTGATTCCAGGCTACATCATGTTCGCCCAGTATTCTGCGCCACAGGCCCCTAAATTTAGTCGCGAATCAGCACGTAGATACAACGACCAGGGTGGGCGAACCTGGAATCCCACATGATAGGAGGCATAATTGATTTCTAGGATCGCGGGCAATATATGCAGAGCCCGTGGGGCCTGGTTCAGCTGTAAGCGCTTGGTGTTCATGGGTTTGGAATCATGCACACTATCTTGTTGAGTGGAGCTTGTGACGCTGAACCGAACAGTTTCTCACTTGCACTAACAGAATAGAGCATTTGCTCTTTATTCCAGATGCTTGTACTATCAAGTTCCTCATTCGTTATGGCCCCAGGAGACGTTCGCCATGTGCCTTGTTTGTCTGCTTGCATACTCCCCACAAGGCTGAAACTCCATCTTTCTAGGAACCCTAGGCGACAGAAAGATGTGTAATCAACACATAATACGCGACGGCTCAGGATCCTAGTCGTGAGCTCCCCAGATGGCTTCTTCATGCAGCCAGTCGACGACTTCATCATCGCCAAGGGCACTGTTGCTGGTGATGATGCCCTTGGCGGGATCAAAGTCTGGGCCTGCGTCATTGTACACCTTTACTTTCCTCGTATGACCTGCGCCGACTTCCAAGATCGTTCCCCCAGAGTACTCGTTTTCTTCAATACATTTCAGCATTGCTTGGGCCACCTCTTGCGGAGTCACCCACGCATCTTGGGCAGCGTCGACATTCATCAGCTTCTCTGGGTGCTCCGTCCAAAGAGGTGTGCGAACAACTCCAGGCGCGACACCATTAACGCGCACTCCGAATCGAGGCTCTAGCTGTGCCAGGCAGCGAATGAAGCCAGAAATACCAAACTTGGATGCGCCGTATAACGGGGCTCTAAATACAGGAATCTGCCCAGCAACTGAAGAGATGTGAACAACCCTCTTTGGGTTGCTGAGCGATACCTTTGCCGGAGCATTCTTGAGCTTGGATCCTTCAGCGGGCGGTCGAGGATATAGCCAATGTGATATTGCCATCTGGGTTGCGCGAATAGGATGCGTCAGGTTGATATCTAGCAGCGCATAGTGGTCCTTCTCGAGTGCATCCCTGCTTTCGCTGGACCCGGGCGGATGCCAGAAATTGGACCAGTGAGGCTCGTATACTCCTGCTCCCGGGCAAACAATGTCGAAATCCCCATATGTTTCCAGGGCAAAGCTAAACATTTTAGAAAGGTCGGACCACGAGGTTACGTCTGTCCGGATGTAAGAAGCCTGGCTTCTTCCATCGCTCTGGTACTTGGAAATGACGTCTTTTGCCTCTGGACGCAGCTCCAGGTCGGCAAAGACGACATTGCAGTTACGCGAGAGGAGAAGTTCCGCAAAAGCAAGATTAATACCTAAGATGAAATCGTACGTAAGTCAAAGCATCGTTTCGTTGTTTGGCCGCCAAGTTGGCAAGCGAGAGACAAACCAGAGCCGGCGCCAGTTATGATGGCCGTTTTGCCAGAGACGGAAAACGGCTGGATTAATGCCATTGATACAGTTTCGAATGCAATGCACAAATATCGCAGGTAATTCTTGTTCGCGTTGTGATTCAGCTGATATGAAATTGAGAAGAATATCGTTCAAATTCATCCATATATATTATAGACATAAGAGTGCGGAGAAGCATCATGTGCAACCGAACGAGGTGGATGTCACACCTCCAATAGCAGCCGCCCCCGCTGCAGTTAAACGGCATCATACGTGCGGATAAACAAGAGAGTTGCATTAGGTATTTCCAACATGCAGCGCTCGGCTCGCATACCGTATTCGTGAATCTCCATTGCGGAAACTCGATACAGCGACATCGGCTTGTGTTTAGCAGTTCGGGAAACCCGGTAGTGGAAATCCAGACTCCCACACGTTCAATTCAACTGCGAGATCGAAAGGATCGTTTCCAACCTATCGGAAGATTAGCACCGGCATACTCATTACCGAGAGTTTAACCTTACATCGGGGTAGTTGCTGTCGAGCCACACTGCAGTAGGAAGAGCGCTTGCATCTGGAGGAGGTGGTGGGTGGGCATTAGAAGCCTGTGAGAGACGTGGCTGTAAGTTTGTGTTCACAATCAACAATGACGGGTACAAGGGAGGGATGAGAAGAAACGCTGCTGGTGCGAAACTTACAGCTGTTTGATTGACAATGTCTTGCGTAATGGCCTGCTGTTGAGCGAGATCAGCGGGCTGGTGCATCCATACATTCTTATAGTACAAGTCCAGAAACCTGCGTGCACAAGATGATTTTGCATTTTGTCGAGACTCCTTTCCCAGATGTATCTTGATGAGCATGATGGCCGTGCACATGATGAAAAAGGTCCATGGATCGGAGAAGCGCAGATACTTGTCTTCGATGACGGGGAGGCATTGCTCTAGCAAATCGACAGTCGAGGGAGCATTGGTCATGATGATGCTGCCGGAGCCTATTTGAAATTCAGTATGATATTCCGAAAGAAACGGCTCGTAGCGGGATGGAAAAGACTAACCTTCTGGTTGTAATAGAGTAAGGCGCGTCAAATGCAGTGAAGCAAGTGCAAGATCTTCGCGCAGTTGTGCCAAGCTCTGGATCCCCAGGTTCGTGAGCCGGACGCTAGAAATCAGTATTTCTCGTGATGTCTGGTAGCAAATGTTCTCCGAAAGTGGATAGCCGCCTCCTTCTCTGTCGATGTATGGTCGGTGAATGGCCAAAAGGCATTCCTTGAGCTGAAATTCCAGCATTGTGTACGACAACAAAAGGTTTGCATCACTTTTGTTGTCAGTTCCGTTGCTGTTCCAGGGGGGAAGGTCATTGATCGCTTTTGTGATATCATGAGTGTAGCGCAAAACATCGTCGTAGCCTAGAGCCCTGAAGAATCCGGATCCGAATAATCGTCGTGATATCTCGAGGCGTAGATCCCAGCTGCGGAAGCTATGGAACTGGTAAGAAGACGTTGTATAGTAATTAGAAGATCTTGACATGGGAGCCTGCTTGGTAGTGTCGTTAAAATCTTCATCGGCGAGATTGAGGGGCGCTGAGACATTGCACTCAACACCGTGTAGAAGAGTGGGCAGGCCACATTCAAAAGAATTCTGGAGCTCCAGCTCGCGAATGGTGTACCAGATGCGTTTCTTCATCTCCCTTATGAAAAATGCATCTGCCATGGAAGGACTGCGATTCAACCCATCCATAATGGCGTCTTGTACTAAATAGCCGGTGTCTTTCCAGAATCTCTTCTTTCCGACAATGTTCATCCGTTTGGCAATGTACATTAAACAGCCGACTTGATAGTGCACAAGCTTGCGATGTTTTGTGCTTTGCAATCTCAACCAGTCATCGATTGAAGAAATCCACTGCTCGGCCATGTTCCTGTAGGCGGCAGGGACCGGTGTAGCACCCACAAGGTGGGAAGAGGCACAGATTGACACCGTAATCATGGATAATATCATTGCTGCCATGGTTGGGTACCGGGGCTTACCAGGAGTCCAAAAGTTGATATACTCCCTGTTGAAGGTTGGGACGTGAACAACGCGATGGAGCTGCTCAAAGTGATCGAGGTATATGGCGATTAGCACATCCGTGTCACCTTTTGGTGGTAACAGACTTTCGATCAATGGCTGCTCTTGGGCTGCCATCTTCATTCTCCAGCCATCATCCTTGCCGGCCTTGTTCTTCTTGATGTAGATTCCGTAGGGCTTTAGCCACTGATCAGCTATCTCCTTGATGAACGGAAACAACTGCGGAATCTGCAGCATCAAATTAGCGACCCAAGATTTCTGCTTAGATAGAACCAGACATGGAATTTACCTCTGAGAAGAATCGCAGCAGGGTATGTCGCCTGTAGTATCCCCGTGGGGATTTCTCTCTTGGATCAGGCGGGCCATCGTTGGTATTGATGGGATTCCGACTGATGGCGATGACGTCCTTGGCATCGACTTCACTTCTTTTGGGAATCCCATCGTCATTGACATCTTCGGTAAAGAGATCCCTGCCTTGCCGAGGAGTAGGCTTCGAGAGCAGTTCTCTCAGCTGAAAAATCTCAGCTCGAAGATTCTGAAGCTCGGCCTGGTCGGATTTAATCTGCTCCAACTGAGCGCCATGGTTGATTGGTAACAACAGAGGCCTCGGGTTAGTTTCGAATTCGCACTGGTCTGCTCTTCCCGTTCTGACGCAACGGCGGCAAGGTCGGCCTCTGTCACAAGAGAGCTAATGTCGAGTGTTCTGCGTCAGAAAAGGAAAATCAAAGACACCATCGCCTCTGAGAAGGTGAATCTTGTTCGCATTACCTTTTTCCTTCTGCATTCACCGCAGCTCAACTGAAGGCGCTTCTTCCTTGCGCGTCCCTCCTGATGCCCGGCATTGGAGCTGGAGCTTGCAGCTGGAGCGTCCAAACGGACAGTGCCCTTCTCACTGCCGACATCGGCTATTGTCGGAGCCGGACACACCCGTTCCGGATCGTCTGTCATCTTGGCGGGTGCAGAGTCTGTCGTCGATTTCAAATTCTCTTCTTGATCTTCATATCAAGGTTGCCAAAGCGCCGTTCCAGGGTTCCAAGGAGATATTCTATACATTCCCGGTGGGCCGTGATTGGGTGGCTTGCACAATGACCGACCATCTCCGTCATCAGCTCTTCTCCACCCTCTCCAGTTGTGGAAACAATCTCGTCACGTTCTCCGGCGCTATTCCCAGACGAGGCGTTATCGATCGAGCTTCAATTTGCCTTACACCGAGAACTCTGCCTGGAGATGTCTCGTAAATCGAGCACGCGCTATGAGGATCAGATAAGAAAAAAAATGGATTTTCTGTTGACTTTTTCTGTTGACTCCGCGCAGCACGTTTGTGGACCGTCAGCTCGGCGATTCGGAGATGATGCTGTTCAACAATGGCAGTGTTTGACCATATTTAAGCTCAGACACCTACAACTCCTGAGTATAAATGAGATTCAAGCAGATCTACGATCGGCTATCCTGGGTAGTGTGGCATCCCTCCTGTGACCAAGGACTCTAAATCTTAGTGTCCAGTCATTTCATTTGCTACCATGTCTTCGGGTAGCACCACCGAGATCGAGTCGGCAATCTTCTCAGGGGGTGAGGAGGTCGTTGAGAGTTCCAACGAGACAAAGGCCCATACGCATGAATATCCAGAAGGAGGCTTGCGGGCATGGTTGGTTGTCTTTGGATGCTGGTGTACATCGTTTGCATCCTTTGGCTATGTTAATTCCTTTGGGTGAGTACTCAGTGGTTCGATATTGAACAGGATGAAAGCTAACACAACTCCTCTCCAATGACAGAGTCTACGAAACATACTATCTCAAGACATTCTTATCCGGCCACTCTCCGTCTGATGTAGCATGGATCGGTGCTATTCAGTCTTTTGCCCAGTTCTCGGCGGCTTTGGTCGCTGGCCCGCTCGCTGACCGGTATGGAGCAATGGTACGAAGCCCTTCACCTATAACGAAGTCTTATCGAGTACGACTAACACTCATCATCTTTCAGGTCATCATCTGGCCATTCTCCATTCTCCTTGTCGTCGCCATGATGCTCACCAGCCTTTGCACTGAACTCTATCAATTCATTCTCTGTCAAGGAGTCTTCATTGGCATTTCGGCCGGCCTCATATTTACCCCAGCAATTTCCATTGTTGGGCACTACTTCTTCAAGAGACGACCGATAGCGATGGCCTTTGCCACCACTGGCTCTCCCCTTGGGGGAATCATTTACCCAGTAATCATGACAAACCTCCTCCAAGAAAATTCGGTCGGCTTCGCATGGGGCCAGCGTATATGTGGCTTCCTGACTCTGTTCTTGTTGGCAATTGCATCAATTACTATTCGGCCAACACCATTAAAGAGAAAGGGCGCTTTGGTTTTGCCAGATGCGTTCAAGATTCCCGCCTTCTCTCTCCAAGTGGCAGCCTTATTCATGATCATTCTGGGACTCTGGACGCCGTATTTCTACCTCGCTGACTACGGTTCACTACACGGAATGTCTCCAGGTCTGGCATCCTATCTATTTGCTTTGATCAATGCAGGGTCGTTCTTGGGCCGGGTGTTTGCCGGTTCCGTTGCCAAGTATCTCGGCCAGTTTAATGTCATCACTGTAGCCTGTTACGCCTCCGGATTACTGATGTTTTGCTGGTTGAAGATCACTTCGACAGCAGGCCTTATCGTGCTGGCCATTTTGTTTGGCGCGACAAGTGGCATCATTATCGGCCTCATGTATACGACCATTTCACATACGGCAGATCACCCCAGCAAGGTAAGTCCCAATTGACATTCAGCAACCCAAAATCATACAATCTAACGCATTTGCAGATCGGAACATACATAGGAATGGCCACATTTCTCATCGGATTTGGTGCCTTGGGAGGCACTCCAATCACTGGAGCCCTGATCGATAGATATGGCGGCTACTCCCAAGGCATTATCTTCAGTGGTGCCGTCCTTATGACTGGAGCTGTGCTCTTTAGCGGCGCGCGGTTTGCTTACTCGAAAGACAGGCTTGTCGTTTAGAGTTGGGAAGTTCGAAGAGCTTCAACCCAAATGAGAGGCTTCGAGTCCCCTGGATCCAATTAGACTGGACTCCGTTTTCTGCCGGATCTTCACATTGGCCTCGATTGCAAAGGGTATCTCCTCTACGACCTTTTTGCCCGAGTGTTTACGCAAGGAAAACTCGAGTTTATTATTTTTAGATATCAGCCTCACAGCAACGCGAAAATAGCCGCCGACCCCAGTCTCGACCAGATGCATTGGGAGCGGGGCCGCGCCAAATGCACCAGCGATATCACGGCATCCAGCTCCAGAAATGCCCCGAAATATTATAGACATGGTCCATGGCGCTTAATAGGCATTCGCCGATGGAATATCACGAGAAATACGATCAAAATAATACTATCTAGTGGTTTCATGCTCTTTCCGCATGCATTAGTCTCTTACCGCTCACCAACTGAAACACTTCTAAATCGCTAGTACGAAGTAACAACTTGTTGAGATGATCTATTCAGGTATAGATCACGGAAAATGGGGTTTTAGAAATGACATATATAGACTCGTATAATTGCATGCTTCGTCGTTGAGATTCTCAATCGCAACTCCATATCACAACTTCCCTCTACAATATCTCATTGGTAACATTGTAATATTTCACTTTGGCTAAATTGTCTCCTCTCGCCATGGCCTCATCTCTTAATAATGGTTCAGTTCCTCAGTCTCAGTCTCTGAGAACACCAAAAGGTGGTTCTACATTCCGGATTCGAGGTATACCGCTGAATTGGGACATGGATCAACTGCAGCGCCACATCGAACTTCATGAATCTGCTTCACAGCCTGTGGTCAAATCTCTCGCAGCTGAGATAGATGGCCACTTTAAAACTGCTACGATAAATTTTCTGAACCCTCCATCTCCAGTGCAAGCCGCAAAGCCTTGGTATATTCCGTTACCAGAAACAGACGAGAGTAAGCTGGCTGTTTCCAATCTTCCCCTCAGACTGGATGGGGGTTTTCTCGGCATTACGACTCTATTTTCACCTCCTGTTGAGGACCATGATATTGAGTACGCATGCCACTTCTGAGAGGTCTTCCCACGTTAACCGCAAAATAGTGTCATCGCGGTGTCTGGACTTGGAGGGCACGCCTACGGATCCTTCAAAGATAAAGACGGCAATTACATGTGGCTGCAAGACGCGCTTCCGTCTGACCTCATCAATACACATAGCCATCGTCCAATGACACGAGTCATGATCTACGGTCACAAATCAAATGTTTACAAGAGCAGAAGTGTGCAAGATATAGATGATTTGTCGACTGCGCTTCATTCAAACCTCCTTGCTCTAATTCAAGCTCCAAGGACAAGGCCGATCATTCTTATGGGTCATAGCTTGGGAGGATTAATCGTCAAGAAGGTAAACAAAATAATATTACACTATAGTTGCCTATCTATCTAACCAACCTTGTAGACGTTGATCACTCTATCAAAGTCATGTAGCCAGGAAGATCAGAAGCTTTTCCGGGCGATCTATGGGATCGTCTTCTTCGGTGTCCCTCACAGCGGCATGGATATTGAGTCACTCATCCCAATGGTCGACGACGGCCCTAATTTTCCTCTGGTTAAGTCTATTGGAACGATGTCCCCAGTTTTGGACCAGCTCCAAGAGGAGTTTCATCCTGTCTTAGGCAGACAGGGAGACAGAGAAATCGTATGCTTCTACGAAACAGCAGAGTCACCCACCGCACAACAGGTATAATAGCTTACTCCGCATGGTTTATGTACATTCACATTAAATATGAATAGGATCAGAATGGGCGATGGCGCATGATCGGCCCTCCAAAAGTTCTTGTTACTAAATCTTCTGCAGTCCATTGCCGTTCATGGGAGAATGATAATGATCATATATGGCCTATAGCACGATCTCATTCCGAGATAGTCAAATTTGGTCCTACTGACTGTTTCTACGGCGGTGTCCGGGATAGGCTCCACGGGCTCGCCCAACGAGCGGCGAGGATACAGCAACGAATTTAACACAGAAGGGGGCGGTTGGGTGGTAACGGTCCGAGTATTGTAATATCCAACTATTTAATAAAATGGAATCATGTTTATAGCACTGTGATACCAACACAACAAGTAGAGCCTTGAAATCAAATTCCCCAACCTCATTTTGAACTTCATAAATCTCATGCCGAGACTCCAACTCTCAACTTGTTCAGAGCATCTTCATACTTTGCCGGGCTGTGATCAGTCAACATGCTCGTTCCAAACCGCAGCTCTCCAAACCGACCCTCTACATCCTTTACATATTTGAGTACAATCCTCTGGGCAGGCCGCCCGATATGCTCCTCATCCAGCAGAAGGAATGCATCCCTCCTCAGTACTCGCTGCGTCTCAATGGTAAACACCTCGCCCGGTGGAAGAAGCTTCTTCCCTTTCATGCTCGTCCTCATATTCTCCAGCGCGGGAAGCATCCATCTCTCTTCGTCGCTGACGCCTCCGCTACTGGCAACTTTGCTCGCACTGCGATAAGAGTACCACCTCTCTGAGACATTGTCTTGGAGTGTATTCCAGATGCGCTGGCGAATCTCAGACTTGGTATTGTTCTCGTCATGCTTGAATGCCAGAGAGACTCCTTGAAAGTCGTGCAGCAAACCCAAGGACAGATGAGGAACCAGATCATTGCCATGCACGACGGTAGTGATGAGGCCGCGGGTGATTTTGCGAAGAGATGACGACATGACGGCGGGAGGACCATACGCATATACATGTATGCGACGGCCAGATGGAGGTCGAATGTCGCTCAGTTTCACGTTGACAAGAGCTTCATTTGGCGGGGGCCTGAGTGTATACGGCTCGGCGGATGTGACGAAACCAGGTCCGATGGGATTAGGCTCAGACAGCATGATACCCAATAAAGATGTGACACCAGCTCCCAGTGAATGCCCGCAGAGCACAAGTCCATAGTCGGGGAATTCACGTAGAGCTTCTTTAAGGGTCAACAGAACGCGACCGTCACCACCGTATAGCAGTCTCCTAGCAGAAGCATGGATTCCCTTGTGTACTCTGTAGCCTTTGCCTCTCCATACAAGCCTATCATAGTCGCAGGTTAGATCAGCCAAGACGTCTTCGAATCCTAACGTTCCTCTGCAAGCAAGAACAACTGCCTTGGCTGCATGGTCAAGCGAGATGTAGTGGACCAAGGGGACACCAGATTCAGTCGCACCAGTGGCATCACTGCCTCCGTTGGGGTCGACAAATGAAGCGAGAAGGATATTGTCCGACTGCGATTCGGTATGATGAACGAAATGCCGAACATCGTGGTGAACTCCGTCCCAGACACCAAGCTTTGGCGTCTCGTTCGTCACGCCGGTAAGCCTGAGGAAGTTGGAGCCATAGCACGCAGAGGAGAACCGCATATATCGGGTAATGTTAGGGAGGAGGTGACCCTCAGGAAAGGTTCCATCGACAAAGCCTTCTTGTCGAAGAGCATGGAGAGCGTCAGCCGTGTTGTAAGCGCTCTTCTGATAATAGGAAGATAACACCAAAGACGACTGAGAGTCATTGGTTCCAACGCTGTATATGCTAGTGGCATACGACCGATTCCGGCGATGGCCCGGCGGAGCAAGGTAGACACTATGGTGTTCAGTGGGCGATCTTGGTACCAAATCGCTGGTTGGGGATCCTGCCCGCAAATCCTTTGCTGCATCTCTATGGGGAGATTTGATGTGAAGCTTTGGTTTCTCGTGGGCACTTATGTAGTCCATCGGACTCGATTCCTTATTCCAGATTGTTGAGATGGATGGACCGCTTCCTCGTAGAACGTGTCTCAAGCCCGTCTTTTTATCCGACGACCTGGAGGATACCACCGCTTCACTTTTTCTATTTGTATGACTCTTTCTATGGGAATCATGCGATTTTGAACTGTGGGCTGGTGTGCGTTGCCTCTTTTGGTTTGCCATGGCCTCCAAGTCTTCGAGATATATCGGCTCTTTTGAAGGGACCGCAGCTCGAGAGGCAACAGCCTTGGCAGAGTCGGAATTGTGTTTGCGAGAACTCGATTTTGTTGGTTTTGAGAAATCATGAGCCTGTGTTTTATGGCGCCTTTTTGCCTCAGTCGATGAAGATGGCCTTGACTGCAGTGTAAAAGCAGAAGAGGGCAGCATGGTAGGTGATGCAGGAGGGGATGGGCCGTCAGGGATGGTTATCGTAGGTGTTCCTGGAGCGAGAGTTTCTTCGCTGCTGCTGCAGCTCTGGTGGTCGGTTACCACTTCGATGGCCTCGTCTTTGGAATCCTCCTCGCCTCTAAAAGACGATGTTCCCTTCTTGTTGCGGTGTATTTTGTATACCACTCTGTAGTATGATGTTGAAGATTGGTCTTGTTGATCCGAGGATGAGTATGATAGGTGGCTTCCCGTGGTAATGGATTTTGTTTCTACGATTTCGGCCCCTGGAGGTGTTGGCAACGAAAGGAGCCGAGATCCATGAACGTCAACCGTAATTGTCTGGACCGAAGACACCGAGTTGGAGACGGATACCGTTGTACTTGGAGACAGAGAGGCTATGATTTGGCTTTTGAGACGAGACACAACAGCTTCATCGTCCTCTGCTCCAGTCCAGGGGCTGCTGGGCGGTGATGATGGAATGTCGTCTTTGTCTTGGGCGTTGTAGCCTCCACGGATCTCGCTAAACACTTTTTCATCAACATCAACCCTGTCTCCATCTTCCAAGACAACAACATCCCAAATGATTTCTTCGTATGACTGCCTTCGGCGTTCCTCCTGAGTGGTCTTGCGACATGCTCGCTGTAGATAGGCCAGCGTGCTGAGCGCAAGGGTCAGATCAACGACGCCAACTCTTTCCCCTTGGAGGCCTGTTGCAGGATTTTCAAATTCACGCCGAACAAGCGTGATGATGCTGGCAACGGCCCGAGAAGAGTCTGTTGAGCCGAAGAGCTGGTCCAATGACGACAGGAGAAGTTGCGATCCTGCGGAAGCGGTGGAAATTGTTGTGCCTGTGAGGCGGAAGCTGACGGACGTCCAGAACACAGCCTGAGTGACAGCGTAATGCAGGTTTTCAAGGCTGCGCTCCAGAACCGTCTCTGTGTCTTGAATTGCCAGCTCGGTTCGTGATTGTTCGAGAGTATCTTTGGCAGCCCGGCTGATTACACCTTCAATCAGCCCGCGGGCCAGCTCGAGGCCGCCGAGGGTAGTGAGTCTCGCAGCGTCAAGACTTGCATTGCTGACCACTGACCCAATGCGTATGGCAAGCGATGTAGATCGAGCGGCAAGGCTCACGGCTTGAGCAACAGGTGATGGGAGAAGCGTTGGTCCTTGTTTGTACTGGGCCTGCCTAGAGGCCGCGACAGCGTCTGTGGCCATTGAGGTTGCGATTGAGATTCGACAGGCCAATTCAAATGCTTGGACGATGCAAGTTGTTGGATATCGACATGTCTAGACACCGCTTCGCTTCGGGCCGGTCATACTCGACGCTGCAGGGAGAATCAAGCCGGTTATTAGAGAGCAAGCAGCACATGCAGTCATCCATAACACGGCCAATGTTGATTTCCCAACTTGGTGCCCATTGAGTTTCACATGTGATTTCGCCTCTTTAGGCCCCTTGACTGGCGATATCAGCCACCAATAGGAGGATCCCACGTCCAATCCGACGCCCCATAGCCAGGCTAGATCGAATTGACGGTTGCTATCCTATCAAGCAAGGGGCGACACGCCATCGATTGTGCGTGTTTTTGCAGTGCTGTTCATGCATGACATGCTGGCCGAGGCTGTTGGAATGGAGCTAAATGAGGTGTCGAGAGACCGGTTCCAGATACGGCAACATCGATAACGAGACCTGAAATGCAAAGATGGATGGTGAGACATCAACACAATTTCGATGAATTCCAGTTCAGGACGTGTGTAGTCGCAAGGTGATGCAGATTTTGCTCGGTCCAAGTACACGAGTAGGCAGTATTGATCGTATCGAGCCGTCTCCCTCGCTTAGCTGAAGCTGATAGCGAACCGTCTCAGCGCCCATCGTCCACTGAGGATCGGCCACAACAGTCAGTCTTTATCCCCTAGCTGCGCTGAGACAGCGCCCTGGAAGACTCAGCTCAGCGCTCCTTTTTGCCAGTAGTCCATAAGCGAACCGGACATGGGCGGGAACCTCGACTTTTTGTTGTGCTTGGTTTCCTGGCTTGGTTGTCAGCACCGGCTATTTCGTGTCCACGCTATTGCTGGAAAACGAAACCATCTCCACAGAGTTGCTCTCTTCTCATAGTTGAGCGTAATATTCAGAGGCAGATCCACGTCTGTCATCTTCCCGAGTGGGCCATTCTGCAATCTCTTGGTGTCCAAGGAGAGCGGATGAAAGTTGTAGAGTGCCTAACCTAGTAGTTCCCACAGTCATAGCAAATTCCATCTAGAAAGCCTCCTTCTCCCACCAGAAATCATGAGCGCGAATCCAAGTCCCTACAGCGTCGAGTCTCTCTTCCGAGTCGATGGCCTTGTTGCTGTCATCACCGGTGGAGGCTCTGGTCTAGGCAGAATCACAGCCCATGCCCTCGCCGTCAACGGAGCCAAGGCCGTCTATGTCCTTGGGCGACGAGAAGACTCCCTGGCCGCCACGAGAGATACATGTCCAAAGCCAGAGGCCATCCGACCCATTGTCTGCGATGTCACCTCCAAGGACTCTTTGAAAGCAGCTGCCGATCGTGTTCGCGGAGAGCTGGGTTACTGCGACGTCGTCTTCGCCAACAGCGGAGTCATCACGGCTGACAGTTCAGACATCATAAAGAATGCCAACACTCTCGATCTCAAGGCGATTCAAGAGGGACTTTGGGAGCACAGCATGGAAGAGTTTACGCAGTCTTTTCACGTCCACGTCACGGCTGTTTTCTACACTGCCCTCGCCTTCTTGGATCTCCTCGACGAGGGAAACAAGAAAGCGGTGGTCCCCCAAAAATCTCAAGTCATCGTCACAGCTTCTGTTGCGACCTATGCACGTCTGCCCAAAGCTGGATTTGCCTATGGCAGCAGCAAAGCGGCAGCAGCACAGCTAAGCAAGCAACTCGCAACTCTGTTGGCACCGCACAAGATCAGAGTCAACTCGATCGCGCCAGGGCTGTACCCGAGCGAAATGACTGAGCGAGACATCAAAGCTTCTACCCAAGAGGTTCGAGAGGAGGGCAGTTTGCCGGGGACTTTTATTCCGCTGGGGAGGATGGGCACGGAAGACGAGTTTGCCGGCGCAATGCTGTTTTTGACGAGCAAGGCGGGAGGATACGTGGATGGAAGCGTGCTGCTGACGGATGGAGGTCGACTGAGCATCACGACCTCTACATACTAAATAAAGACAGACTGTAGCGTTAGATGGCTGTAGAATACATGCTGGCAAGATCATGATCGCGTGCAAAAATATCAAACGTATTGAGCAGCCCTCTGTTCAGTCCTTCTCTACCAAACACCACAAGACTGCGGCATCGCGCAAACATTCCCCTTCTCTCGCTCAACACCAACGCAATTCTGCTCTGCCTAGGATGGAAGGAAAATCTCTTCTTCACTGCTAGGGCAAGCCCCAGCAAGTAATGAAAAGAGTCGCGTCGCCTGGAGGCAGTGTAATACCAGGGACACTGTGAGCAGAATCATGCGCAAGCACAGAGGAAGCTGCTCAAAGATCAAAAATAAGAATAATCACGATTGGTCTCCTTAGAGACCTTTCAGAGATTAAACTGAAAAGAACAGATACTACACTTGATCTAAGCCAAAAGGCAAAGAGAGCTAAAGAAGAAAAGAGGAAAAGAGAAGCTTCGCTTTCTCGGGAGCGGGCGAAGAATAAATAGTAGGTGGAGAGCGGTGAGTGCAGTGGACCGGCAGAATCGCCCGGAAAGCGGCGAAGCTGCAGCTCCGGGTGAAGCATCGCGTCTTGGATGGAGGATGGAGACTCGAGGGACCGTTTATTACGGGGAAACGGCCGATTCAGCGCGTTGGAAGCGTGTGTCGTGTAGGCATCGAGGTTTGGTGGCCAGTATTCACGTTGGATTCACAAGAGGCAGACGGTTCCTTGGTGATCTTTCCTCTGCAGGAGTCCCTGTAAGATGTGAAGATAGATGTAAGATTTGTACATGGGCATTACATGAAGCAGTTGAAGACATGTTCAAGCAGAATTGAGCCAGGAGAAAACGACGATAGGGCTCTTGAAAATATAGAAGAAATTGCAACTATCATAGCTGTCCACTGCTTTGTACATTCGGCGGATGGTGATGAACGCGCTGCCTCTACCATGCTGTAATCCCAAGGTCGATATTTCTTTGCCATCTTTGTCAGTGCGTTGATGTCCTCGACCAGGTCTGCTACGCATAGTCATGCACGGGAAAAGAGATGAGCAAGCTATATCATTATGCTCATATTAACTTGCTACATCAAGCACCCCTTATTCAACATCCTAACTTGGTGATTAGGTATAACATCATTTGATTCTCGGTGGGTTCCTTCAACGGCTTTCCAGCGTGCAGTTCCAACGCTTTGGTGCCCAGTACGGACTGGAGCTGGGCGATCCAGAATCGCAGCTTCAAATCTACCCAGACCTCGACCGTTGTTTCCATCCACAAAACAACTCGGTATGGTACGCGCCAGAGTCTACATGGTTCGAACACAGCAACCCCCCAAACAAGCTCCTTGGAAATAGTCGGAACATTTATTCCCTGGCGGTTCATCACCTGCTCAGGGCCGAATCTCGCGTGGCCCAGGCCAGCCTCTAGCTAACCAAACCATTTGCCTCGCACTAAATCCTCCTAGCTTGCGGCCGTTACCGCATGAGTGCACCGAACCTGCGGGTTGACTTGGAACTAGCGAGCAATGCGATGAGTACGAGAAATCCAGGCGGCGCCGCGGCTCACTTTGTTGGTCACTAGCCGTCCCAAGATGCCTGCCCAAGCCATCGTGAAACGAATAGGCATGTTCAGCCTCAGCTACAGCACGGCATACAAAAGGAACCCCCAGCCTCGATATCAATTTGCCATTCCAGCGGCACTCGCAGCATTTTATTTTATCGCATACCAAGTTCCATAGTCCCACGAGAGAGAACGAAAGAAAGAAAGAATGTCGCGGGTGTTTCAAATCACGAAGCCAGTCTTCAAGCACGACTATCAGATCATCCCAGAGGGCGAGGAGACCCTTTACAAGGTCAAGAACTCGCCGTTTCCCCGGGGTGGCACTCCAGATCTCGCGCTACTCGACGGACCCGACAAGACCGCGCCGGTTCTAGTCGTGTGCCACATGCCAAAGTTCTCACGGCATTTCAAGATTGGATTCGGCGATCCCGCAGACCCCGAGTCTATCATTTGGGAAGACTTCATCAAGCCCAAGATAGGCGGCTGTGAACGCAAGATTTCCGTCTCTCTCGCAAGCGATGGCACCATTTGCGAGACGGGCAAAGGCCAGCGCGAAGAGTTCATCTGGAAACGCACCCACGACGTCGGCGTCCAAGGCAAAAAGTTTCACCACGCAAGGCTGCGAAATAGAAAGCTCATTGACGAGCGGGGCGAGGTTGTCGCCATGTTTACATTCGACAAGACGGGATGGCTCCAGATTAATGTCGACAGGGGGCGCGATTTCGATGCCATGGTCATGATGACACTACTGTCGATCATAGAGTGGATGAGGCGGCAGTAGGCGGACATTCTGGCTCCGCTGGTTTATGTGCCTGTCTCGACACCATTCTTGAAGCGTAGTTGGCTTTCTGTGCTTACATCTATATATCCACGATTGCGCGGCGCATTAATTGAAGATTTGAACTTTGGAATTGTTTTGTTGGTCGTTTCCCTTCGCTGGTGTTGTGTTGAAGCCTCAGACATGGGCTCGGAAGAAAACATACCCTACAGATAGGTGCATATATGACAACAGCTTCAACACTGATCCAATTTCCAGTCGAGAATCTTTAGTTACGGTTGATACATTTGTCTGAGCATCACTTTCCGTAAAACTGGAACTGGTGATACACCCAGCGTGCGTAATTCATCCTTCTGCTCCCCATCACGCTCCATATCGGTCAATGCTGGCCGCAGTTTTCCCCCGCGCCTTTTGGGCATAGCAACGGATTCTGAGTTCCGAAGCTCACGGGCTGCTGTGGAGATGCGGACAAAGCGGGATCCGAGAAAGTATGTTTCATTGCTACGCTTATGTCTCGTATTCCCATCACTCCGTTCAGCAAGGCCTCTAACAAGTCTCCCCTTGCTTCCCCTCGGTCTGTTCTACTCGACAGTCGTTTCAAAGAGTGTTGCCAAGTAATAGAAAATCTCATTTGCAAGAAACCAAGGATCTGAAAGTAGACGATAATTGGTCGCATATACGAATTTCAAGCAGCCTATTGGAAGTTGTCTCTCCTACAAGCACCTCCTTCGCCACTATGTATCCTACCATACGAGGGCTAGGGTCTCGAAAGGCCGGCTTATTGTTCCACACACCCATTTATATAGGTCGATTTCATCATAGTTGAGTGAAAAGACTGGCTAAACCGTAATTGATCCACGAGGAACACAAGGGTGGTGCTGTGGAGATGAGGCCACTCGAAAGCTGTTCGTCTCGGGTGTAACCTGAACTACCTATATAACCTAGCTTAGGATTCAGCAGAAAGGTTGTCGCCGCTCGTCTTTACTGCGTCTAATACGGAGTGCATTGTTTACCCTGATATTGGATAACTAAACAAGATGGCAAGCCTAGTCGTAGGTCAGGTCGCCATTGTCCTGATAGTCTTCCTCCTACACCAGCTATTCTTCCGCAACAAGCCCAAATTTCCTTTGCCTCCCGGCCCAAAACCTCTTCCGATTGTTGGCAACATTAGAGATCTCCCGCCTCCAGGAACACCGGATTCCGACACTGGCTTCCATTTAAAGAAAAATATGGCCCTGTCAGCTCCATTACCCTGCTGGGCAGGACACTGGTCATCATCCAGGACAAGGAGGCTGCCGTCGAATACCTGGAAAAGAATTCAGCAAAGACTTCTTCACGCCCACAGTTTGAGTTTGCCAACATGTGCGGATATGGCACGATGCTGGGCCTTTATGGATTATACCGATTTGTTTCGCCAGCACCGCAAGTTTCTTCATCACCAATTTGGAACAACGGCCCTTGTCTCCCGCTTTAATGGTGTTCAAGAGATCGAGTCCAAGCGCTTTCTCATGCGAATTTTCAAGGATCCAGAAAATTTATTCCAACACATCAAAACGTATGTCAATCATCTACATATGTACTAAGGATTGCTTAGCTCAAGTGCGAATATGGGCAAACTCTTTGCACCTCTGACCCATCTACTAACTTCAACCATAGTGAAGCTGCCGCCACTATCCTCAAAATCGTCTACGGTTATAATGTTGAGCCGTTCGGCGCGGACCCTTTGGTGAGAATTATCAACGATGTCATGGAAAACGCCTCTCGCGCGATGCTACCCTTTAAAAAACCCGTCGAGATTTTTCCTGCGCTCAAGCGGCTGCCCGACTGGATGCCAGGTGCTGGCTTCAAGCGCGTCGCCCGCGAATGGCTAGCTCTAACCGACGCGTCTGCCTACATCCCGTACAATCATGTCGGGAAGCAAATGGAGAATGGCACGTATCAACCATCCTACGTCTCAGAGCTTATTCAAACGCACAGCAAGGGAAAGAATATGGAGCCAGAGGAAGACACCAAAGAGGCCATCGTCCGAACTGCCCAGATGTTGTTTACCGGAGGTGCGGACACCACAGTTGCCGCTATCATGGCATTCGTCTTGGCTATGATTCATCATCCAGAAGTTCAGGAAAAGGCTCAAGAGGAACTCGACCGAGTTGTCGGCACCGATCGTCTCCCAACTTACGAAGACCGACCCAATCTACCTTACATCAGTGCCTTCATGAAGGAGATGCTCCGTTGGTTTACAGTTGCGCCCGTGAATACCGCGCACAAGAACGACGAAGAAATTATTTTCCGAGGCTACCGTATTCCAAAGGCCTCATATACTGTTGCAAGCAACTGGTGGTTCTTGCATGACCCCAAGACCTACGTGAACCCGATGGCTTTCGATCCTGATCGTTACTTGGCGCCCCGAAACGAGCCAGATCCCACAGGCATGTTTGGTTATGGACGAAGAATCTGCCCGGGTCGGTTCTTTGCACAGGAGAATCTGTTCATAACCGTGTCGCAGACTCTGGCAGTGTTTAAGATAACCCATGTAGTCGACGAGAACGGGAAGCCGGTTGAGGCAGTGCTCAAACACACACCAGGCTTAATTGACCACCCACAGGAATTCCCTTATAGCATCGTTCCAAGGAACGAGAAGTGCATAGAATTGCTCAAAAGGTTGGAGGTGGAGAGCCCATGGGAAGAGAGCAACGCGGAGGATTTGGAATGGGGATCATTCACTAAATATCGAGAGGAGCACCGGCGCTCTGTGGCTGAACGAGGAAGGAAGGTGTCAAATTAGTTGCTATAGATATATGTAGATTGATAGCCTTACGATCATATCCCATGGAGCATTTCAAATTCCTGCAAGAAGATAAAGACAACATTGAAGAAGATGGACAGAAAGATGTTGACGGAAACAAAGAATAGAAACAGAACAATAGATCGCAGAGCGTTCAGAATGCATAGAATGGCCAAAAGTAAAAGTCTGGCCAAACTCGGAACAGAAGTAGGATCAAAAGTAGACAGAATAGAAAAAGAATCAAAAGCAAGAGAACGAAGACAAATATCCACCGTTGAATATCGTGAACACAATCGTATGCCTCGCTCAATGTACTACATCAAACGTTTGTTGTCTTCACCATCAAAGTTGGTCCACTGCATTGGATCCGACCAATCGGCTACATTATGTTGCTGCTGTTGGGGCTGCATGGTCCCCGTATTGAACATGTATTGCATTGGATGGTCGTAGCCAAAGGGCTGCTGCTGCTGATAGGCGCCGGTGGATAAGTTCATATAGCTGGGACCAGCCAATGAGTGATGCGTGTCATCCATATGACGCCCCAAGTCGTCTGCTTGTGCGGATTCTAGAGAAACGTCTTCTTCGGCACAGCAGCCGCAGGCGAATTCTTTCTGTCTCACAGCTGATACTTTTCGATTCTCAACAGCGTGAACCAGCTGGCTCGTGGGTGTCGGGGTCGGCTGCGTTGGTAGGACTGTTTGGGTTTCCCTTTCCTGAGGGACAGGGGTGTCTGAGGTCGCAGCTATGCTGGTTTTGGAAATTTCATTGGTAGATATGCCTGAAGACGAAGACGAAATCGCACTCTGAAGAGGTAGATTAGAGGATGCACCCTGTGGTTCGGGTTCGAGTAGCATGGATGCTTCGTCATCTTCCTCTAGTAAAAATCATTAGCCGCTTCATCTCATGAGATGAATTTTCAAGACGTGATGGGAGAAGAGATGGCTCCCTGCGGCACAGAAATGGCACTTACCTGACTGAGACGGCGATGACTGGGATAGAGAGCGAGATTCTTGGTCAAGCATCCTGTTGATCTGTTCTCTAGAGTATGCACTCAAGAGATACCGCACCATCGGACGGCCAACTAGGTTTTCATGTGACGGGCCGGGTATGGGAGGTCTGCGTGATGATGTGCGTCCGGACCTCGTCCTTGCCTTGTTTGATGTTCTTGCTGTTGCCTTTCGAGGCATGGCTTGCTTGCTCTGTTGACGGAAGTTGAATGAGTGGCTAAGTGTGTCAAGAGAAATAAATTTAGTAGGAGAAAATAGTTTGGTGATGAAAGAAGCTGATTTCTTGAGAACAACTGCTTGGAAATCGTAAGCTTACCAAGCGGTGGGTGGTCGATTTGCGATTTTCAAAGCTCAGCGGGCGTTTGTGGCGGGAGAAACTGTCGTGCCGCGTACAAGGTGAACAAAAAATGAACAATGTCAATCAAGATCTCAGAGAATCTAAGAGTCAAGACAACTTGAAACTATTAGCAAGGGAAAACACTGCTTGGGCACAGATCCAGTACCCAATACCAGGCAATAATGCCTTTACAGGAACCCAAGATAGGTGGCTTTGGCTGATGATAATCATCAAAGAAGCGGCTAAATGCCGTTGCTATGGTAATTCTACACCTTTCCTGAACGCGTATTCCCCTCTCGGAGGGTTAAGCCAGGAGAGAGGTAGATGCGAGACTTGAAGCCGGCAGAGCTGAAGAGGGGCTGGAAGGAAGAGAGAGTGTCTTTGACAGGGCGATGCTGGAGGAACCATTAAATAGTATTAAGAGCTGAAGAGAGTCAAGTGGCTGACACCTGGCCTAGCGCGGCAAGGTAATATTAAAATGACAGTGCTCGACATGCAGGCGCAGTATTTGCCATGAGGCTGATCATCCAGAGTTGAATATTACGCCCCATCGTCTTGTATTACCATGCGAAATTTCGCTTGAGACTCACTTTGCAGTAGTATTGCCATCATTTCAAGCCGCAAAGCCAATCATTCAGCTTGTTTGGAACACCCTTTGCATTGTTGGGTTAAGATGGCGCAAACCTGAGACGTAATCCTATCAAAAGCAAATATGCCCAGCCCTTCGGTCTTAGTAATATCTTGCACAACCGCCCAGTAATATTTATGCTCAGCATGCACAAATCTCCCAAGAACGCGATCCAAACGATCCTCCACGAGGCGTCGTGCCTTTGGGTTTGGGCAGATGAGGATGCACCGCGTCAGGTAACGACACCCTCCTCGGCAAACGCGTCGCATCTGCCGACCCCAAGCCAAGCCATCTACGATCTTCGATCCGGCCCGTAATGACCCTAGATCCAACTACTCAAGGTTAGTGGAGACGTCTTCTCGAAACAGAATGCGCGACTAATAATGGGCTGACTCGTAAGCAGGTTCCTCTCCATCAGCAACGATCGCCGCCGAAAGAGGGCCGCCATGGTTTATGCAACAAGACTCGGGGAACCGCCCCCTTCGATCAGATCTTGTGAATCTTGCGGCACACCAAGACCTGTGGCTCTCGCCATGCACATATGAACTTGGTCGAGATCCGACGGATAATTCCTAGAGCCCCCGAAGATACGAACGACGGGCTGTCAACTTCCGTGAGACAAAGTGTCAGAACACTCCCGCGCCAGAAGCATAGGCATCTACGGATAGACGGAGCATACCATACATACAGTCGGCAAACCACACGCGTATTCGAACATCTGCGGAAATCCGGCGATATTTTGTACGCGCACAGCTGTGCTACACGACAGATTATTACACGGCATCTCGCTCGCGCCGGCTTATAGCTAATTTTGTCTTGCTGTTCAACTTGTCTTGAATAGTAGGCTCCTAATCTCGTTCCATACTTTCTCCAATTGCCATTTTCAAATTTGACGACCGGTGTGATATAAAGAAGCCAGAAGTGCCAACTGCAGTTGTCTGCTCAGACTTGATTAGCAACGTTGCTCAGGTCAAGGGAGACTGCTTGGTACCAATTCCATCCAACTTTCTGTTTCTTGAGAGCGGAAATGAACAAACTGTGGTTATACAGACCGAGTCTACCTGTATCTTTGTCACAAATCTTGTACATGTATTCTTTCCGTTCGGTTGGAAATTTCTGGGTTGGATTTTTCGAGAGCTTCACGGGCGTTTCTTTGAACCGCAAAGATTTGGATGAATTCCGCTTTGACACCAGCACCACGCACATGCTTCTATAATAAGAAAAAGAAAACAAGGTATTTTTTGAACGCCTCTTGTTCCTTGAATAACATTTTCCTTGAAAGAGATACAAAGAAAGAGTGGCAATGTGAACAAAAAAAGGTTCCAGAGGGAGTCGAACCCTCGCTGGCGGAATCAGAATCCGCAGTCATAACCGTTAGACCATGGAACCGCTTGTTGAAGTGGTGATCCACTTCCCATGGCATGCCCCCTGCCTCGTTCAATTCGTCTAAAAGCTTTTTTGGACTGGATTGATGAACATTTCAAAACATCAATTCTTCAAAATAGATGATTCAGTTGCGAGTGTTCTGTTCTTGTTGCCGTGGATTTTCCATCGGGGCAGGCAAATCCCCAAATGAAGGGGTGTTTGATGCTGCACAAAAATTCCTGCCCTGAGTAAACTCGCCGCCTTGAAAGATAGATCATGTCGGCCACAGCCTCATTATCTCAAAAACTTTATCCTGAGATTGTTGTAGATGATCGCTTTTTTGCAGGGAACCTTTGTTGCAGATTCCATGCATTTTTGTTGGCCAACTTCCCATTGTTCATTTCTTGTTCCACTGTCGTGATTGTTTCACCTAGCAGCTGTCCAAAGTATTAATAAGATGTCCTCAAAAGCTTTCAACCTTGGTGTACATAATTGCTGAATACCTGCCGTTCACGAATGGTGCAATCTTCTGTTGACACTGTTTGTATTTTACTAATTGTGTGCTGAACCCTCTTGTCTGTGTTCTCAGATGCTGTTCGTATGTATTCTCATCGCATGTGGCCTTTGTCAAGATATGCAGCTAGCAAGAGAAAGAACGAGAATGACCGATAATCGCACTTGTATAAATATGAATTCAATTCCAGTGTGAGACGCAAAAGGAAAATGATGCAGATTAACCGCATTTCTTCGTCTTCGCTCATCTTGCAACCACAGCCTCTCAAAATGTCGTTCCACGACCTACCCGCCGAACTCCGCAACATGATTATGCAGGAATTGGCTTGCCAGGGTCATCTCAAGTCCTTATCATCATTTTCTCTCACGTGCCTGTCATTGTATCACGCAGGAAATCCCCTTCTCTATGAATGGAATATCGAGCATCAAGAGTGTTCTGGATTCAACTGGGCTATCTCCAACGATCACGTTGATGCACTGAAGAAGTTTCTGCAATGCGGAGCAACAGCCAGTGGTTTACTTACTTACAGCAACCCTTTAGGACATGACCAACGTTTAACTCCCCTATGGCTAGCGGCAAAGTACGGATCTATCGAGGTTGTGCGTCACTTCTTTACTCTCCCAGACGTTGATTGGAATTGGACGAATGACGTTGATCAGACGCCATTACACATTGCGATAGTATCAGAGCATAGCGAGGTGGCTTTGTTGCTTCTTACTCATCCAGAGGTTCTGATAGATACCGAAGATGGAGGAGGATGGACGCCACTCGCTTGCGCTGTTTCAGAGGGAGATGAAGCAGTAGTTGAACACCTGCTCTCCATTGACTCAGTCCGCCCAGACCACCGAACATCCACTGGCAATTCGCCGCTCTGGATTGCGGCGGATTGGAGCCGAAGCATAAAGATCGTGAAGCTCCTGCTCGATACCGGAAGGGTTAACGTTAATCTTGTTACTTTCGTTAAACCCTCGACGCCGTTAATCGCTGCCATAAAGGCCAACCGACCGGACATCGTTGAGCTTCTTGTTGAGCATCCTGACATCGATGTCAATCTTACATCGGATGGTAGTTCGACACCTATCGGTATTGCAGCTGAGATGGGCAACTTGAAGATAGTGAAGATGCTGCTTCAACACCCAGATATTGACCCTGACAGAACAAAAACTCCTGAGCAAGCGCCCATCCTTCTCGCGGCAGAGAAACACCAAAGGGAAGTTGTTTCCATGTTGCTTGCTGACGGCAGAGTAGGACAGGAAAGTCGACGATTGTTGGCAGAACTGTAACCGAGGTTTGGGAGGAAGATTTCAGAATCTGAGGCATATTGAGAGTCAATTTCATTCTTGAGTTCTTAAATCGTGTTTGTTAGATCAATTTGATCCGTTTTTAGTCTGTTCGAAGTGTGAAAGATCGTGATGCAGCAAGTATTCCTCTCGCTGTAATCTTGATAATTCTTACTTCAACGCCAGAATGCAGTTAGTTTTTTTTTTTGTTATAGATAGTTCTTGGTATAATACAGTAAATCTCACGATATTACGATATTTCCACCTACTTGCCTCCAGACGTCAACCCAATGAAAGTGCTTGTCGAAGATGAGGCGTTCTCAATGGTCCAACATACACTTGCAATCACCACAGCTTGGATAAAATGATAGGCCACTAAGTATACAAGTCACGTCAGTCGCTGTCTGCAAGATAACAGGCTCATGTCCTCAAAGCATCAGGAATCCAACTCACCACCGATGCCAGCGGAAAAGCAAGTGGGAAGTGCGTAGCGGCAACGACAAGCTCCATCCACCGAGCAGCCTCATGGCTACCACCAAGCAAGCCGGCGGCCTGGTGTGCAATCGGCAGTGTCCATTTCGTCCCCCACCAGGCATTTCCTGCTTCGGCAATCATTGTGGCCCAAATCGTTGCGCATCCCCAGTGTATCACCTGCTCTTGCCACCAGCTGAGTCTGTCGGCCAACTGAGATCTCTGTCCGGGAGGAGTCTCTGCATCTTGGTCACGGTTAGTTCCTAGGGGGTTCGATTGGAGTACCAGGCCTGTGACGAGCACCATGCAGCCTTGGACGCCAAACTGAATGTGTGCTGTAAGACCCAGGCGTGGATAAGGAACTAGGGGGACGAGGAAGCCAAAGAGCATGCCACAACCGACAAGGCCGCCGCCGTGTCGAATGAGAGAGAGCGGGAGTGTGCTGTGTCGGTAGGAGACTACTCCGAGACCTGGTGATTGTGTTTTCGGCATTTTGGAAGCCATTGTGAGATGCAAGTAAGAGTGATTCAGTCCTCGCTGAGACTCTTTACCGAAATGGCACGATAACAGCAAGAGGCGCTGACTTATATAGACATGATAGAATGCATCTATTCCCCACCGTATGATTTTATCGGAACTGAAAGTCAAAATGTTAGCGTTACTCTGCTTGAGGCGCGTAATAAAACCAAGGTATGCTTAAGAGCACCAAGTGCCATCGCGGTTATTAGCGGAGAGCCGCAATTCGGATAGCCTATTCGGCGGGTGACCAGCCGAACAAGGTACGCAACCGCATTGCTGCTTAGTTTGTAAGAATTGGTAATGTGATTTTGATGATTTTTAACAACAAAGTCAGCGGATTGACTAAGTGGCGGTTGGATTCCTGCTCATGCCTCGACAACTTCCTCAGAGGGCATACTTTCAAGCAGAATCTGCGGACCGTGATGGCTACCTTCATTCGCGTCAATTGATCAAACATCGTCGATTTTTGGGATGGAAAAAGTGCTCGTATTGATCAAATGGCGATCTAAGCGCCTGGCAGCTTCAAAAATGGCCGTTGTGGATGATGATAGTTCCTGATCCTGAATGCCTGCACCAGCGCCAATGCCGGGATTAACTCGAGAATGAATGCAGAATTAATCATCGCCCCCATTTCTAAAATACCAGAAGAAAAAAAGCATTGTTGCACATTGCACGAAAGATGCTGAGTGTCGGTATCAGAATGGTGATTTTTCGTCCATATTAAATATAGGTAAGATATGTCCAAACTTTTCTTATACAAACTCTAGACGTGAAATTGTTGCTATGCATAACAGTACTCTGCCAGTCGGGTCGGGGGCCTCGCTCTCATTGGAGCGCCTATTGTTATTCAACTCTTCTCTTTGAGCTCAAACACCTTGCGTATTGCTTCACCGAAGCGCTTGATGGCTTCCTCAATCTTGGGCTGCGGGGCTGCGGCAAAAGTAGTTCGATAGAATACTTCGTCACCGGGCACGTCTTTCGATGCACGGAACCACGAGCCACTGCTAACCAATGCTCCAGCTGAGATGCTTTCCAGCCAGATTTCCTTTTCAACAAGGTCGGCTGTCTTGTCTTTACGATTGGGATGCTGTTCCCAGTCTACCTTGAGCCATTGCTGTGTGATAGTGGTCAGCCACAGGTGTTAAAAAACGACAGACCAGGGGTTTTACTTACAAACATGCCTGCATTGGTTGGCTCCCAGCTAACAACTTGTCTGGGTAGGTAACGCTCGCAAGCAGACAGAATGAAGTCTCTTCTCAAGGTGTACTGTTTGCGCAAGTGCATCAACCACCTTGTGAAGCCTTCGTGCCCCCAATGCTCATCCAGGAGTTTGAAAAGCACCAATTGGCTTAGACCGGAAGGGCTCTGGGTCGAAACATCGCTGTGGGTCTTGTATCGCTCAATGAGCTGCTCGGGGGCAGTAATCCAGCCCAGACGAGCCCCAGGGCTGACAACCTTGCTAAAAGAATCCATGCGCATGACTCGTCCGTCAATATCTATGCGAAGATATGAAGGCACAAGCCTCTTGAAGAATTCGACAGGTGACTGAATCTCAGAGGGAGTAGGGCCATCCTGTTTAGTAGAGTCATATTCATCCATCTGTAGGAAGTAATACGGATCATCCTCGAGAATGATCAAATCATGCTTCTGGGCCACTGCGTAGATTGCCTTGCGGCGTTGGAGGCTTTGAGTGGTGCCGGTAGGGTTTTGGCCAGTTGGGATTGCATATAAAACTGATGGCTTTCGTGCGTTGTTGTGTTCGGTAGGATTCCACGTCTCAAGTATATCATCAAGACTGTCAGGAAGCATGCCCTCGCGATCCATGTCGACTCCGATGAATTTGACTCCCAGAGGAAGAACGGTCTCGATGGCGGATGAGAATGTATATTTGTCTGCCAAAATACAGTCACCTGGCTCTGTCAACATTCTCAAGCATATGTCCAACGCCGAGGTGTTGCCAATTGTCATGGAGCATTGCCAGTCAGCGTAAGGTGGATCGTGCACAATTTCCGTGTGCTCTATGATCCATCGCATGAACTGAGCCGATCCATAGCCTTGGGAATAATTCAAAGCGACAGAGAGATCGTAGACGCTGGTATCATCGGCAATATCGTGCTTAGTAGCATGCAGGGTCGTTTGGGAGGTCGTCTTCTTCTTTTCTCCCGTCTCGGCATTGATGAGTGAACTTGGTCTCAGGGCAATTTCGTCAATCGGGAAAAAGTCACTCAGGGGAATACCACCCCCCAGTGAGATGGCGTTTGGATTGGAGAGGTGCTCCACGGCCTTCTTGAGAGTTGATCCTGTGCGACTCGCCGACTCTGCACTGATGTATGCTACGGGGGAAAGGAGGTCAGTCGACAATGATACTGGATAGAAGCAGTTTGCTTTCCGGTAACTTACGATGCCATCGCCTGGCCTGTGGCTTATGCTTGCTGCACTTGGCCTTGAACTGCTCTGAGCTGCTTGGCGCGGCCACTCCTCGTTGAGAAACAGGGATCGGTCTTCTCTCCGGATGGAGATTGGGCTCCTGGGTCCACTCGTCAACTTCTCTGGATAGACTACCCATCCTGTCAGATGCTGTTTTGAAATTCTGATTGTGCTACTGAATAAGGGTATGGACGACTCCTACGGTGATTTGGTTTTCAAAGGGCAATCGATAGTTTATAAAGGCTCCAAGGGGCATCCGTGCGCGGGACTCTTCCAAGTGCAGATTCTATTGAGAGAGTGCGATGGCTGGTCCAACGGCCGAAGCCACAATGCAAGCAGACTTGATTCAAACCCATCATCAATAGCCATGGCAAACAATACGCTCTTTTCCTCTGTGACAATACGTCCCTGGCGTCTTTTTCCGTGGCCTAGCCCCAACACTGTGGAGGGGGCTAATCGTTTGGAACGGCACCGATCTCGCCTAGCGGGATTGACCTGTTGCATGAATGTGGTGAAATATGGAGATTGATAATGAGATGAATTGCCATTTGTGGAGTTTCAGCTAATGATGAATCAAAGAACCAAGAGATGCGTGCAATGCCGGCAATGGGATTGTTTAGTGTCCGTGTACATGCTCTCCGTAGGTGGTCTGGAGAGATCATTTGAAACTTGGAGTGCATCAAAGGGCGTCGGCGTATGATGGGGCTTGTCGGAGAAACCGGCGTTCCGGTCCGTCGGAGCGAGACTCTCTCCGTATATGTACATTCGCGCTGGTCACTTGAGTTTGGTTTGTAAACCGTCCGGAGTATACTCACGTCTTGCTGGCGATTCTCTCCATCATTCGACAAGCTCCATATCAAACACTGCGGGATGAGCATCCGCCACGCTGCCTGCGAACCTTGTCGACGGGCCAAGTTGGCCTGCGGACACGAGCGGCCCACTTGTGCCCGATGCCGCAGCCGTGATCAGATTGATCTCTGTGTGTATCGAGCTCGCCCATTCCGCAGGAAAAGTCACGGTGATGGTATCAGAGAACGAGAGCAAAGGTGAGAAGTGATCAGTAATCTCGTGTTGTTGACTATGCACAACTTCGACCGCTGACCTATGCGTTGCTTCATGCGTCCAGTGCAAGGCAATCCGTCCGTGTGGAAGCCCTGACCACTCCGCCCTTGGACACTTCGCCCATTTCAGAGGTGTTGGGTGCTTCTTCAGCTGGGCCTCGTCGGTACCCCAATCCCGGTTACCTTGGCGATGTTAGTCACGCAACCATCTTTAACCAGGTGTCTTCACGTGCCCCTTCGTGGTTGGCCGTCTCCCAGCATGACGAGTCTGTGCAGCCGTCAATACCTAGCCCTCCTGCGGACACATTCATCGACCAGGCAACGTTTGATAGAGCCAATCATGCATTGAGCCTCTTGGATCAACTGCAAGTCTCCGGACTGGCATCTCTGATACGATTCTGGCTCAAGAAGGGGGTCAACCTCGCACTAGCGGAGCCCTTTGTCGAGACTTGTGCTGAGGCCGCTGTTAGCTGGAGAGAGCTATCAACCCCTGTCGGAAACGATTCTCACGATATTAACGTTGGAATTGCTCAAAGAGCAAGGGTCTTGTTGGAGAACACCCATAGGCCCATCAGAGTTCACAGACACTCCACCCCTTCAGAGTACCTTTCGCAGATGTCTGGTAGAAATATCCGCTGGGAAAGTCTTGGCATATTCCTTGCTGCTGCAAGCCGAGCTGCTTTGGATACCTCTTCCTTTGGTCCACTGTATAATAGCGACGAGGGACGCCGTGGGCTTATCAAAGCCTTGACATACATTGGAGATTGTTGCTTGGAGACGTGTCTCGCGTTGGATTGCCTCAACGATTTACAGCTAGTCTTGCAGTATGAGAATCTAATCGTCCACTCTCAAGTCGATGGTGATCAGAGTAAGTCCTACCCCATGATCTAATCAATCAATTATTTGAACAAGAACTAAAGACCGCCATTAGGTTACCACTCTTGGCGGCGTATGGGAGATGTTGCAAGCTCGCTATTTGCCCTTGGCTATCATGAAAAAATCGACGAAGACTCTTACAACATTCCTTTGTTTGTCGCCGAGCTGCGAAGATCCTGTTTCGCCCGCATTTACGCGGCGGACAAGAGCCTAGCCATCTTCCTAGGGCGCCCCCCGCGAATTATGAAGGAATTTTGCTACTTCCAGCTCCCCACCAGGTTTGTGAGTGTTTGGGAAGAGCCCGATAGCACTGAAAAGAACGACGGCAGTCCGATGTCTTCCCCCACGATGGCAGGCCGAGATCGAGACGTCGAGCATCACAGCAGTGAACAAGTCTTGAACTACACTTCCGATACGTTTTGTTCAGCCTTGTTCGCAATCATCAAAGAAGAGGTACTCCAGCTATTTCGCAAGCGCCAGGCTCCCGGCGGGACCGCCATCATCAAGTTAGTCGCCATTAAGTCTCCTTTTCCAGTATTCTTCCTTTGCTAAACAGCGTCACAGCGAACTTCGTCTAAAGATTGACCAACAATGGCAAGACTTGCCTCCTCACTACCGTCTCACCACAAGCCTCAAAGATTGCCCTCTTGGGCCCTTTGCAAGAGATTTCCTAGCCGGAGCTCGACTGGAGTATCTCCATACCCACTTTCTCCTAGGATTTCTATCCCAACGCAAAGTAGCCGAACCCGATGAAGCCCTTTTGAGAACCTCGAGCGAAATGCTCTCTATCGTCGTGGAAACAATCATCCTTCGGGATCGAATGGCAAACTCGGGAACCTGTCTTATCTGGAAGGTAAGAGAGACATCACGCAATGCTGCAACATTTATCCAGGTTTTCTAACAAAAGCAAATGGTTGTATAGGTCGCTCAATACGGATTACCAGCCGCCGGCATCATCTCTCTCGCCCTTCTCAACTCTACAGCCCCCGACTCCCGCCAATTCTCCCGATCCAAAATGATCCAGGCCCTCAGCGTTCTCGTTGCCGAAATCACCATCGGAGCGTGGATCCAGCCTGGTGAACCAAATTTTGCGCTCTTCTCGCAGGCGACGAGAACTATTCAGAGCTTGCTCGACTCACTTACCGCCCTAAAAGCGGCCTCAGGGGCCAGCGACTCGCAGCAGCTGCTGAATTCCGATGTTGCTGATAACTGGGATCCTTATATCAACTCGCAGTCTTGGGAGCTTGAGATGGATTTTTGGGCCAGTTTGGCCGAGCATCCCACGTTGGTTAACTGATTACTGTTGCTTCATGGGAAAATTGGTCTAAAGCAATGAGAGAAACACTCTTTTTTTTTTCTTGAAATTTATTTTGCTTTATTTGTATACAGAGCGCGTAGCTAGTATTATTGTCTTCTGGTGGACAACAAACTTGGAAATATTACAATTAAATACCCAATACAAAGTTACATGGCCTCATCACCAACCACTTTTCCGTCTTCTATTCATCTACGAACCGTTAGTCTTGTTTCTGTTGCTGACATAGGCAGAAAGCTTCTTGAGCGGAGCTGGGGCATCTGCAATGTCCATGAACACCTCAATCAAAGTCAGGCCTTTACCCGCCTGGACATCCTTTCGTCCCAAAATGCTCCGCAGCTCCCCCCAGTTCTTAGCTTTTTCTGCTATCACGGGGTACTCGGGATCATCCAGCGGTGCCCCAAAGTAGTTTGGAGCCTCGGTATTTCTCCACGGTTGGATATCGTTGTAGTGTTCGTGAAAGCCGTGTATGACTCGCTCGACAGTGTAGCCATCGTTGTTGATGACGAAGATTGTAGCGTCAAGCCGACTCCTGATGATGTCGCTAATGCCCTGAGCAGACATTTGAAGACTTCCGTCCCCTATAAACAGTATGGCCCGGCCAGATGAGCGAGCACCCTCTTTGCTACCCTCCTTGCGCTGTTCTCGCCGAGCTAGAGCGCTTCCTTGTAATGCGGGAAGAGTATAGCCAATGGAAAGCCAGAGAGCGGAATTTATAAGAGTGATGTTCTCTGGGAACACACAAGTGTTGGCGCCCATAAAGGATGTGCCCGCTTCCGTGAGGAGAAGGTCTCCAGATTGGAGAAACTCAGACATTCGAAGCCAGAAAGTGTCTTGATTGATAGCTGCGTCGTCCGCAGAGGGTTTGAGATTTTGCAACAAAAGGGGTGAGAAAGAAGGGCCCTGAGTGAATGGCTGAAGAGCGGGTAGATTTGCAGCATGGGTACGCTTCACCAGCTTCTTCATAAATGACTTGATAGAGATGGCACGGCCGTCGGAGTCGATTTCGCTGCCAAACTTGACCGAGTGCATGTTCAAAGCAATTGTTACGTCCGCCTTGGGCATGGCTGTGAAGCCAAAAGAATTAACATCCGAATGTAGAGGTCCAAAATTGAGAACTAGATCCGCCTCATCAACTTGCTGTTTGATGACGGCGTCTCCAACGGCTCCGACGTAGCCACCGTGATAGTTGGGCAGATTTTCGTTGACGATGCCCTTTCCAAACGGCGTGGAAAGCGTCGGAAGGCCAGTCACTCGTACAAATTCGTTGACTTCTTCGGTAATACGGAAGCGAGAGGTCAATCCGTCCATGAGAATCACTGGCTTTGTAGAACTTTGAATCCTCTCCATGACCCTGTCCACTACCTTGCTCTCGTACGCCTCATCGTATCCGGGTATTGAGAGATCAATAGGTGTGACAGGAGGTGACACTTGAGCCTTGACCATGTTGGTTGGAAGTTCGATATACACTGGTTGGCTGTTCAAGACACATGCCTTGAGAGTTGCGTCAATCAGAGCTGGTGCTGTATCCGCGTCTGTCAGATTCGCCTGGGCCACAGTCACCCACTTGCTCATCTCTGGGAAGGCTCTGTAGTTGCCAGTACCCAACGTGTGATGCAACAAGGCGCCATTCTTTTGGGCTGCCATAGGGGCAGTTCCAACAATGTGCACGACAGGAGACTTTTCCGCATATGCACCTCCAATGGCGTTTATGGCAGAGAGTTCACCGACTCCAAAAGAAGTAATGATGGCTGATATTCCTTTAATTCTTCCATAGCCGTCAGCAGCGTAGCCTGCGTTGAGCTCGTTTGCGTTGCCGGCCCAATGAAGACCCAGGGGCTTGATATAGTCGAGAACTGTGAGGTTGTAATCTCCAGGGACTCCGTGGACGGATCCAAGACCAAGTTGGATCAGTCTTTTGAAGAGGTACTCTGCGAGGTCAATCTTGCCCTGGTCTTCCAAGCCCGGGTTCGCCATGTTGCGGAGCTGATCGTCGTTGAGGTTTTACCAGAGGCTGATGAAATAGATGTCGTTTTGATTTTGATAAGAGAAGAATAAGTATTTTGGAATTATAGAGAGCTGGGCCCAGAAAACCTAGGAATGTGTTGCGTTTTACGTTGCGGGATAGGAAGCTCAAATCCGACAACTGTCTTTGGAACACCAGCTGGCAGCACTGCTACTTAATATTTCCCAATCTCACGTCATAAATCGATCTAAACAATTCAACATCGTTTCAAACGTCGTTTGAAGCTCTAATTATACTCCAACCGCCTGCTTCTCCTCCCAGTCGACGGTTATTCGGGTCAGCCTGTCTCCACACTATCCCGAGCGCGACACCACAAGACCGATCACTCCGACCCTAATTGATGGCCTGAAAGCCAAAAGTTTGGAGCCGCGTGCTGATTCTGGCGTCCAAACATCTTACAGAGAGCGTTTTTGATTGGAAATCGGTCAATTCCCACGCCCTATTCCCGTGGGGAGCGGTGTACGATAGCGATGGGTCTTTTCGGCTGAGGCGAGGGGTGAGAAATGACCGAAGTGGCACATTCGCAATGAGGATTGTAGCCAGCAGACAGGATTCGTCCAGGTAAGATTCCGTTGATTCCGATCGGTATCACATACTTGATTTGCTTTGGAATAATAATTAACACTGAACACAGCTCATTAATTATGTCAACATGCGCCCTGTGCCTATCGCCTCCACATATGTAACGCCGTGTGATGCTCGATTCAACCTGTTCCAACCCCGGTACGATGTTGACAAAACAATGTCCATCTCAGCGTAGCAAGCATCAACTCTACGTCCAGCAGCTTGCCGAATAAACGCACGCCGTGATGCAAGTTGCTGACATGGCTTTGCGCAACAAAACAGGGCTGAACAGCCATGTACACCGAGAGCATCACCTCATGCAGATCATGACCACACCATTAAGAGCGATCGGAAAGTTGGTTGTTGGCAAGATCTGTTCTATAAGCACTTGCGGAGTTTTACGTGCATTCGGACATTTGTATGTACAGTCTCCAAGTCTTTAGCCATGGAACTCCAATCTCGTAATCCCGCTACTGACCACCACATTAGGCCGATATATGGCATTACTCCAAAGGCATAATCCCGTGTTGACATATTCAGAGCTTCAACCTCGATTCGGCGCTGAATCCCGTCCGTTGGCCAACACCACAAACTCGTTGCTTACGGCGAATTGCGATTTTGACCTATCAGTGAACGTACTCTCGTCGGGAGCCAGCTTCGCCGCATATTCTGGGTCCGCAAACGATTCAACAAGCGATTTCATGTCGGGAAAGATGAACGTCGTGATGGCGTCGCAGCTGATGAAAGTGGCATTCTCTCCGAAAGCAGCTCGAGCGGCGGCCTTTTCCGCCTCGGTGTTGAAGTGCTACCGACGGTCAGCCGATTTCTGCCTCAGCAAGGGCCCATCATTTCTTCACATCATGAGAAGGAAGAGCTTATGAAGATTCTCGTTCTTGCTCCACCAAACTAGAGAAAAGAAGTAGAGGGAATATGAACGTACAACAGAGTAGTCGAGAACGCCGTGTCGCTTGCAGACTTCGATGGCCATGGGAGTGTGGACGTCGGTGTAATGCTTCCGAAACTCTTCGTCACTGAGTCCCTCCTTCTTGGTGACTAAAAACGTAGCCTTTACAAGTTGAAATGAGCCCGCCATGGTGGATTTGAAACTTTTATCAGCACAATAATGCAAGATGTTGAGGTTTATTCGGAACTCTGGAGTCCGGACTCAGATGGCTCGTTCAGCTTTGACCATTATTTATACACATGGCAGCCAGATAACCACGTTGAAGCCTCCATCCAGCTCAGCAGGTTCTACGGGCAATACAATAGCCCAAGCTGGTTAGACTACCGAAGTTCTCTGTATAAAACCTGGATATATCGCCATCGATTGGCAGAGCTCACTCCCTTTACAACCCCAGTTCTTTGATTCGGCAGACAATCGAATCCTCAGCATCTTGGCTCCCGAATCAGCGGACCTGGCTAGCCTCCAAGCGGCTAGAATACCGAGCCATGACAGGACAGATGCTTTTCGGTATAGCGTCAGGAGATTGAGCTCACAGGGCTAGGCAGATCCATCTCATGCTCCGTAATCCTGGGCTACAGCGGCTTCTGCTCCGTTTTTGCCAGGCAGGCCGGCTTCTCGCAGCGGGATCGTGAGACGATACGAAGTTCCTTCACTACGCGATGGACATCACGCGCTTCCAATCTTTCACATAAGAAACTCCCACACGCTCTTTTTACAACCATCTTCACCAAGTCCGGGATCGGGATATAACTTCCTCATCAACTCCAGCCCCGTCCCTGCCACTCGTTTTTTCTGCTTGAATCCCGGGATCCTTCGTTACCCACAGCCGCAATGGCCTCCATCGCCAAGACTCTGGCCGTCCTCGCCTTCGGCCTTGGCCTCCGTGTCTCCGCCGCCGGCTCCCGTGGCGGAAGCCTCGATTTCTTCTCCGACGACAAGTGCCAGCATCGCATCCAGGCTGAGACGGCGCCAATCTCCCTCGACGTCTGCATGCCGGCGTCGCCCCTCGGCGAGCTGTCGAGGAGCTTCCGCGTCGACGAGAAGCCCTACTGCCCCGACGGCAGCAGACCATCGCTGCTCTTCTTCCAGGATTGCGCCTGCACAGATGGCATCGCAAACTACATCCCCAACGCAAACTACGGCGACTACGGCAACGGCTCGTGCCAGGCCATGTGGGGTGGTGAATATCTCATGTTTGCGCTGTCCTGTGGCGAGTTCAAGGCTCCCGTGCGCTCCGTGATTTCCTTTGCCGCGACGTTTCCTTCATCAGCTACCACCACAAAGCCTCTCGGCTGCCCTCCTCTCACCAGCGACGCTTCAGCAACGGCTCCTTCTTCTGCGACTTCTGGTGCTTCCGATGCTGCTTCCGCAAGTGCTCAAGCAACTCCAACACAGGGCTCTAGCTCCTCTTCGCAGCAAGGCGCCGCCAACGCCTCATCTCCCTCTTCATCGACTGGGACAAGAACAAGAGTCGTTCAGCCGACAGGCACAAGCTCTCAGACGGCTGCGACGACGACATCGGCGGCAATGGGACGACATCATGAAATGGGAATCATGTACTGGGTTGGTTATGCCGGAATCTTTGGTGTTGTATCATTCATGACTCTGTAATTTCGGAGTCGTCACGGATAATGCTGAGACGCGGAAGTTGATTATTATTGTATCAATTATGCTATATGCTATATGCTAGTAATGTCTATTCGTACTATTAACCAATGCATGATGTATGATGCATGCCTGCTCGTCTGTTTCTATAAGTTCCGTTTTCCCTATAATCGTAAAGTGCCAGTCTATATTTTCCTTCCCCCGTGGTATGCAAGAGCATCATTATGCATTAGAGTCGTATTCTGTGATTTCATTTCTCTCCCCGGCGACGTTCGCGGACATGCCTCTTATTCTCGTCGATTACAAACAGTATGGCGACCACCACGCCAAGCCCACTAAGGCCGATGCCAACATAAAATGCGCTTCTACAGCCCCTCAGAAGCTCTGCCTCTGTCGTTCCGGGGCTGATTTGCGATTGTACCGTGCCTGCGATGCCGAGGCCGATGGAAATGGAGTAGTTGATGACGGTGTTGACGAGAGAAGCGGCAAGACCTTGGTGTTCTTTCGGTAGAGCCTCGCTCAGGATAATGGTGGCGGCTGGAAACGACATGTCCCTATTTCATCATGGTTAGCAAGATGAAAGTCTATATGCAAAAGGGGACAAAGAAACTCACATTCCCCAGGGCATGACAAGGATGGAAACAAATGTCTGAGCCCAGTATATTTGATGAGCAGGCACCGTTGCTATCAAAATCCCACCGACGGTAAACGCCGTCATCGCCATGCCCATGACCATGCTCGGTCTTACCTTTCCGAGGATGAGGCCAGTCGTAAAAGCTGCGCACGCTCCAGAGACGGCTGCCGTGCTGAACTGAGCGCTGGACACAAGAGGACTTTGGCCTCTTATTAGTTCCATGATCTGCCACAGGTAGAGCAGCCAGATGCCGAAACTGGACCATCCAGTGGCGATGCAAGCCAGCACGAAGCCCAGATGGCCGCTAAACAGCTTTGTCGGCAACAGTGGGAATGACGCATGAACCTCGAGCCATGCAAACACGCCCAGAAAGAGGAACCCGACGATGAGGAGCACATAGACATATGGGGTATGCCATCCAACGACGGGGGCTTGGTTCCAAGCAAAGTTGATCAGGACGAGCCCAGTGATGCCAGCAGCAGCGCCAGGGACGTCGATGAGCTCCCAGAGACGTGCCTGAGATCGAGCATTGGCGGCACCAGGAGTTTTTGGGATGATCAGGACACCGGCAGCAGCGACGAGAGCACACACCATAGCCATGACAAAGTACGCCCAAGGCCACCACACAAGTTCAGCAAAGATTGACGAGAAGACGGCACCGACAACGAATCCTCCCGGGGCCGTGGCACCAAACATGCTGAATATCATTGCCTTTCTCCTGCCTGGCGGATATGTGCGGCCGATGATGGCCACCGCCGAAGGCACGGCGAATGCAGGGCCCATGCCTTGGAAAGCTCTGCAGACATCGAAGAAGATGATGGACGAAGACCAGACGCTGACGCCAGCCAACAGACTCCAGAGGCCATACCAGGAGAAGCCGATGACGAAGATGATCTTGTGTCCGAATAAATCACCGAGTCGGCCTGCAATTAGGATAAAGGTGCCCACGGTAAGACTGTAGGCCGCAGGCATCCAGCTAAGTTGCCCAGCATCTTGAGTGCCGAAGCTGTTGCCAATGATGTGTAACGGAGCAATGCATTGGCCCAGCCCGGCCTGAGCTAGTAGCTGGGCTAGACATAGCGTGAAGATCAAGGGGATCTCGACAAGCAACGACTGAGGTGGCGGTATATGGCTAGGGGTAAGCTGGAGGGCAAGATGGTCACCTGCAGGTCGTTGTGAGTTTGATGCCAATGTCTCTATGTCGGCCTCGCCGTTTTCCTCTTCGTCACGCTCCCTCTCTGTGAAAGATCCATCGTCTTCGAGATCTGCTTCTTGGCGATCTGGGCGTTCTTTTTCTCCGTCATCGGTGACTAAGACACCAGGAGTGTCGCTTGAGTGTCGCGTATCGGAAGCCATTCCGACGTTATTGCCCGTCATCAAAACTTGACTGCAACGGAATGTGACAAATTCGGAACAATGGTCTTAATGTCAAATCGAACATTGCAACCCAAATTTTTCTTCTTTTTCAGTTCGAAAGCATTTCAAGGGGTCCATATATGTTGATGAGAAATAGCTGACCAAACATGGATCCATTCTCAGTCAGGACGATTTGGCCTCTCGATAACTCTTCCGCAATAGCCGCAAGCCGCAGCAGCCGCAGCAGCCGCAGCAGCCGCATCTGCCGTAGGGCCGCACCGCCCGCTGCAGAATCGGGGACATGACGGCTTCATTGTGTTGTTCTTGGTCGAAATGTGGCTTGCCATTAGGTCAGAATTCGGCTTTTCATGGCCCTTGAGACAATCTTACGCGGATGTCGGGAATCATGATGGTCAACGGATGGTTATAAAGAGCCGGCGCTTTCAAGTGACGATACAGTCATAACGAATCGTAAACTAACAAACAGTAAGCTCAGTCAGCGTATAAATTTATTCCACTCCGCCTACATAGTAAAACGTCAAAAACAAAACTTCCAACAAAGAAAAGGAAAAACGAAAGAAATACGAAAATGCCATCACGTACCTCGGCCACGATGAAAGCTCTTCAGCTACTTCGCCAAACCGCCAGTGAAGCGCCTTGTCTCGTCCTCACCGAGGTCCCAAAGCCGGCCCTCATACCAAACCACGTCCTGGTCAAGGTCCACGCTTCAGCAATCCACCCCAGCGATGTTGGTAATGCCTCGGGCTTTTTTTCGTACACACAATACCCTCGCGTTGTTGGGAGGGACTATGCGGGAGTCGTCGAAGAAGGCCCTCAAGAGCTGGTTGGACAAGAGGTATACGGCACCAGTGGACGCGAGTATGCCTTTACCAAGGATGGCTTCCAGGCGGAATACTGCCTCGTCCACGAAGATGAGATTGCCCTGAAGCCGAAAAGCATATCATTTGTCGATGCGGCCACGCTCGGCGTTCCATTCACGACAGCCTCGCAAATGGTCGAGAGGGCAGCCATCACAGAATCCGACACTGTCCTCGTCATAGGGGCCAACGGCGCCGTTGGGTCATCCGCAGTTCAACTCATCCAGAACATTGGCGCGCGGATCATCAAGGCCACCCGCGATGCTGACGGCCATGTGAACACCGATCAAGACCCAGAATTGAGAACCTTGGACGTCCTGACAGAGGACAAGGGAGTCGACGTCATTCTCGACACCGTGGGATCTCCTACCCTGACGGTAAATGGCCTGAAGAAACTCGCCAAAAACGGCCGCCTTGCTTTCATTTCCGCTCCCAAGGTCGGCGCTCGAGACATTAGCTTCGACATGCGTGACTTTTATCGCGCTGATTTGAGTCTTTTGGGATGCAACTCGCTGAACCCTTCGGCGAAGGACATGGCACGGAGGATGAGCGCCATGACGAAGCTTTTCGAGTCTGGGAAGTTGAAATCCGGAAGCAAATGGACACCGGTGCCTATTGATCAAGCCGTGGAGGCGTATGGCAAGTTGACGAAGAGGACAACGGAGGAAAAGTATGTCGTTGTCATGGAGTAAAGGAAGACGACCAAGTCATGATTACGGGAAGACGAATTCTGATTACGAAGCACAAATGTCTCCGGGCAGTAGCACTAAGGTGGATGAAGCATCGATTCGGAAGCGAGTTCTAGAACAGCGTTGCCTTGCTGGTGAGTTACGCGTACATATAGTAGCATTGAAGCATCCAGAGGTCCCAGGAGCCCCAAGGTACTTGGTAATAGCATTAGTACTACCTAGTACTAAGGGAGATGGGAAGGCCATAATAAAGGTGCAGAAAATATGATAATTCTCAACACGATTTCCTTTTCTTTCCAAGATATAATCCATCGGCTCAGGCGATGTTTTGTGTGTTTATTACTCTTCGCTTCGTTTTGCTTCATTTTAACGTTTTCGAGACAAGTCTTACTTTTAGCAGAACTTTGCGTACTCGTACAAATGCATCACGCCACGATCAGAGAAAAAGCAAACAGCAGGGGTCAGGTGTAAATCTGGCTAAGCATAATGCAGGTTAACTAACGTCCAGGGCTTAACAGTGGTTTGAGAAACCGAAGAAAATATTTAGCATATAATCACATGCTCTTTTTATGTCTAATCTTCGCGTAGATTTGATTGTAAAATTTCCCATCGCTGGCATCTTCGCTCCTCCAGCCTCTCAACGCCCGCAAGAGCTTATGTAGGTAAGAAACGATATGCCAGCTCCATTAATGCTCCGTAGGCAGTTCCAGATAAATGGACTTCGACTCGATCGCTAACCCCCCATCGACCTGCTGGCGGCAATCCCATCTCAGACAAGTAAGGCGTTCGCCCAAAGCCCACACAGCTCGACAATGGTACGCCATCCCGGGAAAAGGGCCAGATTACCTTCTCGTTATGGTTATTGTCCGGTAGCGGCAGACTAGCATTGGACAGCCATCAACCGGCAATGGCACCCAATGATAACGACAGATTGATCCCATGGCCTTCCCGATATGAAACAGCTGAGAGCGAGAGGCTTTTTCCATAGCACACCCTCTATTCGAATGATTTCTCCCATTGGGCCGGTCCTTTGCACTTTTTGAATCAAAGACAAAGAACTTCTGCTGCGTGGACGGGGAGCTCCGTGGGTGTTGCCGGCAAATACCGACTGATAAATTCATGCGATCGTCGCTTCGCGCGCAGTCTTGAGCCCCTCAGTCACGGCGACAGGCAAAATAAAATGGAACCCGCGATGCCGGAATTCCGTCCACAGACCGCGCTTCCCGCCTAACCGGCATCGAAACCGCCTCGGTCTCCTAATCAGGGCACCGAGCTTAATAAAAAAAAGGTCCTGGATTTCGGCGGACGTTTGTCCCCAAGCTATGTGTGACGGCCACTGATGTCTTCACGTGGAGGAGAGGCGATGGACAGGTAAAACGTGGCGTTGAGACCACGAGGGCCAGTGGACGAGCATGATTGTGTCGAGAGAGTTGCTAAACGATGGATGTGGAGGATGCTAGTAGGATGGGATATCGGTCCAGGATGGCTGCGGAGGATCGTCTTTTAGGACGAGGGGCCGCGGAGGAGATTGCGGCAGACGGCAATTTGGGACCTGCCAAACAAGGGAGGTCGGCATCTGGATCTGGAGGATGCTTTTGTTGATGCTGCTAGCGATAACAGCTAGATGAACAGACATATAAAGGTCAAAGATCGTCCGTGTGGTCTGTGGCATCGTGGTCCGTCATCCCAGTGCAATCCATCCAAGCCAGTCCTTCATCTTCGTCTTCCTCTTCGCCTTCGCACTCTCATCCGCCAAAATGGTCAGCTTCAAGGTATGTCATGGCCGGTCTTTAGAGTCCCTTGTTGATCCATGGATCGTTGCTAAAACCGTAATGAACACAGGTTGTTGCCGCCGCCGTCGGCCTCGTTTCCACGGCTTCCGCTGCTGCTATCGAAAGCCGTGCTTCTTGTGTTTACACTTGCGGCTCCACGTGCTACTGGCAGTCTGATATCGACGATGCTCTCTCAGCCGGATACAGCCACTACAAGTCCGGTAGCACCATTGGTGAGTTCCACTGGGATGTAGCGGCTGCTTTGATCTCGTATTTTTGGCGGGGTTTCTTTTTGAGTAGATATGGGTGTCGTCTTGACCAAAATCGCTGACATTGGACGCAGGCTCGGACGACTACCCTCACCAGTACAACGACTATGAGGGTTTCAGCTTCCCTACCGCTTCTCCTTGGTACGAGTTCCCTATCCTGAACACCTTCAAGGTGTACACCGGTGGAAGCCCCGGAGCCGACCGTGTCATTTTCGATTCCAAGGGCAACTTCGACTCCGTCATCACCCACACCGGTGCTAGCGGCAACGACTTTGTTGCCTGCAAGAAGGACTAAGGGGACGAGTGTATGAGATTAAAGTTTGGCTGAAAGCCAAAAGGAGAAAACAATACCCAAATGATGATTCATGATACTTGACCTTTGTGTACTGCCGATACTGTACATTAGGATAGCGCAGTCACAATCTGTATGTACTGCATTTCAGCAAGTCCGTCTTGTTGGTGCTCTATAAATTCTACTTTGATATAGGACTAACTCTTGGTCCTGGAATATTCTGTTATTTTTTGTCCGCATTTTACCCTTGTCAGCACGTGGACAGGTTCACATGCCTGTGCTAAAACTCAATGACAATCTTCCCAACCGCGCTGCCCTTTCTCATGTAATCGAAGGCCTCCAATGACTTGTCGAAACTAAAAACTCGGTCGATGCATGAGTCGAGTGTAAAATGTGGTTGCCTGAGAAAGCTCATCAAGTCTTCTAGATCGCCTTTTGACCCGACTTGGATTCCGCTGGTACAAAACGAAGCAGTATCAGTATCATGTAAATATGGCAAAAGACGCACCACCAGTTTAAACTTACACAATGCTGCACTTTTTCATAATTAGCAGCTGAACCAGGCGAAACATATCGCCCTGGCCATCTCCCGACAGGAACCCAACTTGAGAGATTTGACCCTCTCGTCGTATTGACTGTACACTCCGAAGTAGAGAATCAGCCCCGCCTTGCTCGATGACAATGTCGACTCCAAAGCCTCCAGTAAGCCTCAGCACCTCTTCTTCCCAGTTGGGATTATGCTTGTAGTTGATGACATGCGAAGCACCAAGCTCTTTCGCCCGTTCCAGCTTCGCATCGGACGAAGAGGTAGCAATCACGGTAGCACCAGCTTTGGCGGCCAAGCTGAGTGCTATAATGCTCACTCCTCCAGTACCTACCACCCACATTAGCAAACCATTGCGTATTTTCATACACGCATGCAAAATGATTTACCTTGAACAAGCACAGTCTTTCCCCACAAGTTGTTGGTCCTCATGTTCAGGGCTGACCAAGCAGTAACACCAGAGCAGGGCACGATACTGGCCTAAAAAAAATCTCAGTCTTCCCCCAGCTATCATAGGAAGTATAGAGCAACTTGGAACCAACCTCGGCCCATGTCAAATTGTCGGGGATTTTCACAAGCTCAACCTCTGCAAACACCACATAGGTAGCCAAGGTGCCATCCACACCTTGGCCAGGAGCTATCGTCATTGCCGTCAGCATTGGCTATTTTGTGAGAAAACAGCTGCTAGTAGTTGCTCACCTCGTCCCGTCAATTCACGTCCAGTAATGTTGTCCAAGTTATGAACGGCAGCAACCCTATTACCAACCTAAGAGACTGTGAGTAACCGTCATTATTCACGCACCTGCTTGAGGTTGCTCACCTCAAAGAGGGTCACTTTGTCGCCGACCCAGACAACCTCGCCTGCGACATCAGCGGCCATGATAATGTTGGATGGAACCGGCCAGGGAAAGTTGTCGTCCAGCATAGCTAGATCCTTGTAGTTTAACGAGACAGCGCGAACTCGAATCAGTACGTCGGATGAGCCTCGGGATGGAATAGCTTCATCGACGAATTCGGCCACGTGAGGGCCGCCTCTGCGAAGAGCTCTCCGGGTTTGTGGGATATTCTGGTCGGCCATGACGAATTGTTGAAGAGGGAAAGGAAGTATGCGTATGGTGATGTTTCAGTGCTAAAGTCGATAGTTATCACGATTGCTTGAGGCGTTGTCAAGTGTTTGAAGTGAGTAGAGCATTTATATATATGCATATGCATACCTGTAGGCCAATCTCAGTTATCGAAGCCGCTATGATTTATCATCATTTGCTTACATCTACCTAAATTAGGTCGAGAGCCCATCGTATACCGAATCTAAACAAACTCGAGACGGCACCTGCTTCACACCATTGAAGTGGATTGCAGCCCCGATTCGCTAGCAGGTGGTTGTGTATGGTTCCAGCATGTTTGTTGCCTGCGCTTCTGCAACGGAATTCCAGGACGGTGGTGGAATCGAGTTCCGCAACTTCGTTTGGAAATAGCGAGGAAATAGGATTATCAATGAATAATCCATCTTTCGGAAAAGACGGTTCTCTCCAAATGTCGACTTGGGATGTTAATTTGTCGCCAACCATGGATGCGCGGGATTGGAATAGAATCGCGGGAGAAGACCCGATGCTTGGGACTCCGTTCTTTAGCGCCACCCACAGCAACTCCGCAGCAATTGAAGGGCTGATTCTAGTGGCGATACAAAGCGACAGGGGTGCGGCCGGTCCCCTGCAGGTCGGATCTCGAATCAAGGCGCCGGAAACGATGGTCGATGGTCTGCATAGAGGAACTGCTGAGCCGTCGTGGCGTCAATGTGAGGGTTTGCTTTTTGGTGGAAGGAAAATAATCCCGACATGTTGCATTACCTACTATAACTCGAGACTCAGGTACCTGTTCTAACAGTGCACCGGTACCTACGTGTAGCAAAGATGGATCAGAGTTACTGGGGGAATGTTAAGTTGAGACGCCCGATTGTCATACAGCTGTGAGATTTACATCTATCGATAGTATCTACATGTACCTTATCAAAGAGATCTAATCTACCAAGATACACCATCTCGCTCTTCAATACTAATGTACATGCATCTGAATCCATTCTCTTACGGCCAGCCAAGGAGGCCAAATGACAGCTGCGGAGCGCCTTCAAATGTCTTGACCTTGTCCTTGAGCTCCTCCACGTCCCAGTTTGCCCACAAAAACTTGCCTCGCAGGCTCTCCGATTCAGCGCTGGCACACCAAACGGCAAAAGCGCCAGGCAAGAAAGCTGATTGATATTCAGGTCAGTTGAACCAATTCCGCACGGTATCGGTCTGTCAAGGATGTGGATACATGTACTTACGGGAATCCATGACAGGCCGTGGGATGCCAGTATCAAACGACTTCTGCGACATGCTGCTCTGCACCACGCCGGGGTGGAACTGCAGGACCCTCAAATCGGGATTCTCGAAATGCAGATAATCGAAAATCTTGACGCCCGCCAGCTTGGATCCGTGGTAGCTGCTGGACCCGGGAACAAAGGGGAATTGTGCGACTGAAGACGTCACGTTGATGACAGTTGCATTCTTCTCAGCCAGAGGCACAAACGCTCGGACGAGATTGAACTGCCCCCTGACGTTGATCTCGAATCCGGACCACCACAGAGATGATTCGGTTCCCAGCAGCGTTCCCGGATCAGGCAGAACCGCAGCGTTAGCAACAAGAATGTCAAGCTTCTTGCCCGCAACAGACGCAAACTTGCTGAGAGCAGCTGTGACAGATGCCTCGTCAGCGACGTCGGCCGTGATGATGTGGACAGCGGTCTCGGGATATTTTGAGTCGATGGCTTGCTTGGTCTTCAGCAGAGTCGCCTCGGTACGTCCCAAAAGGGCGATGCTTGAAGCGCCAGACTGGGCGAAAGTCAGAGCAATGGCCGCTCCAATCTCTCCTCCTCCGCCAGTGACGATAACATTCTTCCCCTTGGTCGACAGCTCAGGACGAGTAGGGGAGATTGCCTCGTAGGGCTCGTGGTGAAATTCTTTGGTATAAGTGGGAACGTTGACGAACTCGGGCATCTTGGCGGTCTGTTACTGGGTAGCACTGGGAATGTCTCTCGATATGGAAGTCGATTATGGTAACAAGATGTGTCAAATGGAAAATTTGTCTGCCTTTCAAACTCTCTCTGATGAAACTTGTTCCGGCGAGGTATCATTATATAGTTGAATGAACAGCAGCACTGCTCGACAAACCTCTGATCCCATATGACACCATCGTCTAGGAGGCGGATTAGAAATCATGGCATTGCAATCGCGTCGCTCTTCGAGATACTAGATTGATTATCAATACCATTCCTCAACGCCCAGTAGTGTCCGAGGCAAGAATATAATAGAGCTGTCCCTATCCATCAATACTGTTCAGACGGGTCTGAGTACATAAATGGATGCAACATACCGACCGGGTAGCGGCCGATGACTCGAGGACGCTCTTCTTATGGAGCATGGGAGCGGCCGCCATCCATTCGCATGGTGTAGCCAATCCGCATCGACCAATTCAACTCATTAGGGCATAGCTGTATGACAGGGCTGCGGCCGCCCCCTTGTCACTCTAGTTAGCAATCAGAACCTGGGCAAATCCTTGGACGCTCCCATCAAGGGCCGGACCCTCTCTTGTCAATTCCATCCTTGTTGGTTCGAATAAGCAATCACAAGTACTCCGTAACATCCTTCGATTCACAGCAAAGAGAGAAAAAATTGAAGATGCCACCTGAAAGATTGATCGAGACCAAAGCTCAGAAAGCCTGCCGCCACTGTCGTCTCCACAAGCGGAGATGCGACAAGCGTTTACCCAGATGCTCACGATGCTCCTTGTAAGTACGACTTCTGCATCCGCAATGGGCCGCCAATCCACGATCCGGGAGATTCCAATGCTTACTCATTCGTTCCTGAATGATGAAGAAAACTACTCAGATGCGAATATGACGACGACGCGCCGATTGAAGAGGCGGAACCAGATACCAAGCTGCTGTGGAGCGAGCCCCTAGCCATCGGCCGAGACTCTTGCGGCCTCGAATTGACTCCGGCAGGCGAGAAGCAGCTCCTATGGATCGCTTGCCAAACTCAAGAGCAGCATTTCGATCAATCTAGCACCAAGTCGTTGATGAGTCTGGTCAAGGACACCTTCAAGTATGGCGGTACCTCCGCGGAGCAAGTCTTGAATAGGTACTTTGCCACAGCCCACAACTGGATGCCCATTATAGACGAACCAAAATTCAGGTTCAATCTCCGAATCATTCGCGAGCATGCGGAACTTTACTATGATTTCCCGGCGTTGCTACTGCTGTGCATGCTCCTGATGAATCAACAACCCTGTTGCCACCCTCATCACACCCCCAACAGCGCGCTCTATCGGACTACAAGGCGGCTGTTCGCTCTCCTTCACACGCCTACCATTGACACATATTCATTCGCAAAGCTGCAAGCAGGCCTGCTACTGTGTGCGTATGAGTGTGGGCACGGGATGGCCAGAGAGGCTAGCTCAACATTGGCATCGTGTTTTGGCCTCATCAGGCAGCTGGACATGTCCGCCGTGCAGAACAAAGCCGCGAATAGGCACTATGACGACGTCCAGGAGCCCGCAAGGAGGCTATGCTGGGCCAGCATCGTCTTTTTAGATCGGTTGGCTGACCCTCTCTCTCGAGCTCATCCCCTTCTTGCCTGCGCGTACTCTTCTAACCAGAGTGTAGATCCATCGTCCTTTCGTGTGCAGACAATTCAGCTGCGCTTCTTATTCCGACCAGTGGAATCTTACCTCAAGATGCTGTTCCCTACATGAATAAAGACAAGTACGCTCTTATGAACACAGGTACCAAGTTCCGGACAAGGGCCTACTCAGCACTCTTAATCGGCGAGGCTATAAAAGCCGTCCACGGCGATCCAGAATCTACGGAGTGCATAGAAGCAGAGAAGCTACTCCACGATCTCGTCAGGCAGCATGCGGCAACCTCCCAAGGGGAGTCGTATCCCGTCTGCGAAGGCGTAACCATGGCTCTGAGGTGCGTCGTCTTTTTCTCTTGAAGTGATATCGACACTAACGAACAACGCAGCGCCGTCGTATCAGCCTATAGGAGTAGGGCAAACCGCCTTGGGTCTGCTGCTGCCCCCGATGCAAAGCTGAACCTCGACCTCACATTCGCCTATAACATAGTGTTCGAAATGTGCCGAGTTGAAGGTCTCATCATGTGGAAAAGGGATACATCCCTCAACAGAATGTGCTTTTCTGGACTGGGGTGCCTCTACCGCGCAGCAGTAGACCTGGTCGAGGTCTACCCCAAGGGGGCCGCGGCCGAAGACGTCAAACAGCTTCGGGAAAACCTAGAGTGGTTTTCGGGCCATTGGAAGGCGGCGGGTAAGTCGAATAATGTGCTCTGTTTGAGTACGGGAGAAACATGGGTGGGCGAATTGCTAATTGACATTCGTGGCAGATGTATTGCTACAGCGGCTGAATCGGAACGTCGAGCTCAGGTCCAAGCAGGTCTTTCCTGGTTTTTGGTAGACAATAACGGTGTCTATGGATGCAATGCTACGAGTCTCTTTGACTAGAACCAAATCAGTACGTGAGTGCCTCGTCGATTGACAACTTCCTTGTGCGCGACTCGCCTTGGGACATTCGCTGTAAACCAGCGTATCGCCTGGGTCCAAGCCACTACCAGGATCCATTGCCCAAGCACGAATTGCCCGAATCATTTTTTTGTCTGTCTTGTCATTACAAGCAATCACTGGAGTTGTCAGAGACAGGTACTTCAATGCAGTCAGATGATGTTTATCCCAATGATTGTGAGTGACATCCAGGGTTTGGCTGCCGCCCCCAAGGCCTGTGAAGCTCACATACCCGCAATTCGTGAGGCGATTTTCAAGACAATTGACATGCATTTCGAGAGCAGAACAAGCACAGGGCTTTGATCCTGTTACGGCAAAACATCATCACGTTTAGTTGCTTCACAAACATGGCCCTCTTTCTGTCCGGCTCCATTCTACAAACACACACCCTTTTCCTTACCAAATGCCTCCCATACACCCCCAAATCAATCATCAAGCTACACATTTTCGCCGTTTCATTTGCGATTCTTTGCTGTCATCCACTCCAATTGCTCTCAGTATTATCACCTCGGCTGTTTTCCCTGCCCAAGGCCAATTTCTCTTACTCCTCCCAACAAATACATCACCATCCCCTCCGTCCCCCACCAATACCGCACCTACTTCCTACTTTACACAACATCCGCCCGTCACTGCCTTTCCCGAACCGGTGACTCACCATACAATTTCAAAATCCCAAGGAAAGTCCCAGCAGCTCTTTCCCCAATTCTCACCGCCTCTCGGTAACAATTAATTCCTATTCGTCCTCGTCCATCCTGCAATTCCATGAAGCTCTCCTTCCCAAGCTAGCCCTTGAAAAAAAAGTGGGGTGACGTGCTGTGGCAGGTGCCGACCAAAAGCTAGAAAGTGAACTGGTAAACCCGGAAAGAGCAGTGCAGCTGCAGCGACTTGCTGACAGACGCGACCTCACGCCCTCCTTTCTTTCATCCTGATTCCTCCCAGCTGCCCGGATTTTTTTCTCTCTCTTCAACCCTCCATCTCCCCTCGCCGGGCCCCTATCAACACCATCATTTGCCTATCGTCACATTCGTTTATGGTGTATCTTATTAATCTGCGGCCCCTCAGTCACCGAATCCCCGCCATGGAGCACAACCCGATCCATAACGAGGTGACGGTCACTGCTCAGCCGCAAGCCCCCAAGGGCCGTCAACGGGCCAAGCAAGCCTGCGATGAGTGCCGCAGACGCAAGCGCAAGTGTGATAGCACCTTTCCGTGCGCCATGTGCGTGCAGTTTGAATATCCATGTAAAATCAACGGAGTCCTCGTCCCTGGCCAAAAGCTCAAGAGGTCTCTTGATGTGATGCTTGAGACCAGCGAGACGGCTTTTGAAACTGCGCCCTCAGCTCCGCCCTTGACTGTGGCCTCAGTTCCGCCCTCGGTGCCAGCTTTGACCATGGCCTCAACCTATCCCTCAACTGCCACGGCAGAAGAAGTTGTACGTCATCAACCCACGGCTGAGGACGCTGCCCGTCAAACTCCGCTTCCTCCTCTCAACCGCGGCATCATTGAGCCCGCAAAGCGACGCTACATGAACCAGAACTCGGCTGTGGCCTTTCCCAACCAGCTGGGCGTGGAGCTTGAGTCTGCCCATCCTCCCCGGCTCCATTCGTTTGCTTGGAACTGTGGCATTCGCCCTGAGGAATCTGGATCCATCCATGCTCCATTGACCAACTACATCAGTTATGAGGAGTGTCAACACTATGCGGAAATCTACTTCGCCACTGTGGATGTGCCGTTTCACCTCTTTGACAAGCAAAAGTTTCTCCAGCAGTGCGACATCTACTTCAACAGGCGGAGCCAAGATCTCATCCTTGGTGCCTTGATTGGAGCCGTTGTTTCTCTCGGCTCTCTCTTTGCCTTTCATCAAGGTCACCCTATGGAGCCCCAAATCGTCAAGCATGTCAAGGATGTCCTCGAAGATTCAACTTTCAGCCGTCTTCCCTCCATTGATCAAGTCAACGCATGGATTCTCCGGACCCTCTATCTTCGCTCGACAACCAGACCCCATCTTACTTGGCTTTCGTCTTGCACCGTTATGCATCTGGTGGAGGCTGTTGGACTTCACCGTGATCTCAACTCAGAGCTTGTCACCCAAAGCATTCAGACCCCCGCCACAGAGGACGAGGGAAGCAAGCGGACCTTTTGGCTCGCTTGGTGCCTCAATACAATCATTGCGTACGAGTATGGCCGTACCAAGATTCACTTTGACGGCGTAGACTCTCGAACCACCCCCTTTGATGACAAGAGTGAGACTGGTCTCCAAATACGCATGGCCAGAATCTTGCCTAGCGACAATCTCGGCGGCGATGTGATTACTGTCAGCAAATCTCTCGAAGCCGCCATCCAAAAGCTTCTCGACATGGGAGAGGTCAAGGGCTTTCCTGCCCTTACCAGAGGAGATCTCTGCTTCTGCCTCTATCGCCGCCTTCGCCTCCTCAAGGTCAGCATCAGCAAAGATACCTTGTCGCAGATCCTCCAGATCGGCCATACTGCCGTTGAGGCAGCTTCCGACTTGGCAGAACGAGGTATTCCGTGGTGGAATGTCCTGGGCACCACCTTCCAGTTCTTTTGTGTCTTGCTCGCCATCGATAACCGTGACAGCCTCACACAGGTCTCGTGGGTTATGCCCAAACTCGAGCGCATCGTGGAGATCCTCAACACGCACATGGCTGCCGAAGCACTCGACACGGCTAAGACCCTGATGAGAGATGCGTTGGCCAAGAAGAATCAGGAGATTGCTCTGTTGGAGGCGTCGAACGGTAATGGCTTCCCGTTTCCTCACAGAGAGTTGACACCTGATTGGGACACCATGTTGAACCCATATTATATCGTGGGAGGCTTCCCTTTTAAGGATCTGGGAGTTTGATCTCACTCATGTCATGCAATACAGTTTTGGAGGATGTGTACATAATGTAAGATAAGTAGGTAGTACACAAACTATGGAATGGAATACTAAGCATGTTGCTCCCCTCATCGACGGGGTTTTATATGTCTTCTTCTCGCAAACAAATATCTCCACCAAGTCCCAGTTGAAGTTCTCTCCCCCTCCACGTTTCTGGATACGCATCATTCATAATTTCAGTTGCTTCATAGTCAAAGCCTTACGGACAGCGCCAGCCGTTTGCAAAATATGCAGACTCTGAGCGCCTCGGTAGAATATTCGAACAGTATCGAGATCGTGGGGAGGCTATTGCCGGAGGAGATTGTGCATTCAATCCTGATGACAAGGCATCTGACAGAAACATTCTTGTGGTCTAGCGTAGGAAAGGAATACCGTCTTGCAAGTGTCGGTCCCCCAGACACAGACTGTTTTCCACAAAGGCAGCCGAAGGTTCACTCGGTTTCTGGTTGATGCTTCGTCGGATAGAGCTAGGAGGCTCTCCACCAGGCCTCTGTCGGATGACGTCTTCCATGCTTCCGATCCAGCGATGGATGACTGTTTCTCTCTCTCTCAAGGTCCCAGAGGGGCCATTCTGTTTTGTTTCGCCAAATATCCGGACATGGCGTGGTTCGCGTCTATGGTCGGGCCCTGAGCTCGGGGGTGTGGGAAATCCCGGAGATGTTACCTGCACAAAGAGGGCGTCAGTCTTCGGCAACGAGTCACGATGCTCTGCTATCCCCCGTATGCCATGAAAACATACCGGATCGCCTAGAAGAAGAGTCATAGCATGGTGCAGAAGCACCTTGATAGTCCATGTTGACGGATCTCCTAGGGTTGGGCTACCTTGGTCGAAAATTTCGAGGATCACCAGCAGAGCAAGTGGATTCTCGTGCAAGGCAGCAAGAAGCCCCCTGCCGACCATGACGAGGAACTCGCTTCATCAGTCTGAGCCTACACAAGCCGAGATGCCATCATTCAAGGCAGCCATCTCGCAGGCGGCAAAGGGCGCCGAGAGGTGTTCTCTCTGGCCTATCAAGCGGGTCTCGTCTCACCCTCGTGATGCAACTGTTCTCCCGAGCCAGACCAAATCATGGTCTCGGTGGACGTTTCAGTGCGAAATCCAAAGTCATCAGGAACAATTTCGGCGGCATCGGTGCGTTGCTACTTCACGGATTATGGCTTCTTGTCAGTAAGCCAAGAAAGGTGCCTGGGAGATCCAGTTCCATGGCGTTCGGCCTCCAAACCGGTAAGTATTTCTCTCCAATCCTTGCCAGCTTCTGCTGCACACTCCTTGTATCCGAGCTAAATCGAGATGGGCATTCCAACCAATGGATAACCCCTTATGCCACAAGTCAATCAAAGACAATTGCGAAGAGCGTGCGCCTTCTGAATGCGAACTACGCGGTTCGCGAACTCCAGCCTAGTCATTGCTTGAAACGGGGCATCTCATCGTCTTGCCCGGCAGAAGGAACGAGCAAACCAGCAGGTGAAGATGCTATCCTCTCTTGCTCTACGCTCTCGTCACGTTCGTACCTAGAGGTAGTAGAGACTTCTACAGAGCCTCAATCACATAGTAAATGACGATCATCGACTAGCCCTCCATGTATTCAGTACGAGAGATCCTGTTGGTGTGGTGCAGTATCAACTGCCGCAGATTCTGCAGCTCTTGCTCAACGCGGCCACTCGCATATTTTCCCCCACCCCCCTCACCATCCTTTGCCGCGGCCCTCTTCTCGCAGAAAGGCAGCTATTACTCACTACTTTCAGAGGCGATGCTCTAATCCTGGCGGGAAAATCTACGAGCCCCTTTGGTGAAGCGATGCCTAGGCTCCAAGGCAGGGGTTTTGATGACACGGTAGCCAAGAGCCGGTATACAACTCCCATTTTTACAAAACGAGACAAATCAAAGCCTGCATCTTACATCGATCCAAGCCATGCCATTGTGGCTGTTGTCAATCCGACTCCGGAAAAGCAGTGCCAGAACGGGGACTGTTCCCCATGTCGTCCAACGCTGACACCGACAGGGGGGGACCACTACCGATCCCCAATGTTGAGGCTCTGCTGAGTCCCTCTCACAATTCCCGTAACATAATCCGGCTTTGCTACCCCGGTCTATTAGGTATCTACCTATGCACTACCAATTCGTCTACCATCGAAGCGCACTCAAAAGTTGACGCCCACGAACCTATCATAGTACCATGAGCAATTGGCCCATAATTGTTCCCACGTACGCCCTCCGTCAGACACAATTTCCTGCACTCACCCCCTTTCAGAAAAGGAAAAAAAAGATGGGAAAGAGAAATAAGAGGAAAAAGAAGAAAAAGAAACCCCGAAATCAAAGGTGGATCCGCAGTCCAACCAGCCATCCGGGGACGATGATTCGCCCATAAAAGTACGATGGCACTCAACTAGCTCCGTATTCCTTGCACAGAGTAAGCATTTCTCGTCAAGTAAGATCACTAAACACGGTCACCGGCATAGAGTCATGCGTAGCCTAAGGTATTGGGACAAAACATGAATAGGTAGTCGTCTTGGAAAAGAGTCAAAGGGCGCCTAAGATGGCTGCCTTGTGCTTGCCTCGCCTTACATTGGCCTTATGGTATGCACGAACCGTGTTACTCATGCAAGGCAACGAACGGCGGCACTAGCCATTGAGCCTAGCATGGCATTCCCCCCAATGGTTCATTGCATGCAGGGAATCGAAGCAGAACATGTGAACAAACATGTGAGTGGAAAGGAAACATGTGATATGCAAGTCTATTTCAAGAAAAAAAAAAACTCTGCGGAGAGGTCTCTAAGGATAACAAGGGAGAAAAAAAAGGAGTGGTGCTTTCGCTCAAAGATGTAGCCGCCGGTCTAATGCTCTAAATGCTGATTCCAACGCTGGCAATGCAAAATGAATGAAACCAAAATTCCAACGCTTTAGCCGAATATGCTAGAAATCCCAAACTCCTCTCATGCTCTGTAGTAGATGGAATGCGAATTCCGTTGAATGTTCGTCTAATGTCAACTCAAGTACGGGTACATGTCGTAGTACAGCAGCGGGCCGCTGCGTTCGAAGATGGTGGAATCTTGGCCGGCTCTAGCTCATGGAGTATTCGCAGTTGTCACAGCGCCAGGACTGGCACATGGGGCAAGAATCGTTGATCTGGTAGCTGTACCAGCCGCCGGAGCACTTGCACTGCAAGCATGTTAGTCACCGTTGTTGGTGGGGAAGAGAGTAGAGTGTGTTGGACGTACGCATCGCCAGTAGTTTGGCCTGACCGAGCTGGTGCAAGACCTTGATGAAGAAGAGTAGGAGCTTCGTCCAGAGCTCTTCTTGCGGCTACCAGATCGGTAGTCAGAAGACTCAACGCTAGGAAGAAGTCAGTGTTGGTTCGCGGAAGTCAAGATGCTGGTTCATGGATGTCGGGATGTTGGCAACTTACTATTGTCCGCGAGGCATGGTGATCAAATGTTGACTTTGAGAAGTAAAGATACTGAAGTGCGTAGATTGAGCGATGGAAGACAATTGCTTGAGAGAGTTGTGTGTTGAAGTATTGAAACAGTTGAATTGACTGATGCCGATGCTCTCCTTCTACTTCCGCGACTCCAAAGAGTGCCCCCCTCCATTATATATGAATATCTTTCCCGTGGACCCTCTTCCCATGACGCAGAGCAGAGAACGGCTCGAAACGAAAACCCAAAACACACGATGGCTTGACTCACAAGTCCTACGCCCTGTTTCAAAGATGCCTTAGGAGACTGCCTGAAGGCAGCATCAGCAATAAACTCCAGGCCATGCATGGCCAGCAGCGACAAGAGGGCCCCGATTTTTTTCACAGCGGCCATTGTGCGTCCAGTCGGAAGATATGACGCGCAGGCGTTGCTTCATGGCCAGAGTCAGACACGGTGGATGGCCCGCTCATAGGGCGAAACGATGTGGAAAGCTTGCAAGGTGACCCGTCGATAGGGCGAAAGGCCTGCGAGGCATAGACAGGGGCGTTGGAAAAGTCCAGGCAAGCATTCCTGTGAGCTTCCACAAAGCTTCGGTGCGCTAGCCTGATGGGATTGTCAGCAGACCGAACACTGCTGCGCACAGCTACTCGTACTAGTAGTTGCGAGCCCATTTGTCTTGTTCACCTGTTCCTGTCCTGAGGCGTCGTTCTAATATTCGTCTCACACACCCGGTGAGTCGGTCGGCGCCCCGCCGCCTTCAATCGGCTCAGAAAACCCTCCAAATCCTTTTTGATCCTCCGGGCTCCATCCCCGGCAGTGCTTCAAGATGCGAGGGCCGGCAGGCAGCCGGGCGAGATTCAACCGGGGACATTGGCTGCTGCGAGTAGTTGGACTTTGTCACAGGGTCTCGTATCATTGATCCCACAGCAGGCGACGGCCCTGGGGAAGCGAAGTCGCGTCAAAGCGTCCAGCTAGAGAGCCAGACCCCTGCAGACCAGTCCATGTTAGCTCTCGTAAAGCCCCAAGGCAGTTGAGAAATACCATGGAAAATCCCAGAAACCACCGGGGGGGCTTAGCAAACCCCGAGCCCAAAAATCAAAGGCACGGAGAGCAGCCCCAGTCACGAGTTTTCCCTCTCTCGAGGCGGAGATGGCAGTGCAACCCGCGCAAAGTGCAAATATTGAAACCCAGACCAGACCAAGGCCAGGCTGCGAAAAGGCAGCAGCAGCTCGGGATGAGGCAAATGTGGAGACGCGCGGAGGCGGCCGCCGTAAGTTGGAAGCCGGCCCTGATGCTAACAGGCGCTATGATGGGCGTCTAGCCTCGTCTCTCTCGTTCCCCTGCAAAGTCCTACTTTGTCTGGGAAGCCGGAGAAGCGATGGACAAGGCAGATCGCGGCAATAGTGTCGTTGGGCTGGCGGTTTTTGACGTAGGGCTGGAGAGGGATCCAAACCACGAAGCGAAATCGAGTTAGGGGAGAAAAAACAGCTGCCAGGATCACGTGTGAGCGTCCGAATCGAGCCTGGATTGGCATTCCATGATTTTTGTTTATTGTTTACTTGACGTCATTGACGAGAAACACAGGGCATGATGTAGTATTGGGTCGTGAAATCAGGGAGAGAGCAGCAGAATTGCAAGAGATGCGATCGCGATGATGCAGCCCCAGGGAGAGAATGAAGACTATTTCCATCTGCTGTCCATTCTCTCCCCCCTTCTCTCCCTCTTCCTCTCTCTCTATGCTGCCTTGGTTGAGGCTGAAAAAAAAGCGCCTTCTCGCCCTCTGATTTCTGGCACCCTTCTCTGCGCCTCACCAACAAAACATTCAACAGCTGAGGCTGCCAAGGAGTAAGTAATTGTCCAGACTATTTAGTTCTTTTTTCTTTCTCTTTTCTTACTCCTTTTTGGGGAAAATTCAGTCGGTCGGGCTAATCTCGCCCTGTCTTGCTCATCGAAGGATCTGGTCTTAGTCCGGGCATAGCCAAACGCAGTTACCGAGCAATCATAATCATATACGCACACATAATACGCGCGCAGACAGACACCATGATGGCAAAGTCCAGCCTCTCCATCAGCTACTTTGCTTTTACGGCACTTCATCTCGCATGTTTTGCCCTCGCAATCACCGTCTGCGGCCTTTACGGCACCGACCTGCAGCGGGCGAAGCATTTTGACGATTACACCAAGTCCAAATGGGTAAGTCTCACGAATAGACTGATGGAGTAATACTGATGCACTCTGTGCTACATTACGAGGATGAGTATATTCGTCAGAAAAGGCGCCCAGCCATGACCAATACTTCGTGGCTGGGAATGGAAACAAGGGGCGGAATGGCTTTTGGCTAACACTTGTTTGTGAAACACACACAGGTTTATGCCGTCGTCGTCGGCGCTTTGACAGCGGCTACGTGTGCCCTCTACTTCATCCCCTTCATCATAGAAGCCGCTGGGATATTCATCGCCGCCTGGGATGCCGTCCTGTTCATCCTGTGGATCACTCTGTTTGGCGTCTTCGGAAAGGTACGTCTGGCCTAGACCAAGCATGTGTCGCACAAAACGCGTTTCCGGGCGACGAGGAGGGGTTTGGGGAGGCTGGGATGCAATGCAAAGGCTACCAGCGTTATGTATTCATGACCCGATTCTGACATGTCAACTCGCACAGCTTTACATCAACGAAAACGCCCATGGGAACGGAGACGTCGAACGCATGAAGCACGCCGTGTGGGTAGACTTGACCAGTGCGCTCCTCTGGCTGATGGCGACTGTCGCCGCTTCTGCGTACTGGTTGAAACACCGCAATACTCGCACCCGTTTCACCGGTCGAGCCAAGGTCTAGCCCTTCCCTGCTGCACTTCACAGCTATCCTTGCAAGCGAGAAGGAGAGGCAAGGAGAGTGATGCAGAGCAGGAGACACACACGACAGGGAGGCTCTGAACGCTGCTAAGCGAGCAGGAGAAGGATGGGTAGCCTCAACATGCGCGTCTATCCACATACGGCAGGAAAGGCGTTCATGTGCGGCAATTTGGCGGTTCGATTGAGATATCTGATATCTGAGGACGGTACGGGTAAAAGGGAGGATATGGATGGCATGGTAATAGTAATGATATGATACCCCTCTGGTTCGTTCGAGTAGCAGGGCGTGGAGACTAGGTGATTTGCAACGGTTGCCCCATTCATTCGTTTGCTCCGCGGCACGTAAGAGGAGAAACAATATGGGTTGGAGGGAAGGGGCTCCGGAGAGGGCTCACGGATTGTCATGGCTAGTCAGTTAGCTCGCTCCGGGTCCTTTCTCTCAACACACTTTTCACAATACTCGTACCCAACGTGTGTTTCCATGGCTCCATGATGTGCTCTGTCTGTGCTCCGTCATGGCTGAGTTGGTGTGGGGAGACGTATGTAGGTATCCCATGGCTGCCCAGGTCGGTTGACGTGATAGGACGTGAGCCTAGACACACGATATGTCGCCAAGAGTCAGGCCGGCAAAGATGTGATGCCAGACTCAGCTCTGTTTGGCTCGGCCGTCTTCTGGCCCGCGGACACGGCTGCCGAGAGCCAGCCCCCCCCCCCCCCCCCTGGTCCGTCTTTCCCCAGACAAATGAGGGGACTCGACTCTGCTTCAACCGTTGAAGCAACACGAGGCCTGGCATTGGTGTAGCACCCAGAGTGGTGCCCGACGATATTCCTCAGATTAACATTGCAGTATGCAAGTCGAGACCCAACGAGAAAAAAAACGAGCAGGGTACAGCACACCGGCCGGGGAGAAATGGAGCGAGAGAGGCGTCCAAGCGTCCTCGGGCAAGACGTTCACGGGCTTATTCCCTTCGGGCGTGATGGCAGCCCGCCGATCGGCAACGGTTCCAACGCTACGGCGGTTTGAACGGAAGTGAAAGAGACGAAAAAGGATCCCAGCAAGGCCAATATTTGGTGGCCGTGTGACGTCAAGCTCGAATCCCCAAGACACCTTGCAGGGGTCAGAGGGTATACAGAGTTGTCCATCCTCAACATTTTCGTCTCATCTTTTGGGGCGTTTCCAAAAGTCGCCCATGGCCTCGAAAGCTCAATGCTCTGCGTGAGAGTCCAAACAGTTGCAATCAAAAGGACCTATGGTTGAAATTCCAAACCGAAATCTCACATGTGTCCCTTCGTCATAACGCTTGATGTGGGGTGACGTGGTTGGCGTCACCGGTGCAGCTGCTGGCGCTCTCATATTGGATCGTTTGGATCTGTCCTTTTTTTTTCTCCCATTGACCTTGCCATACTTGTTTGCTCTAGCTCGCAAGAGGCGTCCATGTTCGCATCCTTTGGACCAGAACTGCGGAGCCCAAATGTCATGACCCGAAGTGTTTAGTGAGTTGAAGCGCGTGGCGCCAAAACAAACGGGCAAGGGGATTGGGGGCACAAAGTCGTATTCCAGCATCCCATGTCAAGTCAGTTGAGTGAGAGCATTTGCAGTCGGTAAACGAGAAGCGCGCAAGAGCATCCGCTGTCCCATCAGGGCTATCGCGGTATGTAGGACCTACGAGTACAGACTGAGCATTAGTAGGTACTACATACAGGCCATGGCATGATGCAGCAGAGCTTTGAAACTAAAGGTTGCATGTACAAGTAGCAAGCAGCCGGAGGGCCTTGTTGTCAGCAGGCCGTGATAGGTGTGCATCTGGTCTTTGTCACACCACCCATGAGGAGAGACAAACACAAACAGTATGTAATAATATCCTCCTCCGCCTCCTAAATTGTCGCTCTAGAGCGGTACGAATAATAGGAAATGGCAAAGATGGGCGTTGCCAAAAGAGATCTACCCCCAAAAAGAAGTGTGGCAATTGAGAAGGGGGGGAAAAAGGCGCGTAGTTGAGACCCGAAGTCATCGCCAATATGTACTACCCGTCAATCCTTTTATTGAACAATTATTTTTCGAGGCGTGCAATGTCTCACTCGTCTTATCACTGGCCTACCGAATCTCTCAAAACTCGTGTGAGTGTGTCTCTCTCTCCCATGAATGCACTGGGATCCACAGGCTGATCAACGTCTGAGACGCTCACATGTGCTCCATTCATGTGAAGAAACACACCACCTCTTCCCTCGCACCCCATTGATTTAAGCCAAGACTTGGGAGATTCTCACCAGTTTGAGAGAGAGGGAGGGGGGATAAAGGCAAAAGGGAAAAAAAATCAATCAAATCAAATCAAATCATGAGGCAATGGCAGAGGCAAATCCCAAGCGGTGGCCGAGAGCTCGCATCCATGGGTCGTCTTGGCAGCATCACCACTAGCTCCAAGGCGCGGCTTCGGCAAGGGCTCTGAGTGGGAGAGACGCCCGCGCCTGCATGGGACCGCCGTATCCGCTCCTTTTGTACGCCGTAATTTTGCATGCCACCAGTGCCTTTTATTCGGGAGCCGA